CGGAAGTAGTATAGGAGGTCCTAGTACAACGAGAAAGCCATCTACAGGAGATGGTACCCCTACAGGAGCTCGACCAAGTGGTGGAGGACCAAGTAGATCTGGTACTGGTACTGGTACTGGTACTGGAACTCCGGCAGGAACACGACCAGGCGGTGGAAGTCCTATTAGATCTGGATCTGGTGCTAGTGCTACAGGTATACTTTCTAGTCCTAGTAAATCAAGTGGAAGTAGTACAGGACGTCCTAGTACAACCAGAAAGCCAGCTACGGGAGATGGTACTCCAACAGGAGCTCGACCAGGTGGTGGAGGACCAAGTAGATCTGGTACTGGTACTGGTACTGGTACTGGAACTCCGGCAGGAACACGACCAGGCGGTGGAAGTCCTATTAGATCTGGATCTGGTGCTAGTGCTACAGGTATACTTTCTAGTCCTAGTAAATCAAGTGGAAGTAGTACAGGACGTCCTAGTACAACCAGAAAGCCAGCTACGGGAGATGGTACTCCAACAGGAGCTCGACCAGGTGGTGGAGGCCCAAGTAGATCTGGACCTGGCACTAGTACTCCTGCAGGAACACGACCAGGCGGTGGAAGTCCTAGTAGATCTGGATCTGGTGCTAGATCTGGTACTACTGGAACAAGAACAGGTCCAGATGGTAAAAGTCCTAGTCCAACCAGAAAGCCATCTACAGGAAATGGTACTCCAACAGGAGCTCGACCAGGTGGTGGAGGTCCAAGTAAATCTGGTACTGGAACAGATGCCCAGCGTGGAAGTGGAAGTCCTACTGGTACAGGAACACGTCCAGGAGGAGCAATTCCTGCAACTACTGGTATGGGAGCTGGTGGTAGAGGTAGCACTGGAGCAGGTGGTGGAAGTGGAGCAGGTGGTGGAAGTGGAGCAGGTGGTGGAAGTGGAGCAGGTGGTGGAAGTGGAGCAGGAGCAGGTGGTGGAACAGGCGCTGGTGTTGGAGGAAGGTCTGCTGCTGGAGAAGCACATGCTGGTATTGAAGATCCAACTCCGGTTTTAATTCAACCAAACAATGACTTTGGGGACCCGGTACCAGTAGCTGTAGTTGACTCTGGAAATGTTTTACTCCCTTCCATGTCCAACTTGATTTTGCTTTTAGTTACTGTTCTTCACTTGATAGCTTTACTTTTCTAGTTGAACTTTGGTTGTTTGAAGTTCTTCTCTTTGATATTTGTTGCTGTTTATATGATTTATTTATTGCTTATGATCTTTCTTTATCGTTATTATGTCCTTGCGTATTATTTTATATGAATTAATGTTATTACGTTTTCCTACTAAGTAAATAAGTAAGTTGTGACATGATATAGCTACTTTATCCTGTATACAATTATATTAGAACTATCATCTATGTGACAAACAAGGTTCATGGGTTCACTATTAAGTTACTAATTCCTACCAGAAAGATTCATCAACAAACGTCGATGTTTGATAATAATACCCTGTATCACAAATATCAACAATCACCATTTGTTGAGTATTGAATATAAAATAGTATTTCATGTACTAACTTTGAAACCAACAAAGAATAAGCTGGTTGTCGTTGATATATTTTGGAGTTAGCGTATATTCCCCGCTCTAACTTGTTGTAAAAAGTTAAGAACTTCTTATTGTATCGTTCAAGCAGGAGCATATTGTATGTTTGCCAATTAGACAATATATTTAAAAGAATGCATAATTCCTCGAGCAAAGACGAGCACTTGTAGTATTGAAGATGATTTCAATTCAATGTAATAACAAAATGCAAACTCTTCAGGTTGTTTCACTGATAGGTTACTGTATAAGAATTTAGAACAATCTCTCTGTAATTGATTAAAGAAGTCGATAATATTTTTCAGTATATTGTTGTGTCTTGCATTTCACATAGTTTTTTCAATACCATAAGATGATGTGGAAGTAGCCGAGGTTCCCTCAATTAGTGGTAAAACTTCTCCAGTTTGTTAATATGGTTTTGTTTCCCATTTATCTCCCATAGTAATTGGTGAATACCAAATTTCAGCACTTAATACAATTGAACAATCTGAAATATCAGCCACATAAAATTTAACATTAGTATCCGTATCAAGCCATTTGATTTGGACAAAGTTAATAACCGTAGCCATAAATATATTATTTGCAGCATATATAGCAACTAGTTTACATTTTTCAACTTTTAAATCTTGAACCAAATTTGTATGGATAAAGTTAGCTTCACAAGCAGAATCTAGTAAAGCTGGTTGTTTCTACTTTCAATTTTGCCATTAACACTTCCCGCTTTTGAGCCTCTTAAATCCTTGTTCTCTTCTAGACTTATCTTTGAAAATGATAGGACGATTTTAGAGTCATCCCGAGACTCATCTATTTTTTTGAATTCGAATGGTTGATAGAATTTGTTTCCTTGTTCATATTTTGCTTTCTGCATTCGGAAGTCCAATGATTATTTCCTGCACAAGTATGACACTACTTTTGTTTACCTTTGTTGTTCTTTTTGAAATTATTGTTGTAATTATTGTTTCTGTTTCCATTCTGGTAGTTTCTTTGGTTGTAATTAAAAGGTTTCTTGTAAGTTCGTCTTACTCTGTTTTCAATTTCAGGATCCTCCATAAGGTTATCAATGTCTTTATAGGTTTTAATGCTAACAAGAATAGGTTGATATTCAGTATTTGCATTTCTTCTAAACTTATTGACAAGGTAGTTTTCTTGTTCTTCGATTTGTTCTTGTTTGTACCTATTCAAAATATTTCTAAAACCTTGGCGATACTCATTCAACGATTGTCTTTTCTGATAGTAAGTTCCTACCTCTAAACTAAGCTCAAACTTGACTTGATCATCTTCATATTCGTTTCTGAATGCCTTGATAAATTCATTGTAATCCATGTAAATCTTTTCCGGAATTATTTTACCTGTTTCATCGGTCATTTCCTTGTAATATGGACGTAAGAAATGCTCTAACCAAAGGCCAGCTCCGTCAACCAAATGACATTTAGCAATTACATTTAATTCGGAAATTTCAATTTTTAAGTTGTGTTGGGAAATATACCGGAGACACTTTATTTCGATCTGCTTACACACTATTTCAAACCATTTGAGGGTTTTTGCAGTTCCATCAAATATTTCCGAATATCTAATCAGTATGTCACTACTTTCTTGATTCTTTTTCCTTTGTATCTCTACAGCTGAGAGTGGGCGGCTATAGTTATTAGACCAATCCCGGTTATTGTTGTTTCCTTGGTAGTTCTTTTTGGAATTATAACGTTTCTTAAAGGCCATTCTTAGTTGTTGTTTATTCAGAATCAATATAGCCAAAGCGGCAGATACCAACTGTTACAAGGGTGACTGGTGTAGGTGAGTATAAATGTTAATGTAGTAACTGCCAGTAAAAGCGCTAATATGATTGTTATGTGTGAGGGGAGTGGAGGAATCTATTCTGTAATCTGTCTACTGATAGAATAAAAGGAAGGGTTGATTCTTTTATGATACTTTTTCGATACTTCTTGAGTTTCTGTTAATATTTAATCATCTAGGAATCCAATAAAATTTATATTTCATTTTTCCAAGCTATTGATCTCTAGCTTTTCCTACCAGGCTATATTTTGTGTCGACACTTCAACCATCCTTATCCTCAGACCATAATATTAAAGTCAGCTCATTTATTAAAAGCTTATTCTCTGATGAAACATTTTAATGTTTTCCTTTCATAATATCTTTTCTTGGTTTTAGGATTATTCTTGGGTAGTTTAGTGAACATGTTTGATTGGTTGCTTCCTGGATCCTGTGCTATCTCTCTATCTCACAACACCATCTTTATCATTACACAGAATCTCAAGGATCATGTGCTAGATTTAAGAGATCATACTCTAACACTCGAAAACAAAAAGGGCCTGGCTAGCTCAATGGCTAGAGCGTTTGACTTTTAAGAATGAGATTTTCTCAACTTAAGAGGTATCAAAAGGTTGCGGGTTCGACCCCCGCGTCGGGCTGTTATTTTTTGTTGCACATATATTTTTTTGGAGATTAAATATCTATTGTAAGTTCTTAAGGATAACTAATTCATTACAAAGATAGAGAGGGAGGTTGAATCAGGGGATCAGATCTGATATAGATGAAGACAACTTGTAACATTTTCATTATGGCCAAATTTTTGCTAAAAAAAAAAATAACATTGATTGACAATCAAGTAATATCTGCTAATCCTCATTAACACGAGTAAGAGTCATATGTATCAAACCGTTATTCCTTTTTTATATGGCTATATTATGCCAAAGAAGCATCTAACTATTACACCTAAAATGATTGCAATTGTTGAAATTACTGTACTTGATTTCTCTATCACAAATGTTGATAAATGTATAAACCAAGGATTAGAGATCATTGATTATTCTCCTGTTCCGAAGGTGTTCAAAGAGGAAATTTTCCATTTACTTCGACCATAAAATGGATATGAGCTTGTAAGTTCTTACATCCATTGTTTTAGCTGAACCAAAAAAAAAAAAATAGATCTGAAAAAAGATAATAAGAAACTCATTTGGTTGCCAGATAAATACACAAACTTTTAGTCCCCAGATGGAGTTAAGCGAAATTCCCATAATCAATGATACAAAATCACATACAAGTTTTCCAGATGAATTCATGATTGATGAAGATGAGGAAAATTTAAATATAATAGAGGAAAGCGAAGGGAGTCTGATCGATGAAGAGGAAGAAGAAGAGGATGATGTGTTTTACACTCCAGGTATTCAAGAACTCTATGATACCAGAACTGAAATCTTAAACCAATCCCTTGTAAAAGCTTCCCAAAGAGTAGATAGTTTGAGGCAGAAAGCAAAAGATTCAGATTTCATCAAAATTTTAAAGCATAGACGTTCTACTAACTCCAAATTGGCCACTTACGAGTTGTATGGGTCACAATTGATACCAGGAAATACAAGGGCAATATCTATAGTAAGATTTTCCAAAACCAGCGACTTAATTGCTTGTGGGTCATGGGATGGTTCTATTAGTATTTTAAACTCTTTAGATTTATCTACCAGGGGCCAAGTTGTACTGGGACTGCATCTAGAGAAAGTGGGTGGATTAGATTGGAGTTTTACATCTAATGAAAATTATCTTATTTCAGGAGCTAACGAGGGTACGATAAACTTGTGGAATATAACCGATACTCAAGACAAGATAAAACCAAAAGCTACCATCAAAGATGCCCATTCTGCTAGAATAACGAAAACTTTGTTTCATCCAATTATATCAAAATATGCTATATCCACATCCTTCGACCAAACTTGGAAATTATGGGATCTTGAAATGTGCAAGTGTTTACTAGAACAAGAGGGTCATTCAAAAGAAGTATTCTGTGGAAGTATGCATCCAGATGGCAGTTTATTTGCATCAGGAGGTCTTGACGGGATATGTCATATTTGGGATTTACGTTCTGGCCGTCTGATAGTCAGGCTACAAAAACATATGCAAGGAATATATAGTACAGATTGGTCACCAAATGGGTATCATTTGGCGACAGCAAGTGGGGATTGCTCAGTGAAAATATGGGATCTTCGTAAACTAGATAGACGAGATGATGAAATATTCACAATACCATCCCATAAAAAGATTGTTAGTGAAGTACGATTCTTTAACAAACGAAACGAAATACTAGCTAATGAGTCTGAGTCAATTTCCAATGGTACATTCTTGGTAACTTCTTCATACGATGGAAATGTTAATATTTGGTCATCAGACAACTGGATTAAAGTGAGAACTCTCCAAGGACATACCGAAAAAGTCATGAGTTGTGATATTAATGGGGACGGTTCTCAAATAATAAGTAGTGGATGGGATCGGTCAATCAAGATGTGGCAGAGCTACCAACTGTAATATAACCTGTAAAAATAAAGATTTTGATAGAAAAAGTAATTTAACTAGCGACGTTTTTTTTTCCTTATTTTCTTTGGGGTGCTGCGCGCGGAGTGTATTCCAAAAGCAAAAGTATAATTTCATTCGACTAAACCACCTTTGTCTTTTCCTGCTGCAAAGTTGCAAACAACAATTTCAGTGAATATATTAGAAGGAGAATATTAAGGCACGATGAATTTGCTTAAAATATTAGATGGTACTCCCGAGCCATCCATTATAGACTTGGATTTAGGTGAAATAAACTATAGTGGAGATTATGAGTTACCAACACCAATGTATGAGTTTCAAAAGGAATTAACCGACCAGATTGTATCGTTACATTATCCTGATATCTTGAAATATTGTGAAGCGAACGACACACGAGATCTCATTGTAAAATCTTTAGAGATCTGTATTGAGAATTGTATGTTGGTTTGTACTCACCCATATTTATTGATTAACCACTACATGCCCAAGAACCTTTCCATGAAAGAAATGCCCAATAAACTTGCTGAAACTAGTGGGAAGTTCAATGTTCTTCGAGATTTAATGAATGTGATAATACTGAACACAAAACAGAGACCAAAACATATTGGTATTGTTATGAACAACAATGGGAAATTTTTCGATTTAGTGGAAGCACTTTTGTTAGGGTGTAATGGGAATAAGATTGTGAAAAGATATGTGGGTAATAACGTACAACGAGAATCGAAAAAGGCAAGCAGAAATAGCGGTACACCAATGGATATGTCTGGTTCACCAACTACAATACATTTATTGCCAGGCGATGGTAAGATACAACGAGACCAAGATAGACTTGGCCTCGTCAAATTTGACGCATTGATTGTGTTTGATGGATACGTTGACACTGATAGTGAGTTTTTCCAACAAATAAGAACTCAAAACCGCCGTGGTGAATGTATTATTGTAAGGTTGGTTCCAATGAAAACAATTGAGCATTGTAAATTGTATTACAAAAACAATGCCGGTGATGATGATTATATTTACAAATTAATATCATCAATTGTATGTCTTCGAGATCATATAGGAACGTTACAACCGGATGTTTTTCCCATATATAACCAAAAACTTACATATCTTTCTCATAAGTTTTTTGATGATGTTTTCAAATCCAGTGCTAGGATTGCAGATTTTCCCGCTTGGCCATTACCAGCATTACCAAGAATCCCTAAATTCAATGCTATAGATGTTGAGAGATCACTTTTGACCGAAGTTCATTTTCATTATACTCCCTATGATTCTACCGAGTTTATAAATGAGGATCCCGAAAAGCCAAGGACTGGTTCGAGACCTAGTTTTTATGAAACACGAAGATTAGAATCAGCTTATATTACTAATCCTTTAAAGAATTCATTCACACAATTGTCGGGAATATACGCTGGTACTGGAGAAGAACATGCAAGTGCTACCAATACTAGTATTCTCACACACAAATTGATCCTTCAAATGAACGAAGCGTTTTTATCACTAGATAGAGCAGAAGAAGAAGTTCAAAGCTATGAGAAATATAACGAGGAAGAAAACCAAGAACGGAAAATTGGACGTCGAGAACGGGAAATGAGAATTACTGTTTCCAAAATTTTTAACGATGTTGATCATGCCCAATCTAGAATTAATAGTGCCAGTAAATGGACAATCAAGAAAGCCGAACAAGCGGAAAGTGTCAAAGATGAAATTAGAGTAGCTGATGAAAAGATATCCAATTTCATTACTGATAATAAGATAGATAATGAGCAAACTCGACAATACATTCAAAATCAACTTGAAATTTGGGATTTACAAACCAAAGTCAAAACTCTTATAGCTAAGATTCAGTCCAAGAATGAAGAAAAGAATTTTATATCAAATGAATATCAACAATGTCTAGAATCAATCAAGAACTCCGAAACAGAAATAGAGAATCAAAAGACCAAAATTCAGGATTCAAAGAGAAAGTATTCTGAATTACTTGAAGCTGAGGAACACGAAATGGAAAATTTCCATGCAAAGAAGAAAGATTTAATTAATCAAATTAAAGAAGAGAGGCTTCAGAATGAATCTTTGAAATTCAAATTAAATAATGCATTTAAATTTCTCAAGGATACCTCTCACTTGAAGAAACGCAAGGGTAGAGGTTCAACACCTATCAAATGAATTCATATATATATATTTATATGCATTTATAACAGATAAATAGGCATTTCTGAATTAACAGCATCTAATATTAATACATTATTTATTGGACTCTCCTTTTTACTCAAAAATTGAATGATATCTTGAGCAAGAGCACCACCAATAACTGCTGCCACCGGAGCAAACTCGGCAAATGCTTGTCTGCTGAATACGTCTAGATAGTCAGGAGTAACTGTTTCAGCAGGAATATTGAGCAAGTTACAAATTTCAATTGCTTTCACTCTCAAGACCTCGACATCAATCACAGTATCGGGATCATTAGGTCTAGTAATATCAAATAAGGCAAATATCAAAGGCACAACTCCTGATAATCTCTTCAATTGCCTCTTGTTTAATTGTTTAGGAAGTTCCTGAGATTTGAAAATTTCTTTAAGTGGAGAGAATACATCTCTGATAGTTACTATTTCATCATTGGATTTCTCCTTGGATTCAACATTAGTTATTGTTTTGTTTCTCGAAAGTTCAGTTCCAACTACTCTTGGTTGATTTCCTGCCTCCTTTACTGAAACAGAAGTATGTTCTATGAGATCTGTTAAAATATAGCCAAACATTCCATGCATTCCTGAAACATAAAGTGGAATGTTTAATTCTCGTGTAATATCATTAAGTTTCAATATCATTTGTTTATCTAATTCCGTAGCAATCACTAAATCAAAAGCTTTAACGTATTGCTTATTCGCTATAAGAGAATCCAATGATTCTGTATTGATTGAAAGATTTACTCTATTATTCAATTCTCTAATTCTATCCACAACAAGTGGCAATTTTGTTTGACCAACTACCAGGTCATCATTAGGAAGGAAAAATTGTCCAGCAAAGTCTTCTGGTTTTACCACTGAATCATCCAATATTTCAATAGTGTTTAATCCACCCAATACTAAATTCTTGACTATTTCGGTTCCCACAGCTCCTAAGTTTATAATTAGAATTTTTGAAGATCGTAAACGCAATTGGGTTGCCATTCCCCAAAGTCGAATTTGACGGTCATAAAGGGCAATTTCCTCTATTAAAGAATGTTAGTTTTGTCATTGAAGGATACAACAGTGATGAATTTGAATACATACGCGCTGAAAGCTCGTCCTTTGTCATTTCTTGGTTGCACAAATTAAGAAAGTTAAGGAAGACATTTTTTTTTTTTCATTGATATTTTTGGTTGTAAACAAACTAGCACTGGCGTGTCTCTACAACGTTTCTATTTAAGTCTATAGAAATCTTCAAATTGGAACAATGGTCCAATCCATTAGAGCATAAATGCTCATAGTATAAAATATACATCGGCATATATCTGTCAACAAACTTTTCAACTTGTTCATCAGTCATTCCTGAACCTTTTTGTTTAATCAATTCTTTTTCTTGTTGCAAACGCCAAGTATAAACGTTGTCAATAGAATTAGTACACAATACAATAAATTTGTCAAAAAACGACCATAATTTAGTATAGGGTTGCAAGTTATCATTGATTTCCTGAATATGGTAATAACGTGACTTTTGTAAGACACCACCAACTTCCGAAGTAAAATAAGTAGCGTCAACTTGTTCTCGACCGAGAGGGACAAATCCGTTAAACCACCCTTCAAATATAATCACATCAGCTGGTGTATCAATTATTTGCCATTGAGATTTATCTGCTCTATCTCCAAGTCCATGATAAGCAGTTTTATCATAGAATGGAATTTCAACTGACTTCCAAGGTGATACAGAATAATTGTTAATTAAGGCATGAAAAATTTGTAGTGCTAATGGTAAATCATGAGTTCCAGGTAAACCTCTGCCTTGCAATAGTTTGTTTTCTGATTCAATTGACGCTTTTGTGACTTCATCTTGATCTTTCTTGGTTAGGTATAAATCATCCATCAGGAAGTGAATAATGTTCAAATGAGGGTATGATTTCTGCAAGGCAGCTGTCAAGTGATTAGCTAGGTATGACTTTCCCGATCCTTGAGGTCCACTGATACCAACTACTATTGGCTTATTAACATTCAGAAAGTCACACGAATCAATTTCTTTAGAAATAAATCCAATTGAAAGGTCAAGAGAGGTCATGATGGTGCTAGTTGTTGATTGTTGATTGTTAATTAAAAGTGGAGTAAAAAAATAAAAATTCTCATATTTACAAAAAAATAAAAAGCCTATACACTTAGATAGCTTTTAATTCTTTAAGTTTTGAAATCAATTCGTCAACAGTTTCCACTTTAACACCAGCACTTCTTGCTGGTGGTTCTTCAACCTTTAATGTTTCTAATCTGTTTTCAATTTCAATTCCTAAATCGGCAGCCTTCAAAGTTTCCAAAGGTTTCTTCTTAGCCTTCATGATATTTTGTAATGAGGCGTATCTTGGTTCATTCAATCTTAAATCAGTAGTTATAATCAATGGGAGCTTGGCCTTGACTGTTTCAACCCCTTCATCAACTTCACGAGTAACAGCTACAGATTCTCCATCAAGTTCAACTTTGAAAGCATTGGTAGCCTGGGGCCATTTTAATAACCCAGCCAAAATTTGACCAGTTTGGTTAGAGTCATCATCAATAGCTTGTTTACCCAAGATAACCAAATTAGAATTTTCTCTTTCAACCAATTTTTTCAACATCTTTGCAACTTGCAATGGTTCAACTTCTTGTTCACCAACATCAACTAATGTACTAGTGTCAGCACCTTTAGCCAATGCAGTTCGCAAAACATCCTTAGCCTTAGAAGGACCAATTGAAACAGCGTGGATCTTTTCAACTAAATCTTTGCTGTTTTCTTTGATTCGAACAGATTCTTCCAAAGCAATATCACAAAATGGATTTATACTGAACTTGACACCCTTGGTCTCTACTCCAGTTTGTGCCTTATTGATTCTTGGCTTAATGGCAAAGTCAATTACTCTCTTTACAGGAACAAGAATTCTTAATTTGGTAGAAGACATCTTGATTTAAATGTAGTTATGTATCTGCACTGTTCCATTTGAGTTCTACAAATCTGTTAAAAGTTCTACCAACATTTTTTTTTCACTGTCCGAAACCGGGAAACATCAATCACGTGATCTACATATATGTACATATACAATGAAAATCATAATATAAAAACATAGTTACACAGATTTACCAAAAGAGTAAAGAATTTTCAATTTAGTAGCTATATATAGGGTATAAATTATTTCACTAAGTTGAATTCATGGTAGAATTACGAGATCTTGCTTTCATTTTCTCAATTCTAGCTCTTAACTGGGAAGTCACTTCAGCAGCCCTCTTCCAATCATCTTCTATATTTCTTGTATCATGAGACGGCAAGTTAGCAGGTGTAATTGGACTATATGAACTAGTGCTACCACTATATTGAAATGATGGTGACATGGACCCTCTCATAGCAATGTCTCCTTCAATGGATAACCTTTTAACCCCTGCACTCAACTCATTCGACTCTATTATCGTTGATGGACGAAGTGGGGATCTGGTACTTTCGGATAAATATGGCTGATGTTTTGTCAGTTGGATTCTTTCTAGATCAAGTTGCCTTTCCAATTGTATTATTCTATCATGTGATTTCTTCAACTCAGAACGAACTTTATTAATATTGGTTTCATTAACACTACTGGCAATTTCAATATTTCGTTTTTCATTTTCTAATTGCAAGACTACATTCTGCAAATCTTGTTGTAAGCGGGAATTTTCAGTCTGTAAAGATTTTATACGGCTCTCCTGCTGCAGTTGTTGATGTTGATAATCTTTAATTTGATTTTTCAACTCAGCTATTTCATTTTGATAACGCAGATCATCAGTGGACGCAGAAACAGAAGCACCAGCAGCAATTCCACCACCTGGTGCCCTAGATCGAACATTAGAATTAGTTATAGGACGGGAAGTAAGACCACGACCAAAATTACTTGCTTTCACCTCTTCAGAACGTTTAGCTGGAGAAGTAGCCATTCTCTTTGCGGGAATTGATGAATGAGGAAGACTGGTTCTAGCTCCGAGTTTGGTGGCAGCACCAATGCCATTACTTGCTTGTAAAGTTTTTTTGGGGAAACCACCATTAGAACGTTGTGTCGTTGAAGATGTTTGTACTGCAGGGGCAGGAGCCGATTTCAATTTGCATTTAACCTCAGCAGTTTCAAAATATGCTATAATTTGTGCTTTTCTATGTTCTTCAACTTTTGTAAGAAACAGATTCAATTCTCGTTCTCCTGTGATCTTCATTAAAGTACCAATCATTTCAGTAGCAGCTTGTCTAATTGGAGCTTGCGACTCAGATAGCAATTTAATACCAATTTCCATAATGGCATCAATTTCAGATGAAATAGGTGCAACAGTAGTACTTGACAAACATCTCTTCACAAAATTAGCAGCGGAAATCTTATTTTGGGGAGTTTTTAATTTCATACCATTTATAGCTGCTTCAAGAATAGAACCTACATCCCCTCCTGAAACCATGAATATAGCATCCAAAGCATTATCAAGAGCTTGTGCTACCGATGGTTTCTTTTCCTTCGATCTTTCGATAAGGGGGCTCAAAACTAAAGATTGATATTTTTGAAAGTTTGAACCAAGACCCTTAGCAATCATTTCAGTACAATTAGCAGATAACTGAACCACTTGAATATTTGCATCCTTCAAAATACATTTGGCAAATAATCTCATAACTGCAGTATAATCATCATCAGGCACGAGTTTCACTACTCTCTGCAAGATTGGAACAATCTCATCTAATACTTCGACTCTTTCTTTCCATGCTGAAGAAGAAATTCTAGCTTCAAAATTAGCAGGAAATTTTGACAACACTTCAACTGGATCAATAAACGCAAGCGGATCAACAGGTTGATTATTTTCTTCCATGTCAACATCTTGATCGTCACCTATAGCTTGTTGCTCGTTTTCTCTTTCGAGTTGTTGTTTCTGAGACCTGGTTAATCTTTTCTGTTCTGGAGCAACACCACTAACTGCTTCAAAAGCGGCAGTTAAGTCCTTTTGTTGAACAGGCTTTAATGAAGGTAATAAAGTTGCTGATAAGGCATCACGCATCCATTTATATAATTCAACAGTTAGCTTCATAGTTTCTGCTCTCACATTCTTATCACTGTGAGCAAACAATTTTACTAAACAAGGAATCACTGGTTTTGGCAGCACAATTTGGCAACCAAAATTCTCGTATATTGCCGCTAAAGCACTAACACATCCGGCAACAGTCTTGGGTAGTCTATTACCAAAATAAGGAATTATTTCTTCAATTATAGTGTCTGGTTGGTCAGTTATTTCAATCATTAGTAATAACACTTCTTGAGCATATTCTTTGGTGTTTTTCCTGGACGAGTTCAACCCCTTTTCACAAATTGGACCTATGAGCCCACTTTTGATCCTATTGAAGTTAGCAGGAGTTCCTCCAAAAGTCAAATACTTAACCAAAGCATTGTAACCTTGTTCTTGAGCAACAACATTTGCATCCATAATAGCCTTTTTAAAAAGGTCAGAACTAACATTAAAACATGGATCTTGTTCATTACGTGATGTTTCATAAGTACCAACTATTTCGGTATAAGCATGAAGTCTGGCCTTCCATACTTTATGGACTAATCTCTCATCTAAGGGAATAGCGGAATAATCCTGTTCTTCTTCAGCCATAGCGGTTAGTTGAAAGTTACTTTTACCACAATGTTTGGGTTTGTTTACATTTTTTTTCCATTTTTTTTTTTATATAGAGGCGCGCGACAAAGCCAAAACGGAAAAGACGAGACATACTTAAAAAGAGATTGGAGAACGACATTTTCTCAACTACAGTTTTAATATCAAATGCAAAAACGATGTTATATTTAGCAGCGATGAAACAAATTTACCCCAATAACAATATCATAATAAATACATACAGACTTTAACGACAATTGTTGTTTTTTTTTCTTTTATTTGTATACCTAGTTGTTTTTGGCGTACTTTGCCTTTATTTCATCAAGAGGCTTCAATTGTAAATTCCATTCTTCTTCACCAGGTCTATTGACGTAATATTTGTTGAGATCAACTCCATGGTATGGATGATAAGCAAGATTGAACCATGGTAATAGAGCAAGACCAAGATGGGAGTATTGGGAGTTTCTATTAGCAACATCCTTTAATCTGTCATCCAAAGAAGATTCATCTTCATGGTAAGGTAATTTACCTTGAGATAACAACTTCTTTATTTCATATCTGTCTTTCTTAACTTCTCGTTCATTTTCAGACCAACCCAAGAATCTTTTTGATGATCTTATGTAAGCTAAATAAAACCCACCAAAGAAACCCAAAAGAGTAGCAGCTCTCAAGGTTCCACCTGGAATTTTAGCTGGTTGTTTGTATGGTCCAGCAGCTGGTTCTAATCTTTCCCAAATATAAAGTGCCAATGGGAATGAAGCGGTGGAAATACCCCAAGCTCCATAATCGGATGGTCTAAAGTAGGAAATAACTCTAGTGAAGTAAGGGTCAACATCAATTAACTCATAATCTCCCACTGCTGGTGCATTTCTCACCGGTTCATTAGCTGGGGTATATGACATCTTCGTAAGTTTATGTTTAGGTCTACCTCGCTATAGTTTTTGATGCAATTTTTCTTTCTCAGCAAATATTCTCAAATTGTGATTGGAAGTCTCTTTTTTTTTCTCCTTGGAAAAAAGTAGTGTGAATACCAATATACAGTTTCAACCAGATCCAGTTGTATTATTCATATACCAGAGTCTATATCATTGGTGAAATATGTAAGATTTGGCTGGGATACAATTAAACAATGAATTATTGGTATGTTGGGAAAGTTGGAATAATTATCTCTATTTCCTCAATTGGGATACCTGGTTTCCATTTATGAGATTTTTCGTAGGAAATCTACTTAATCATGGCTACAATGAAAACATATAAAGAATGGATTAAAAACAAATAATCATTTACTCCCTTACCATGTTTTCATGTTTTTTGTTAGAGCAATTCCAGTCCAAATTTAGTGACTATTTGTTGTTCCATATATAACATGAAATATGGTAGCGCACGTGTTTCTACTTCATGTTGCCTTCAAAAAAGCTTTACCTTAAAATTTAATGCTTATCATACACATGTATAAGTTATACCACAGATAATGCCCTTGAGTCTTGAAGATAGGGAAGGTGCCACAGATGACTATGCAAACCCACAACCACCGAGACATCCGTTCATAAGATTGATAAATAGTGTTCGATGCCACAATGTGCCAGTGCTAAACTTTATCATCATCGGGATATTGGGATCGTTTCTATTCAAATTAACCACAAAATATACCGGGTTATACATGAAGAGCTCATTAATTACAATTATAGTTACTAATTTAGTGCTATTTGGAATATCTGAAACCATGGCCCAATCTATATTATGTTTTCGAAGAGATCAACCTCGGATGGATTTTAGATTTAATGAACCAGGTCACAGTGGTATGTCATTTAATTCGAATGACATTGCATTGACCACAGAGGATAGACTGGAATATAGAGATGAAGAAGAAGAACAGGGAGATGATGTCGCAAGCATTTCCAGCATAGACGAAGAAGGATTGGACCGGTTTATAAATTATTTACGTCAAGATAACGAATCAATTGTGGAGAATTCTACGATTGATGAGGGATTCACATCAGCCTTATCACCTCCAACTCAATTAACATATTTTCAATTTAACAGATTAGCAGGATTCATGTGTTGGGGGTTTATGATGGCTTTTGTACAATGCTGGTGGTATAAGTTCTTACAAATATATTCCAAAGATCCTAAATTTATTGAAGTTTTACGGAAAGTATTAACTGATCAACTTTGCTTTTCACCAATCTCATTATTTTGCTTCTTTACCTATGGTACAATAGTACTTGAAAGTGGTAATTGGGAGCAAACAAAGCAAAAGTTGTCAAGAATTTATTTAAAAACTTTAATTATTAATTATTCAGTTTGGTTCCCAGTTCAATTCTTTAATTTTTTAATTGTTCCTAGAAATTTTCAAGTTCCATTTAGTTCATCGGTTTCAGTATTGTGGAATTGTTTCTTATCCATGAGAAATTCCCGTAGTTAGGATTAAATATACATTCCCAAATTGGAATACCCATTAAATTTTCTAACTTTTGAGCTTACTCTTTTAAGGTAATCTTCCTTATCCTCAATTTGTAAAACTTCTCCAAGAATAACACAAATATCAATAATTGCATCGTTGTCTGATTTTTCAAAACCGGGTTGTCCCTCGGAATTAAGTACAAGTGGAATTAATTTTGCTGAAGGTGGCAATTGGGAAATAATAGCTGCAGAAATCCCTGTCACTGTATGAGGAGGTGTCAATACAGGGATCACTTCAAGTAGTGGATTTGATTCCAAAATGGCAATCGTTTGATTATTATTCATACTGCAAGGTGATAAAAGAATCCATTGCTTAGGATTTCCCACCTTGACCAATTGTCTTGCCAAGACATTATATGCTATGGTATTGTAAAAATGAGGAACAGTTAATACAACATTACCATTGCTAATTGAATATATTGGAATTTGTGCAGTAGGGTATTTTGTATCTAATTCTCGTTGACGTATAGCAGAATACAATTGTTCATCTTCATCATAGTCAAGCTGCGATTCTTCACTAGTTGTCTGCACCAATTCAGGGTATTCAATCTTGACTGTACCAACCTGAGTAAGGCTACTCAATTCATCTTGCAAAATACTTATAGTTTTAGGAATAACCACAATATTTCCAATAGAACTTGTCTGAAGATCAATTGATACGGTTGGAATTGGATGAGGTGTGGTGTCATCAGTATCGTCGTCAAGAATATGACGAGGGTTTCTTATATCATTGATTGGTTTAATCTAAAAAGTGTTAGTAGATCAATCTTCTACATATCCAACATATAACTAAGAAAGTGTTACTTACCAACATGTCTATAGTTTATACTGCTAGGTTCAAGGGCAAAAAAGTGGATCTAATTTTTGCAAACCTCAAAAATGCGAGGATCGTATTTTTTTGTCAGGGTGGGTTAGGACTGGTATGTGAAAAAAACAAAAAAATAAGACCACTGCTTTAGACAATAGAGCAAATCCCCAGAACAGCCAATGTTGAAAACTTTGTCTAAAACCGCAAAACCTAGATGCGGTGGTAGTCTACTCAGACTCTACCACTCGTCTGAACATATAGGATCTAATGTTATTGTTGACAACAATACTATTGAATCGAAAATTTTAAGCAAGGCATTAGAACATATTCCTAGATATGGATTTAAAACTGGCAGTATCACCAAAGCTATTCGTGACTTGGAATACCCCGACTCAATTCAGTCAGTCATTACTTCAAATCCTAAGGGGAACTCTGCTGAATTTCAACTAACTTTACACTGGTTAAAATCCAAGAGACAAGAATTAAACAATTACGCTGCCGAAGACCCTGAATTCAATTCTATAACCAATGAATACGAACGTGTTGCCAAGTTAATTAAAACTAGACTAATGATGAATTCTCCTGTTATTGGCCATTTACATGAAGGGTTATCTCAACTTGTGGTGCCTTATAATCTTCCTCAATCAATGGAAGAATTGCACAATCTCAGTGATGATATCGCATTTTTAGCAGGAGACATGTCTCATGATTTTGCATGGTATAGTAAAAGAGCAGGATTTTCATCAATCTACGTAAAATCTGAATTATATATGCTTCAAGATTCCAGTGCCAATTTCAAGAAAACTAACAAATTTGTTGATGAAAAGGTTCGTGGCATTAAGCAACTAGGCGCAGCTTATAATAGCGTCGAAGAATGGGGGTTGTTTAATGCTATAAGTTTAGTTAATCTTATCAAGTCTCAACTCATACGTGGGTAAACATTGTACATACGAATAATATCAGTGGATAGTTTATATGCAAATTAGTATAAGCTTTATATATATATACACATATCTTATGACTTACTGCCCCAATTGTGCCCTTACAGCCAATAACTTATTTCTAGTTGTTTCTATTTTCTTTTCTTGATCAGCAATTTTCGTTTCAACACGACTGATTTCTCCTTCAATAAATTCAATTCTTTTGGTAACATTTAATTTAGCTTCTGTGAAATCTTGTGGCAATAGCACTGGACCAGTTAATTTATAAATCTTTGAATCTTCATTGAGATTTTCAAATTCAGCTAATACGATCTTATTTTCTTGATATTGAGTTTCTAATTGTGATCTTGCGGATATTAATTCATTAAGTGAATTTTGATCATTTGAAAATTCCAACGAAAGTGATTCGAATTGTTGTTTGATATCAGACATGGTGTTGTTTCGACAGAAGTCACAGTTAATATTTTACAGCAGAATTTTTTTTTTTGGTTGTAGTTTTTCGCGCAGTAAGAACTTGTTAAAAATACGTTACCATTACATTCCAATAGATAAGAGAAGTCTACCTAAAGCACAATATATCAAACCAGTTAGAACTAACCAAATGCCGAGTGGGATAACAGACGCGCAAATCTAGCTTGGAAATATATCCCGATCTTGTTCATTAATTATGATGTCAGTAACTCGCACTCTATACCTTCTATTAGTCGAATCTCCTCCATACCCATTCATTTCTTCATATTCTTCATATTCTTCATATTCTTCGGTGGTTGTAATTTCCAGATCATTATCCTCGTCATCATAATCCTCCGCCTGCGGTATTGATTCGTTATCATTATCATTATCATCTTCCATAGAATCGTCTATAATGGCACTACTATCTAGGTTACCACCATAGCTAAACACGGGAGGTCTTGGTGCATGATAACTTGTATGTCTTCTTTGCAGTAGTGACTCCACTGATGAACAGTTTGTCATTGACGTGTCGCGTTTTGATGTTGTACTAGTATTACTAGTAGTGGAAAAGCTGTTTCTAAATTTCCGTTCATTTGCCAACGAACGCAGTTGCTGATAAGGAGTAGCAAACAAATCTTGGTTAAAGATGAACCCTTGACATTCTCTTAATGAGATAATACTAAAACTAGCACTATCCGAAAAATAACTTGGTGACTCATACACACTAAAATTCTCATTTTGTATCATGGTTGGAGATAAGAATGAATTCCGTCTAAACCAAGGTGAAGACGTGTTTGCAAATGATGAGTTTCTTCTTTTTATCATAGTCGGTTCGGGACGTGGCGAGGTCATTTTATGCGTAGTAGTAGTGGTGGTGGTCGAAGAAGACTTTCGTCTCATGTATTGAGGGGATGTGGGATTTGATGATTTACGTAATTCTGCCATGGCTCCTTTTTTATGCGATAATGACGGAAAATGTGCGGGGGAGATAGATATTCCGATAGGTTACTAAGGGTATTAAAAGGGATTAAGTAGGTGAATAGTGAAGTAGGAGTAATAAAATGTTGTAAAGGATTACCTGTCAAAGGAAAAAGAGAAATATAAAATGTGGGTGAGTATGAGAAATCATATTGTTAACTGAAGGGAAAGAGAAAGCAAACATTAATGTGCGACCGATAAAAAAACCCAGACCTTTTTTTTTTTTTGCTTTTCTTTTTTTTTATTTCTAAAAAAATTATGGCCGGTCTCGCGAGATCGTTTCAGCCATAATGGATCTTGGCTCATGCGTTTCACATTCTCTGTATTACCGTGAAATTTCTACATGTTAATTTTCTACAGGAGAAATCATATAAAACAAGTCATACCATTCGTTAAAAAACACCAAACCAGATTTGAAAAAATACACCTGGGTCGAATATAAACCTATATACACTAATGACCCTTTCTCCTACAGAAATAACAACAAAAAAAAAAAACTTGCTAAGCCGGAGCAAATTCCTTTAAGCATTCAATCCATTCTTCTCCTTAAATGCCAATCTTTCTTTCATTTTATTCATGACATATTGCAATCCCTCTCTTGAGTTCTTCATATTGGAAGAGAACCGATTGTGACTCCATTGCTCAATACGTTCTTTAAAACCAATAAAATTAGACGAAAATTTAACCTTCGATTTCACAGTAGTATTATCGTTGACCGTCGTGTATTTTAAAAATTCTTCAACCCTAATAAATTTTCGGTGATCGATGTTGCTGCTATATGTATACAAAGTTTTAGTCTTGGGATTGACGATACTCTTTTCAATAATCCATGAATTCAAATTGCTACCAAGGAATGGTTTAATAAACTGAGGTAATCTCCCGGTTTTAACAACCACTCTTGTTGTGCAAAGTCGTCCTTCTGCGTCAATATATGATTCTAACGTATCACTTGACAATACATGTTTAGCATATGGATTAGGGTACCTGTTCAAATATGCCAAGCTCGTCGTTTGAAAATCATACTTGTATTCTTGTTCACTTTCAAAATAAAGAACCATGTCTATGTCTTCTTATACGTCAGCACTGAGTAATTGATTAGCAGAGTTCTACTCTAGCAACGGAGTTTGCTTTAAGGGATGAATGAAAAAAAAAATAGTTTTCTGGAGAAAACAAGGGTAGAAGCGCTGGTACAAGCAAAAAAAAATTTTTTTTGAGCCAACCAAGACTTAGCCAACTGTAATTGTTACCTGTACTCCGGCAAAACTTTTTGCCAATCAGAACTTAATTCAGAAGTCATCGGAACTTTAATTAGATGATAATTTCAGGCAGTATACATGTTTCTAATACATCCGTATTTTCCAAGCTCTTTCCAACTATAATTATATGCTTCGGATATAAGCTAAGACTTTTCACGTGCAAAAGCTCGAGTCGTGCAATATACAATTCGGATCGTGTGGAAGAATAATGTCAAGAAAACCTGTCAAGAATGGGAACTCGCGTAAATTTCTCGCTATGTAATACCCTAACTGACTACCTAGTTCTAAAATAATTAGCGGATCGGCACGCACACACACACACACACACAGACAGACACACAAAATAGGGGTAAATATTAGTTAAATATGCCAAGGGCTATATAGCAATATAAGAATCTCTGACGTCATATCCCATACCTCTCTGAATACTAAGAGAAGTCGATTAGGATTGTTTGACATAGTTCTGCTAGGCGGGGAATAATACGGCACAATGAGATGTCACAAATTAGTAAAATAGAATACCACAACTTGCTGCAAGAGAAGATTCCAATGAACTGATATTTCAGACTAATCCGCTTCGGAAATGCATGCATGAATGCTAGTGCTACTATCCATACATAATCGGAAATACCCCAGACTTAAAACCAACTTTAGGTTTGTCGTGTTTATAAAAGGTTGGTTTCTCCGAAAGGTTCATTTCCGAGATAACTTGTGTGTAATTTGTAGAGGTCCGTAAACTTTAAATTTTGTAATGCCTCAATATTTATAAGAGTCGCTCGGGTGGAACACGGAGCTGATACCGACTTTAAAATGACATAACTATGGGGAAGAACCACCTCCTTTTTTTTTATAGTACAACATTCAACAAATGACCATATCATAAGATAAGCACATTCTCACACGATTCATGTGTGACGTAGATCTGACTCCACAAAGTTTCACCATAATCTCCGAACCAATTATATTTAAGTCTCTTTACATGAAAGTGCGATGGTCACAAATCTATCTAATTATTTAATTTGCAGGATCTATTGTTAAATAAATCAAAAAAAGGAAAGCTAAAGGCATTCGGTGCGGCCTGCGCTCAAAAAGCCGTTTTGATTCTACACACAATGTGGGGCCGATTCCGCGGAAAAAATAAGAAACGCCGAGCAAGTTGGTGGGGCACACAATGGGTGATGGCTATGCATATTACTAAATTAAATATATTAACTTCCACATTCTTAGTTCTGATTATTAGGTATAAATCACAATAATGAATTATAAATATTCTTATACTTCCCTTGGGTTTTTTATAGACTCTTAGGCTGGGTTTTTTTTTTTGTTATGGCTATTCTTTTTTTTTTTCATTTGTAAATTATAAAAGTTTTGCAACTAGCGCATTAGTCTATTTTAAACACTTCTAGAACGTATCATGACAGAACCAAAAAAGGATATTTTGGAATTTGAAAAGTTCGATGAAGGACTTCATTTACAATCTACACAAACAGATTCTTCCGTTGACAAGTCATTCGCACAATCAATAGTCGACTCGTTCAGACGAGCACCACCAAATACATCATACAAGAAGGCAATATCAAAAAATGAACTACGTATAATGTCCCTTTCCACAGGGTTAGGAACTGGGCTTTTGGTTGCTGCAGGTCAAAAGTTGAAAAATTCTGGTCCTGCTGGTTTACTTATTGCATATGCTGTGGTTGGGTTGGGTATGCTTGTACCCACGGTCAGATCACTTAGTGAATTATCGGTTGCCTATAGTGGGTTACCAGGTGGTTTTCAATCATATTTTGCCAAGTTTATTGATGAAAGTTTGGCGTTTGCATTAGGGTGGAATTACGCCATTCAGTGGATGTGTGTCATTTCCTTGGAGTTGGTGGTTGCTACCATGACGATAAATTTTTGGAATAAAACGATTAATCCGGATATATTTGTGATGGTATTTTTGCTTTTTGTGATATTTATTAACCTTTGTGGGGCAAAAGGGTATGCATATTCTGAAATGATTATGAATTCGACCAAGATTTTCATGTTGACTGGGTTTTGTATATTTGGATTGGTTATGGTTCTTGGAGGTGGTCCTGAAGGATGGGTTGGTGGAAGATATTACCATGACCCGGGAGCATTTACAAGTTTTAAAGGTATTGCTGGAGTATTTGTCACGGGGGCATTTTCTCTTGGGGGTTCAGAGTTTATTTCCTTATCTGCGGCTGAAACCAAACATCCCCGTAGATCACTTAGAGCTGCATCGAAGTTGGTTTATGTCAAGGTTATTGTCTTGTTTTTGGGATCATTAACTTTTATTGGATTGTTGGTTCCTTACAATCATCCAAGACTTACTGGTTCAGGATCATCATCTTCTACTTCTCCATACGTACTTGCCACTTTAATCCATGGGGTTCCTCATTTAAGTCATGTTATAAATTCGGTGATTTTAATTTCGGTTACGTCAGTTTCTATTGCTGCCATGTATAGCTCGCAAAGATTGGTTCAATCATTAGCTCACCAAGGACTTGGACCTAAATGGTTGGATTACGTTGATAGAAAAGGTAGACCAGCCAGGGCCTTTTTGGTTTGTATTATTGCTTCCTTTTTTTCTTTTATAGCTGCATATGATCAACAGGAAGCGGTATTTACTTGGTTATTGTCAATTTCAGCCTTGAGTTTTATCTTTGTTTGGATGTTTATTTGTGTGTGTCACATTAGATTCCGGGCTGCTTTGAAATACCGAGGAATTAAGGTGAGCAGTTTAGCATATGTTTCTCCAACTGGACTTTGGGGATCATATCTTTCCATTGCAATTAATATTTTTATGTTGGGATGTCAATTTTGGGTTGCATTATGGCCAATTGGAGGGGACGGTAAGCCTGATGTTATGTCATTTTTCCAAAATTACTTGGCAGTTCCATGTTTTATTGTGTTTTATTTGGGGCATAAAATTTACACTGGTAATTGGAAACTCTTTAAACGTGTTGATGAAATTGATATTGACACCGATCGAGTAATCTACGATCGAGAAATTTTAGACTTGGAAAATACTGAAGATAAAGAAAAGTATGACCAAGCTCCATTTTGGAAAAAGATTTTGATTAAATGTTTTGATTAGAAGTATATAGAATAACATATAACTTTTTCACGTAACTTGGTTTCTCCTATTTATTTGAAGCTTGGCAAAAGGTAAGGGGTATCATTATATTTTAAAATGTTGGGCAATTTTTGTCTCTTTTCGTTTAAATTTTTGCATTAACTTTGACATTAACTACCAACCCATTCCAAACTAATCAATCCGTACCTTGAGCTTAGCGACTAACCATTATATGACATTCTTAATGTCATTTTTTTTTAGAAGTTTAGGTTATGCTTTCTGCTTACGATATTTCTTAAGCGCATTAAAAAAATGAAGCTGCAAATTATTTTCCAGTAAAAATATGAAACGAGGTTTTTTTTGTGTTGCACATGCTACCTAAGCAATGTTTTTAAAAAAACATTCAATAGGTGTAACATTTTGACTGCATATAAACCCGAATTAGCAGATGCAAAACTTAGTTTAATGCTTTTCATAAAGGTTGCGTGATACGTGGGGGTTAGTAGCTTAGGACAACAACTACTACTACTACACTAATCGAGTTTGAAACAATCGCTAGTAACGTAAGTACCACAAAATCATGTTCATATATTGCTACCCGTTGGAAAGTCACATGCGTTTCAATATAAAGTTATGGCTCATAGTACAGTACAATGATTTATTTTTTTTATTTTTGCGGCAAACATATTAGATTTATTTTTGCAATGTTCACAATTGTATTTAAACAACCACTTTCCCCTTTTCATGGCTAACATTCCTGAGCTACTTTCTTTTCTTCTATTAGCTTGCTTACTATCAACGCTAGATATAATAAGATCATTACTACAAATGTCTGCTACCGAGAACAACATCGCCGCTACAGTTGAACAAGATAATACCACCCAAGGATTGAAAACAGTGGATCATTTCAAGAAGTACCCTATTGTTCATTCTACTGGGGCTTTAGTACGATCCATTCCACTTAGCAAGACATTCTTTGGAGTTTTTAATTACAGCTTTCAAACAGTGAGAAATGTGCAACCATGCAAGGCAATCATAAATACATCCGATGAGTATGCAAATCGAGCCCTTGATGAAATGGATCGTTGGTTCCCATCATTGCAAACAATAGAAACAAAAGACATTACTACACCCATCACTAAGCCAGTTGCCACCGCGATCGAAGGGGTTCAAACTTCAATCACTACCATTAATGAAACAGTGCTGAAGAATGTTGTTGAACCAACCATCAATGTTCTTGAATCGGCCAAACAAGGGTTTGAATCCAAGGTTTATGATAGTGAAGGTAAGGGAATCATATCGAGTCAAGCGGATCCACTCGTTGCCCCAATTAATAATTCTTTACAGAATTTTGTTGATCGTCAATTTCCAGACAAGGAAAGAGTTCCTCAAGAGGGACATTCTAGTGAATTGGCACGTACTTTAAAAATTGTCAGCAATGCGTTGTCAAGAGGTGAAAAGACAAAGAAACAGTAAATCTCTTAAATAGTTAATTTAATATGAAATGCTAATTTTGGTTTTCTTATAAAAATGTAGATTTTAGTTCTATGCAAAACTTACTATGAAAGTTCAATTGTTTTTAAAAAAAATACTATAAAAATATGTAGTTTACAAAGGGGTTGGTGGTTTAATCCTTGGACTTCTTCTTCTTTTTCTTTGGGGATTCGTCATCATCAGCCTTTCTCTTCTTATCTTTCTTTTCCTTCTTTTCCTTCTTGTCTTTCTTTTCCTTCTTTTCCTTCTTTTCTTTCTTTTCTTTCTTTTCCTTCTTTGGTTCTTCTTCCTCTTGTTCTTCTTCATCAACTTCAATATCAGCAAGATCTTTACCAGTCAAGGCTAAAGCTTCCTTAATAGCATCAGCATTCTTCATTGGAGCAGAACCAGTATCGTAAAAGTTTAATCTTTGTTCAACTTGCTTCTTTAATATTTCACCAAAAGCAGTGGTTGGTTCATCGGAATAGTTATCAATTCTGGAAGCAATAGAACATTTGTTGGCCAAATATCTGGAAATTCTTCCCTTATTCTTAGCACTGGCCTTACCAATGAATGAGGAATGGTAAATCAAACCATACTTTGGAGTGTTACCCTTGGTCTTTAAAGCTCTAAATAAAGCCTTTTCAGCACCCAAGATTTGCACAGTTGAGGCAGCTTGCTTAGACAAGTTGGTCAAGGAACCGGCATGGGAGATCAATCTAGCACCAACAACTTCACCAATCAAGGTAGACAAGTTAGGAGCAACAGTGTGCATCTTATCAGTCAAGTATTTGTACAATTGTTGTCTGTATTCACTGATGTTTACTACTCTTTGCGCAAATGTAATAACATTGTCCAAATCTTGTTCACTGATATCTTGACCCATGGAGATCTTAGCATTGTCAATAACTCTTTGAGCAATACCAGAATCTTCATTGACCAAAGCAGCAACATCATGCAAAGATTCATCAGTTAAAGAAGCCTTGTCCTTGATAAACAAAGCCAACTTGGCAAAGGTATAGTTATCAGGAACAATCTTGGCCAATTCTGGAAAGTGCCAACCGTACCATTCCTTAACTCTCATGGAGAAGGTGTTGATATCTTTGTCTAATTGATCTAACAAGGCAATAGCTTGAATAATGTGGTTGTCGTTTTTTTGGACAGAGAACTTAACTTTAGCTCTGGAGAAAGCATGCCCTAAACCTAATTGGGCTCTTTCAATATCACCTTCTTGTAAATCCTTGAATAACTTAGCACCATGAACTCTGATTCCTCTCAAAAAGTCTTGAGCAATTTCATTGGATAAACAATCAACATATGGGAAAATTTCCTTGATTGATGGACCCAAGTTCTTGTCAGACACACCCAAGGTAATCTTATTCTTAGCTGAGGTTTTTGGCAAGTTTAATTCCAAAATAGATTTCAAGTAGTCAGAAACTAACCCTTCGGAGATGTCGTTAGCATTTTCTAAAGCTTGAGCTGCACCCTTGAATGGAGCGAATGATACTAACTCAACCATCTTGGAAAACTTGGCCAAATCATTGGAAGCTTCTTGGACTTCTTTTTGTCTGGAAGCAATGTCATCTTGTTGAATCAATACTTTGAAGATACCATACCCTGTGGCTTCTTCAAAAAGAAGGTAATCTAATCCCATTATTTACAGTTGGTTTCTACCTTTTTAATGGTGAATAGAAAAAGTTTTCCCAGTTTTTTCAGGACCTCTTCTCCTAAAAGGAAGAAGAAAAAAAAAAAAACTTTCTCATCTCGCATCGAAATTTCATCACATGATCCAAAGTCACATGTCACATGTCACATGCCATATAAACCCTTAATCACAGTTACAGAATAACTAATACATTAAATTATACACACCCTATTTAAGCAAAATTAAGGTCCCAACCAAATTCCTTTAAAAGATTATGCCAGTCAACAACTTGGTTCCCAGTAGGGTTCTCTTCCCAGATTCTTTCCATTAAAAACTTTACTCTGCTGACATTCCACATACCATATAGTTTCATATACTCTTCAATTCTAGCACTCATAACTTCTCGGGAGTGTTTGCTGACACAATGAATTCCTGATATAAAGATCGGGAATACTAACGACGCCTGCACTGATGTACCCACCAATATATCCAAACACTTGATCAAATCATTGTTCAACACTTGACTTTCCAACATCGAAGGATTACATTTCATGATTGATTGTCGAAGAAACAATTTTGAACTTAATTGGAATGCTTCAAATAAAGTTAATTGCAATTCAAGTTCTTGGTCAGTTAAATCAATCAAGTCTTGTTTCTCCGGTTTCGATTCTTCAATTTCTTTTTCTAATAGTTTGACTTTTTCAATCACAGATTGTAATAACCTACTTGCTCTTCCATGGTCACTGATGTCTGAGTCTACATCATCTAAAACTTCTTCTTCAATAGGACTATGATGACTATCGTCAGAAGGAGGGGAATCCAATTGATAAAATTCTCGAAGGATTTTCTTACTTTGGTAAAGCAACGTACATATATCACCTATTATTCGGTATAACTTCTTGGAAATCCCCACCAATGGATTCAAACTTCCTCGTGAAAACCCATTTCTATCCTTGAAAATCTCATCATAATCCTGGGATGGGAAATATGTTCCTCGTTCAATCGACGAACTTGCCAATAAATCATGATAGGCAAAATTTGAAATTAACCAATGTTCTTCTTTCAGATTATTAAACTTTAGAATACCACCATTAGAAGCAAGAAGCTTCCATCCCCAATTCAAATATATTGGCCAATTATTCACATCACCCTTACAAATTTCAGCCCCACACAATATCAATAATGTCGCCAACTTATTCAATATTGATTGTCGATCATTATCCTGTTCATTAAGTTTTATATGACGTAAGGCATAATCAGCAAATTTTGTCCCTTCTTCAGACCAATGTCCGCCTAAATGAAACCCTGACCATGCTAGTATACTATACAACACTCCCTTATCTCGATGGGCTAAAGGAAGAAACACCTTTTGATAGGAATTAGAATCATTTTGGGAACTTGGGGCAATAGAAACCAATTTGGATAGCACTTCCACATAATAATTGTAGAGATATGAACAAGTTGAATCCTTTAATTCAGGAATATATGAAGGGGGACTAGCTGGCAATGGCGTTAGGAATGTGTTTGAATCTGAAATCAAGTTAGCATATGTTGACGAGGTTCGATCTAAGGACTCAACAAAGGATGCAAAACTAGGAGAAGTGACAAGATGTTGAAAATCTAGACCCAGATAATCTTCAATTTCGCCACACTTTTTACCCGTTGGGATTAGTTGATTTGGTGACTGACTACCACTTATTTCACGGAGCAAATTCAAGAAAGCAGAGGGGGAAGACGGCGAATGGTAACCATTATGTTCATTCTTGATTTCACCAGGACTCATTAAACTTAGTAATGTTGGAGAATCAGCAGTTGCTGTTTTCTTTTCATCAGGTGCAGCATCATATCCAAAAGCAGTCAATGGATCTCCGGTATCTGAATCATGTCTTTTGCGCTTATCAGGAGAATTAGGTTTTTCCTTTGATTTCCTCTTTCTTAGTTTCCGTTGACTCTCTTCCCGTTCGACACTTTCCTTCAACTTCTTAATCTCTTCTTCAGTCATGGTTTCATAATCTACCCAGGTACATTTCTTTTTCAACCGTTGACAGTCTGAACAAACTGGACGGGTTTCGTCACATTTCTTTTTCCTAATCTTACATGTCAAACAACCATTCTTGGATCGACATGTATCTTTAAACCGATAAAAGTCGTTGGAACTAACTATTACTTTAACATTTGGAGGTGTTCGTGGTTTAGGAATAACTGGCAGCATAGCTAATGTATCTGCTTCCTTAGGATCACACAAGGGAGAGTTTGGAATCGTGGTTAAGTGCTCTGGTTGCTTAATTTTCTTCTCTCGCTTGTTGGCTCGTGAGTTAAAAGTTATTAGCATAATTTAATATCTTTGATAATGTGAGTTATATTGTAGCTTGTAAGGATTAATAAAAAAATTTTTCAAGCTTGTGGTCTATGTGGGGGTTATAGATATTTTCATTCCATTGTTTGTCATTGGAGTGCATTACAATGGGTATTTGTATTGACCGGTCTGGTAGGAAGAGGGGCAAAGGGCCCACAAAAAAAAAAAAAAATTAAGCGCGCGAAAATAAAAGAAAAACTTGGCAAAAGTTGGGGAAGTACTTCGCCATTTAGCACTGCCAGGTTGATTGGTCTTTCAAAGCGTTCTTTTACGATTTACTAGCTAAAGGTAAGAAGGCAATTGACCCAACCATTTCTCTTCTTGCGTAAAATCGATCTTTTGATGTTCAAATACAAGATCACAAGTGGTAGTAAATTCTTCATTATTATCATCTAGGTTCGTCAATGTAAGTCGAAAAAAAGATTACTCCATAGCAATTGAAACTGTAAGACTTTTAACTTTAGCTACTACTAAAACCTTATCTAAACACTAAAGAAAGTGTTGAGCCTTAATCTAATTTGAATCAGATTTAGTATATGCAAAGACTGCTTTATTTTTTGTTCTGGCCCAAATTGTTCCGCAATCGGATTTATTCCGCCTTATTATTATAAGCACTAAGATTTCCGTCCGTTAAATAATGTCATGTCCGTAAATATGTTTTCACATAGCCCGATCGCTAGCGGTCTTCCTAATATTACACTCAATCTCTTATTTTCCTACCATTCCATGCCCTTTTACCTACAAGGGGCTAGATTACTTCCTCGTAAGTTCTCGAAACATTAGTGGAAATCGTAACCCATTGGCCCTGCAGATGCACCCCCCCTCCCCCAGTCGAACACACCAGGGGGCACCAATTAGGTTCACCTGGTAATGCAACTGTTATATCAACGCAGGAACAACCAGCAAATTTTCAGGTCGTCTCTTGTCAGGGCATGTAACCAGTTCTGTATTAACCAATTCTTTACCCAATTCGCCGTGTCAAACGTTTCTATCCAAGTCAAGATTTACCCCCTAATGGTGCACAATGTACTAACTTAGTCCTCTATTCCTGCTTCTTAAACCTAGATCACATGTTATTATGCACTTGTCAGAGCAACAATATGCTTGTTGTAGCAACACAAGAGCTAGCGGATGTATAAACCCCTTCTTGATGCATAATATAGTTTGGAGAGTGGTACGTTTCTTATGCAATCACATATACTTAGATAAACAAATAAGTTGCATAAAGATATCAGTTTACCCGTATTTAAACTAGCCCTTTGTCTGTACCTTAGTAGATCGTGTATTTGCAGCATTAAAAGAAGAGGGGGGATAGACGAGCGGAGAATAACGGAGATAGAAATGGAGGGGACCTTTCTGATATTAAAAAAAAGCTTCATAGATCTAGACACCAATTCACACCTCCTGTAGTATTAGTATCACTAGTGAATGTGTATAGTTTTAGTGTAGTTGGCTTTATTAATTGCATGTGTAAATCTGTCATTCTGAGGCACAGTACAGATAAACATTCCGATTATCTTATCTGATATATTACATATGCCACTTCTTACTTCTTAGGGAATGCTATACTGTTCCAAATATGATCTGCTTATTTCTGGCTGTATATTTTCAGGTGCATTTCCATCTAGAAATCTCGTGAGTGGATTCAATAACAAACCAAACCAATGTTATTATGCAGAATTTAGTTCCCAGAGATTCCTGATTACTCATGAAATCTAGCTACATACTTGCTACCCCAACGCAAGCATACCTCGCTTTAGGTTAACCTATTAGTTATTTGTTCACTCTTCGATTACATTAACCTTTTTCATTTTATTACCTAAATAGGAGAACGCAATCACCTGACCCAATTTGCACATTTGCACGACTTATCTATGGATTTTTTTTTCTTTGTTATTATCGTGTGGGAATTTTTCTAGAGTATTCGATTGGATTCTAAAAATGTAACTTTGCGACATTTTTCTTACAAGCCGATAAAAACTGTTGCCAAACAAACTAAATTAAACAGTCGACAATTTTGTGACATTTCTTTTTTTTCGTTTCATTGGCAAACCATAAAAAAATCAAACGACATTTCGTAATATGCTTGTCCATCAATTTTTTCCCTCTCACCTCTCTGGTGGATCTCCTTTCTTTTTTTTTTCTTCTATTCTTTCTTTTCTCTTAGTTGTTATCATTTGTCATCTTATCTTAACACAACTCACATCTTAATAATAAACGAATCATGTCTTTAAAGCGTATTAACAAGGAATTATCTGACTTAGGAAGGTATGTTGTTCTATAAAAGTAAAAAGAGGGGAGCGGGATATATGAAAAAGACAGATCAAAAATAAGTTGATTCACCAACGAGCACCTATGAAAGCAAACAACAATCCACAAACACCGAATCAATCTAACCAAACCTTAAACAAGGTTAGTGAAACTTTCCATTGTATCAACTATGAATCAACAATGTTCACTGGTCTGGTTGCTCTAAGAAGTTTCCTAAAGTTATGGTGGCGTATTTTCAGTAGGCGCTTTTTTTCCCTTGCCAAATGGACGTCAAACCCTCACAAGAGCTCATGCTCGTGCCCGCCCACTCCGTTTAACGTTATAGCCGTCGCCCAAAAACTTGATTTACTAACTGTTTTAATATAGAGATCCACCATCTTCATGTTCTGCTGGTCCTGTTGGAGACGATTTATATCATTGGCAAGCATCTATCATGGGTCCTCCAGATTCTCCATATGCTGGAGGTGTTTTCTTTTTATCTATTCACTTCCCAACTGATTACCCATTCAAACCACCAAAGATTGCTTTCACCACTAAAATCTATCATCCAAATATCAATGGCAATGGTAATATCTGTTTGGATATCTTGAAAGATCAATGGTCTCCAGCTTTAACTATTTCTAAAGTATTATTATCTATCTGTTCCTTGTTGACAGATGCTAACCCTGATGATCCATTGGTTCCAGAAATTGCCCATATTTATAAACAAGATAGAAAGAAGTATGAAGCCACAGCCAAGGAATGGACAAAGAAGTATGCTGTTTAGAAGAAGAGAAAGAGATTGTGTCATATACGAAAAAAAAAACAAACTATAATGTTATAATGAAATCATATTTGAAATGAAATAAATTGAATCACACAAAGATTTTCAGTTTATTTCTTATAATACGTCATCATAGTATATCCCCTTCTTATTTTTCTTTGGAAAGATTATACATAGCTTTATCTCTTCATTGGGAATAAATTAATCCGATAGACAAAACATTCAACTTTGTAGAGTTTTCTATTTGTAGGTATAGTATGTTTATAGCAAGTACTTGTTTATGTTGAAAAAAAAATCTGAAGTTGGAAAAGCAACCAACCGAAAAATTATGGTGGTAAAATCAAGATCTCATAAACATACCTTTATGTATTAACAACAACTTAATCAATCACTAAAGGCCAAACAACTGCACAGGCATCATCACAACCCAACCGATTTAACCTCATAGATCCCAATACTATCGGTTTTCTTTTTGTTTCTAAGCAAATTTGGTTACCATTTTTTTTTTTAATTTTTAATTTTAAACTTCCATAAGGATCTGATAGACCTATAGTTAACCATGGACAAATTAAACACGTTCCAATCCAACAGTCCCAAGGGACTTTTCACATTAGCCAAGCGATTGAATGAGCTGAAATTTTTTCAATTATTTCTCAGTGAACCTCAATCCAAAATCATAAACTATATACTAAACCTTGATAATTTGGAAATCTGGACAAATTTTCTCGAAGGAAACTGTTATATTTCCTATTTAGAGAGCGAAAATAGTAAAGAGAAGACTATAAGTGACAAAGAGTTAGAAAAGCCTAGTGAGACCGATAATCAGGGGTCCACGGACGAGAAGACTGACTTAGGCAACGAGCCAGAAGAGCCCGAGACTTTGTTTGAACAAGGTATTTCCACGAGCAAAATGTTGGCATTCCATATCAGGTACTTGCTATGGGAGAAAGCAGTTGATTTTTATTATAGCTCAAAAGAGCTTTCGGAATCAGACAAGAATCTAGAGGAAGTGACTGATGATTATGAGTTGATTGATTCACTTGACAGTCTTTCTGATGACGAGGAACAACTGAAAGCCGGGAAACAACAGGAAAAAATCGAAAAGCCTGTCATACGAGCAATAGAAGACGATTATGACGATGATTATGATGATGATGAAGAAGAAGAGCCAGCTAAGCCAGAAGTGGTTGAAGTTGAGAAACCGGAAAAATCCAGCCTTGAATACAATTCTGAAAACCAGCTTGTTTTAGAAATCCCAAAGTCTGTTCTTATATCCACTTCCAAATCTGAATCTACCACTAATAACATGGAACAAGTTGCGTCAAGTCAAAAATTGGAGAATGGTGAAGAAGTAACCTCGAGGGAAGATCAAGAGAAAATCATCAAGGAATTCAATAAAGTGTATCATAATTTTGAATATGACAGGGAAACATTATTAAAAAGGAGAAAATTAGAACAATCTGACTTACAATTGGCTCACTCGAAGGAAACACCCGCTGATAAGAAACAAAACGAGTCAAAACATGTAGAAATCAATTTAGGAGCTGCATCTACATCTTTGCAACATTTACTTTCTCGAATTCAGATGAAGCGTGACGAAATTTCCTTGAATGATCATGATTTAAGAAATTTGTTTATGGATGTTCGTAAAAATCGAGGCAAATGGGCCAATGATGATCGAATCGGCCAAGAGGAATTGTATGAAGCTTGCGAGAAGGTAGTTGTAGAATTGAGAGGATATACAGAGCACTCTACTCCGTTCTTGAACAAAGTTTCCAAAAGAGAAGCACCCAATTATGGTCTTATCATTAAAAAACCCATGGATTTGAATACCGTTATGAAGAAACTTAAGAATTTGTCATATAATTCTAAGCAAGAGTTTGTTGACGATCTTATGTTGATTTGGAATAATTGCTTAACTTATAATGCTGATCCTAAGCATTTTATTAGAGCCCATGCTATTGCCATGCAAAAGAAAACCGCCAAGTTGGTACCAACAATTCCAGATATCACTATTAGAAGTAGAGCAGAAGTGGAAAAAGAAGAAGAGAATGATATTGAAAAGAAAGACGAAAGACACACCGGTGGGAAAGCCATGAAGAAGGGAAGGAAGAGAACCAGATTGGATGAGATTAAAACTGAAGTTGAAATACCAGGCACTGCAACCCCCTCAGCTGCTGGAACACCTATTTCCATGGACTCTTATGACAATGGAGCAGGATCTGAAACTCCCATGCCTGAAAATGGTGACATGGAAAATGATGAAGAGGAGGAAGAGGAAGAAGAGAATGATAATATTAATGGAGGAAATGGAAATATTTCTGAAGAGGAAGAAGAGTTTGATCCCGAGTTGCAGGCATGGAGGTTATTAACTGCCAAGTCCCGAGCTAATTATTGTGCTCAACGAGCAGAGTTATTTGATGACAATTACCATCTTCGACCAGATGCCAAGGCAATCATTAGACAATCCAATGAAATGGCCAATTTCAATCAATATTTGACCAATAAAGAAGTTGTTTCAAAATCAAGTAACTTGTTAGAAAACGACGAACCATATTTACTTGAATATGATATAATGGGTGGAGTTCCAGGATTTAAATACAAAGGTGTTGATAAAGAGGAAGAAGACAAACAAGAAGAATATTTGGTTGATCAGTTTTTAAGACAATCAAATGGAGATGCTTCTAAAATCAAGTCGGACTTTGTTTTACCTGTTGATACTGGATTGAATCAAATCTATCGTGAAAATATTGGCTACATGCAAGAAATTAGAAAGATATGTTTCAAGATATCTCTTATCAGACAAATGCAAACTCAACAGTTTGTTCACCATACACAAATGAAGCAACCAGAAATTGATGCCTTGAAAGAAGTAGACCTTGATCCTATTTCTAAATTACCGAATCACGATCCGTTCAATAAAGAAGTACAATATTCAGTATTAAGAAGAAATATTGGGAAAATTGCCATGCAAACAGGATTTGAAGCAACTGAACCCTTTGCGATCAACACCTTAACTCAGGTTGCCGAAAAATATCTTGGCAATTTGATCAAATCAATTAAACTTCATACCGAGTCAAATTCTGAAAACAAGCTAACTACCCGGGAAATCTTGCTTTTGTCACTTTTGGAAAATGGGGTTGATAAACCTGACGACCTCCACACATTTATACAGGAAAGAGTAATGAAGCAACAGGATAAGTTAAAGGATTTGCGAGTCAAGCTTTCTAATTTCTTGAAGGACTTGCTTAGACCCGGTTTGGAAAACTTTAACGAAAAGAGTTTTGATGATAATAGTGAACAGTTTATGACGGGTGACTTCTCTAATGATTTGGGAGACGATTTCTTTGGATTCAAGGAATTGGGGTTGGACAAGGAATTCAACATGTTGAGTTCATCCATTCCTATATATTTGCTTCATTCAAGATTACACAATCAATTTAGTAGTACTGGTGGTCCAAATAAGAGGAACAAGTATGAAGATTTGAAAGAGTTTGAACCGGCCAGACTTACTGCTAGTGATGTTTCGAGTCAAATCGGTATTTTGATCCCATTCTATACTAAATTGAGTGAGAAATCCAAAGCTCATTTTGTTAAGATGCAAAAGAAGAAGAACGAGCCTACCGATTTGCCCGAAGACAGCTTGTTGATACTCATTGAAGATGAGGAATTACCCCAGAAACAAAGAAACATCAGACCAAGATTACCTCCAACAGGTAAAATCACTTCGATTAAGAAGAAAATCATTGCAAATTCATTTTTCCTTCCTGAAGAAACCGATCTGCAACAACAACCGGATAACGCCAACATGTCTACTGATGAAGATTTATCCACCACGGTAGGTTCCCCCAAGAAAAGCGAGGAGCCAAACACATTCAGCACTTCTCCCTTAAAGTCTGAAATCAAATCTGAAGCGTAAACTATGTAAAATTTATGTATTATAACTACAAACATATATACTAACCTGCATACTATACGTAAACCACGAGGGAGTTACACGCTATTTTTTTTTTTTTTTCTTTTTGCTCCGTGAAGTTACACTGGGGGCGTCCGTTTTCCTTTATCATCTTTTTCTTGCAACACCCAAATTCAAATTAGTGTTGCCTCTACAACAAAGTTAGTTCCACCAATATAAAAATATCCAGGGATCAGATGCGTTAAGCACAATATGAGTTTTAATGAAACCCAAAATGTCAACAGCTTATCAAAACTTACCAAAACTGACTTATCCAAACGGGATATTTTTGGCAGAACCATCTTACACGTAACAATATTAACCAACAGATATGACTCATTAAGAAACCTTTTGAAAAACCCCAGCTTCAAGACTATTCTCACCCTTACTGACTACGAAAATGGCTGGAACTGTATGCACTATATTGTGTATCATAGCAGGCTAAACTGTCTTAAAGTATTGTTGGATTATTTGAGTCATGCAACAATCAATAACTTGTTTGCCTCAAACTCCCCCCTTATTGAGCTATTGAAATGCAAAGACAGAGGTGGTCTTACCCCATTGCAACTATCTAACAATGATTTTAAGGATTTGCTATGGATCCCTGAATACATCAACGAAAAAAACGAATACCACTTATCTTACAGATTTGAAGATAACAGAAAGAAAGAAGCGGAAGAAGAAAAAGTCACAGAACAAAATGATTCTAGACCTTCAATAAGATCTCCTCAGATCCATTGGAATGAAAACAGAGGAGGTTCAGATATATATGTACTTGGCTGCAATTCTAACAATCAGCTTGGTCTTGGTGATGCTACCGACCGATCAGTACCATCTAGACTATCACACGGAAACTTCAAGCTTCCATCTGAAAGCAAGTCAGCTAGAAGTGTCTTGTCAAAACCAAGATATAAACAAATGGCTATATCCAAGAATCATGCTTTGATCGTGACATATGATGGCCAAGTGTATTCATGTGGGATTGGATCAAGGGGACAATTGGGACATGGAGAAGATGCCAACAATTACTACAGGTTCAAAAGAATTGAATATTTTTCAAACATTGACGATATGAAGCATGTTAAAAGTGTTGCAGTCTCCAATAACCATTCTTTGGCATTGACACAGGGAAATGAAGTGTATTCATGGGGATTGAATAGTTTTAATCAACTTGGCTATGACACTCCTACAACCAAGAAATCTTCTAATGACTTTTTAGATTCATTCCGGTCAGTTCCATCACTAGTCACCGGCGATTTAAGAAAGAATAAGAACCAAATCAAGAATATTTGCGTGTCAAAGATACACTCAGTTGCCTATACCAAGAATGAATTATTTTTCTGGGGTCTCAATGTTGGACAAATGGGAATTTCATTTACCAAAGCTGATATAGAAGTCAAAGTTCATGATGTGTCGTTGCGTGGGGAAATCCAATCCAGCCCTAGAATGGTTACTTTAAGAGATGATATTAAATTTGTAAGCACAAGCGAACTTTGCACATGTGTAGTGACCACCCTCAATGACATTCATGTATATTACAATGGCCAACATTTAAAATTACCCAAAATTCCAATCAAAGGTGCCGGTGATAAACATTTTGACTTTTTCAAACCCAATATTTTAACACGAGCAGCAGAAATTACCAAGGTTGTCACTAGAGGACCTCAATCGTCGATGATTTTATTAAGTAATGGTAGCGTATTGGGATTTTCCATTAATCTCGGTGATATCAAGAATACAAGATATACTTCAGTATGGAATGCGTATGATCATGATATGGTAGCTGTTGATTTTGATATGGCAGTTGATGGCTCGGTTGTTCTTTGTACGAGAAATGGATCAGTATTTCTCAAATCAATGCAATCAGCAAGCGAGAGAAGAAGTTCAATGAGTGGGACAACATTACCTTTACCATTGACCAAGAACAAGTTTAAGAAAATCGAGAATGTGAATAAAGTAGTCAAGGTTAATTGTGATCCGAAATTCTTTTCTTTTGGATTTATCAGAGACGATATTGATTTGCTCCCTCTCAAGCTTCAACAGAATGATTTTTTCAAGGACATTGAATACCTTTCACCGATGGTTGATGAAAACCTCTATAGGAAACAAGAGCAGTTATTGAAGGTTGATCATGAACAAAACACTTATATTTCAAGTTTTTTCTACCCTAAACAGATTGATAATGACGTTGACCACGAACCAGCTCATGATGATGATGATTATGATGATGATGATGACAAATGTGAGATCAACGACAAGCTTAAATTGAGATACAATACCAAATATAGTTACAAGAACAAGAGCGTTCGTTTGATGCAAACGTTTGAACGTTATTCCAGAGATGAGATAACTGCTTCAAATGAAAAATTCAAGTCAGATTCTGATTTTTTGAAATATAGGTTTTCCCAGAACAATAAAGATAATGGGAAATCATTTAATTGCTATGTCACTTTTAAAGATACAAATATTAAGATAGGTTTCCATAAAGAGATATTTGCCTTGAGATCAGAAATTTTTAAGAAGTTATTGGACCTTAATGATGCGAATGAAACACTTTTGGGTGACCAATTTAAAGCCAACTATTTGCCCGAGGAGTCTCTATTTATGATTTCGAGTGATACCCAATTACTTTCAGTTTGTTTATTGATGCACACAGTTTACACTGGTCAAAAGATTGATATCTGGCAGGAATACGGCTCGAGATTTAACTATCCTGATCATATGAAGATAGTCTACAATGAGTATGAATCGTTATGCAATTTGTTCAGAATCTCCACTAATCATGATGTCAAACCAAGCTCGTTTGAAGGTCTTCTTGATAGTGAATCGGGTGATGTAATACTAAAGCTAAATGATGGTTCAATTACGGCTCATTCATACATTTTACAGGCCAGATCTGCATTTTTTGAAACGGTATTATCTGACAGGTGGGATAATGGCCCAGGGATAAAACAATTGGATTTCAGTGGATTGACAGAATCTCAAATGTGGAATGTTCTTAGACATATTTATGGTGTTAGCAACATTGAGTTACTTGATTCATTATCAGTGAAGTTCAATGAAACTGACGAATTTATCAACCAGGTGTTGGAATTGATTGAAATATCTGACGAATTACTTTTATTCCAATTAAAGGCAATTTGTCAATCGGCTTTGAGTGATTTGATATGCCTAGAAAATGTAGTATTGTTATTAATTCATGCCGATTACCTATCAGCAGATAAACTATTTATGAATTGCTGTTGGTATATATTTAACAATTTGGATATACTCATGTTTGACTCCGGCTTCCGGGATATCCCCTTCGACATTAGCAAAAAGGTTGAATTTCAAATGAAATTTTTTAGGTCTTGCAAGCTGATTGAATTTTCTGACGGCCAAGGAAATTGGAAAAATATTGAGTCCTGGTTTGAACAATCAAAAACGGCAGTATCCGATTTTGTTGGTGATATGGAAAGTTTCAATGAGACGTTTATGAGTGATCGAAAGGGATTCCTATCATTTGTTCCGTTGGTGGATCCAAAATATGAACCAAAGAAACCTAAAGAGCCCATGAAGAAGAAAAAGTCGAGAAAAAGTTCAGCTACAAATACTGAAATTCTTGATTTCAGAAAAGCGGTTCTCGGCAAGGAAAAACCCGAAGATAGTCCAATTGTTCTAGAAGAGAAAGACTCCAATCAAGGATTTATTGTGGTCGAGAAGAGATCAAAGACCAAGTCCAAGAGCGTGAGCATTCCTGGGATTTCAATTTTTAAAGATTCCACCAATGTACTTTCCAATCCTGCTCCAAGAACTGTTTCAAATACTAGTGATACATTGAAATCTCCATTGACTAAACCTCCAGGCGAAGTTGCTCCACAATTTAATTGGGCATCTCAATCAAGCCCAAGCCCCACCCTTTCAGATAAGTCTATTCCAGTCATATCCAGCACTAATAAGGCAGTAGATTCCAAGCCAAAAACGAGTAAATCTAAGTTGGTTCCAGTTGTTAAACTATCACAGAAGGAAAGAAAAAGACTTGCAGCCGAAGCAGCAGCTCTGCGTACCGAAGAGAGCACTAGCAAACCTGAATCATCCAGCGTAGCTCCTTGGTTTATAGCTACACAGGAACCTTCAAACCAATCATCAAATGAGAAAGGGCTCCCAATTTTGGGTTCATCTAGAAACAAGAAAGTTTCTGCTACCAGAGTTTCATTTTCCAAGTCAATTTCTCCAACTCCTGCAGGGTGCACTTCGAAAGCTGAAAAGTCTACAGCAACATCTGCACCTACATTTGCCAGTGCGCTTTCGATGTCTCCTGACTCCTCATTTAATAGTGTCTATTCAACTCCATCGTTGACAGAAGTGATGATTCATGAATCACTTAAATTGGAACAAGACAAGGCTCGCGAGAACGAAAAGAAATCATTACTGGAAATACAGCAAGAACAAGAGTTTGCCAAATGGTGGGAAGAGGAGTCAAAGAGAGTGCAAAAGGAAATGGGGTTAGACAAACCTGAAGAGAGACGTAAATCAAAACTGACACCCAAAGATAAGAAAACTGCCACAAACAAGAATAAGCCGTCATCGCAACGAAAAGATAAGGGAAAATCCAGCCCTTCACGAGAAGGAAGCTTTTCTAAAGATGGTAAATCAAAACACAAGACTCATAAAGATAGAAGTGTTGAACGGGAAGGACAAACAGTATATTAATTATGTATTATAGTTAAATTATTATCCTTGTATTTATAGAAATGAAATAATTTAAAAATCGACTTCATCAGGGAACCATCCGTATTCTTCAATGTCTACGATGTGCAGGTCCAGGACAATCACATCTTCTTCTCTCAATCTATCAGCTTGGATATATTGTCCATTTGAATTTTCTCGAGGAGAGATCTTGCCAGAACTCAGAAGCACACGCCACCAGGGCAACGTGTTTATATCGATGTATATTTCTGATTCTGTATCCAAATCAGCATTCAAGATGTTTATAATTCCAGAAAGGTGCTTCAAAGACGAACCCACTTGTCTTGAATTCTGGGGTTTATTAAGAAGATAGGCAATATGTCCTACAATGTTAGTGCATTCAATCATATTAGTAAACAGAAATAAACATACCATAGCTTGTCACTTTGCCGTACGGTATTTGGGCAACAATTGCGTAAACACCGTAATGAAACAGTTTACTTTCATCAGTCAATTTCATTGCCAATGTTTTGCTACTGATTACAAATATGAAACGCACAAATAAATTTCTTAAATTAAAAAATTGTTAGATTAATAATATACACACTAAAAATACACAGTAATTCTAGACTAATGCGCTTATAAAGCTAACAAAGCACCAGCAGCTAAAGCAACGGCACCAGCAGCTAATGGCTTAACACCAGCAGCTTCGTAGGTGGAAACACCTGGGGCCTTGGTGGTAACGTTGGAAACGTTAACAACGCTAACAGTGGTGACTGGAACAACCTTGGTGGTAGCGTGCAATGGACAAGAAGTACCTTCTTCTGGACATTCGGAGTCGGTGATGGTAACCAAGGTGGAGGTAACGACGGTCTTGGTGATGACAACGGCGTTGGAAGAAGAACCACCGGAAGAGGAAGAGGCATCAGCGACGACACCGGCAACGGCAGCAGCAGCAGCTAAAACGTAGGAGAATTGCATTGTAATAAAAGATTGACTAAGGTGGGAATGAAATTAGTTGTTATAGAAAAGAAAAAAAAAAGTAGAAATAGAATCCAAAGATGAGAAGCAGATGGAGATATATTTATACTTGTATGTTTACATCTAAATCTAGTCGATTGTGGCTACCATGAGACTTACTCAAAATTTTCATGCAATTTTCTGTGTTTTGACACTTCGCGCCGGTGATCTGGTGCAGTGAAAAAAAACCTCAACAATGGCTAAAAAATATCAAGACAATAGAAAACTGGCGTATGTTTACTTTAGGTCATCCCAATGAGGAAGGATCCTTTCCCTGATAGACGAGCTACATGAGCATACAGGTAATTGTTGCCCAATAGAATATTGACACACAACCACAAAATGCGAAATCTTTTCGCAGTTTTGTACTAGTGTTGTAGTGAACAATATAAGCTTTATATCCACACCGTCTGGAGTAATTGCAACATGTGGGAACAAGTGGTGGTTGCCATTTACGCGTAATTTCTATTTACACTTTGGTGATGGTCCCTGAAATTACCCAAGACTTACCAAAAAAAAATAATAAAAAGAGTCAGAAACCATTTGTACCTTACATTAATTCTTGTCCTCAAAGATACACACACAATCTTCAACTAAACATCCTACTTGTTCTCAATTATACAAATTAAAACCTTTTCTTATAGTCTTACAAAACTAAAAATCTAGATCAAATTCATTCGTAAATAGTCTTCTCTAGTCCGATCATCAAAACCACAAATCGTCTGTAGTCATTGTTACGAAATGTAAACTAACGCGCATTAAAAAATTATTTTTATTCATTGTTACAACCATAACAAAACATATAATTAAATAATAATCGCGATTTTCCAAGACTCATGACTCGCGCGAGAAGCTACAAATTGTCACCTTGCTCGTGCAATATACGAGATCCAGACGCCGTGGGTTGATTTTGTTCCTCAATCATATCTTCGTCTACACCCTGTTGCTCAGACGATTCTTCCGAGTGTGTTGATTGTCCCGGAATTTCATCCTGCACAAACGCAGGTTGCAACCGCATGTTATCAATTGCACCTTCCTCATTCACTTGGTCGCCAATAGTTTCATTGTCAAGCCCATTTATATTTTCATTTTGGCTATCTCTTCTGGTAATATTCGCGGTGAGTAAAGTCCAGGTGTTGACTAAATCTGGGATGAAACTTTCCGGCGCGGTTTGCCTTGATTCAATTCCTCTGTTCAACACATCAGAAACAACTTCCAAACATTTACAATATTCAATCAACATCTTAAACTTTTTCTCGTTGGTTTCAAGTAGCGATGCCTCGGGATCAATACTTTCGAGTTCGGCAAGAATACTTTCAACTTCGGAAAATTGCATTGATCTTGGAATTTCAAAACTTGGACTCAACACATCATTGTATTTCTTGACCAAGTCTTCAATTGACACAAATAATAACTTCGTTTTCAGCTCAAATGCTTTCAATTCGCCATTCCTCCAATTTTCCAACTCTTCAAGAATTGATAATTGAAAAGAGGGCAAAAGCGAAAGAACCCCAAGCAAACTGTCTTTCCACAAGATTTCAACATTATACATCAAATGCTTAACTAGCTGGGACTTTTCTGTTACTATAATTTCGTGGTCCCATGTTCTCCGAACTGCAATCCTGATAATCTTGGTTCTAGCACCAGTGAAAGCTCGTCGAATGTAATTAGCGCCAGCATCAATGTACCTTAAACCATTAAACGCATTTGCAACCACCGGGGCATTTATGTTTCTCGCTTGACCTTGCTGCTGAGCAAGGTATACATTGCGACCAGTAAAGGCCAAAATATACAATTGGAAAATGACCAAGATCACGAGCAAGTAAATCTTCCAATGGGTCTTTATATGTTTGTTAGGTCTGACTCCCATAAAGTATAATACCACCACAACTTTAAGTGCTAAAAGAAGCAATCTCTTTCCTTCATTGAAAGTTCTATTAAGCACGCCATTGTCAACTGCATTCAAACCTCTATCTACCTCATTAACAGGTTGTTCATTTGCAGGTTGCTCTACTTCTCTTTCAATTTCACTAGCACTTGTTCTCGCCGTAAGAGTAGGACGAGCCAGAGAACCTAGGGCAGCTGGAAACATCATAATCTCTACCTTCTCTAACAACAGTTGTCCCGAGCTCAGGGTAAATTCAGATTCCAACTTTGCAATTCCACTAGGATTGACCAACAAGTATGGTTGATGTAAGTCATTGTCGACAATAAAACATTGTGATGTGTTTAAAGTTACTGATTTGATGGTGTCGTCCACTTTTAGCGTTACTTCAAACTCGGTATTTGCGATTGATGACTGATTAACTAACCGTTTTCCAATGTTAGGTGAACTAATGACTTCGAAAGATTCACCTTCCAATTCCCAAACAGACTGGTCTTTAGTGATGAGCTTGGTAGGTTCAATAGGATCAACGGGGTGCGACATGGGGTGCGACATAGGCTGCTCCAGCAAGGTACTTTTATGCTTTGAAGAAGAAGAACCCTCTACATTTCCATCAACCATTCGTTGTAATGACCCGGGCAAAAACTCAAAACTACCAGTTTGGCTAAGTTCTCTCCAAAAGGAACCACTCAATACATTAGCTTTACTTAAATTATCGGAGATAGTTAAATGGATAGATACTGGATCTCTTTCATCCAAAGTCGATTCATTCAAGTCAAAAGCTTCAATCACTGTTTTTTGGTCGATTTCCTTGGTATTGGGCAACTTCACTCCATTATACAATAATTCAAGTTGGTCAAAATGTGTTCTTGACACCCCACCAAGGTCAATTCTCGCCACGATAAACTGTTTAAGTTCTATTATTCTAAGACTGTGGTCAATGTCAAAGATCCTTCTCTCATTTTGTAACGTAGGTTCATCTGATTCGATAATTATTTGAAAAGTGCTTCTAGTTCGTGTCCGAATGTCAAACAAAAAAACCACAGGGTCCAAAGGAGTTACATCTAGCTTTAACATTTCACCCAAGGTCAAATTGTCATTATTCATCAATTGCCGATCTGGCATATTGCGCAACTGTATATTAGTCCGAGTAATATTTTGATGGATTCCTTTTCTTTGTTCTTGTTCAACCACAAAATCTTTAATTGATCCAATAGTACACTTCAAAGACTCCCTCAATGTATACTTATGTTCTCCTTCGTGTAAATCACGCCACCTGAGAACAATATCGAAAAGGCTAGCGGGGGTCAGGGGTCGACTGTGGACCAAGTGGTTACAATCAATCCTGAGTAGGAGATCTTTCTCTTTAAACGGAGACAGCGGGACTTCTGGAACACTAAGAACCAGAGCAATAGTTTCCGAATCCGTCAACAATCTATCTTTATAGAAAAGGTCTAATGAGCGTGGGCTGAGGGTGAAGTCTTCTGAGTTCACCCAGATCAGATCCTTAATGTCGCCAATGGTGTGTCGCAACGTCACATTGATGCAATACACCTCCAATCCCAGTAGCTGTCCTGGACTATAGTTAACCTCTTCCACCCGGAAGCACAATTCAAACGGAGTGTTCATCTATGTTGGATTGCAGTCGTTGCTTAGAACCAAAAGTGACACTGTAGCACTTTTGTGCTGAACATCTAAACGAAGGTGGGGGCGCGCATAGAACAACCCATCGGCGATTAACAGCCGTGCACGTGACAAATAATTTTTGGGGGCGAGGGGGTTTCTATTGTATGTACAAGAAATATAGACTATATATATTGTTTGCTCAAACCTTAATAGCATGGTATCTCTTTCCTCTGAAACCAAAGAGTTTGTTGTTCAAGTTGAATGTTTCGGTAGGGTGGGCATCATCCAATTCCAACTTGGTACAAGCAAATAAGTTATCAGTCTTGTTCATCATAATATCCATTTCTTCATGAAGAGGATGTTTGTTTAACCATTCAATTTCCTTATCCATATCAGCGTTATGGTATCCACTTACAAACACCGGACATTTTGATTCTAATAAACCCTTCAAGGATTTATCCCAGTGAATGTGGTCAGCGGTTTGGAATCCAGGATGGAATAAGAAAAACACATCCAAGTATGGATCAAATGGGAATAAATCACCCATGTCGTATAATTCATGAAAGTATTGTGAGTGGTGGAAGATTGAAATTTGATCATCAACTCTTTCAACTAATGGCCGACCTTGAGGGACATTGGTTGGAGCAAAAGCTTTGGTTTCTCTGTCGAAATATGCTTCAGGACCGACTAAATGAATTTGAAATCTGGTTCCTGGGAACAAGTAACCAAATTGTTTCCATACGTAACCTGGCAACATTGATTCCATTCTTGATCCCAATATAAAGATTCTCATTGGTCTTTCTCTGTAAACAACATCGGTTTCAGCAGACTTGGCATGGGGTGGGTATAAGGTGTATCTCAATGCAGAAAGGGACTTGAGACCTTCCAAGGTAATTGGTCCCTTTGGTTCTTGTTGGTAAGGTGAGTTCTTATGTAAAAGTGAGGCAATTGTCATTGGATATGTAAGAATTTTAGTGGAAGCAGCCAAGTTGAATTCATCATTCATGGGTGGGAAATCTCTAGTGTAGAAAAAGGTATCCCAATTTGAAAGATTGACTAAAAAGTCACGTTCTTGTTCTCCTGGGAATGCTAATTCTTCAAACTGGCGTCCTGATCTTAAATCATGTTCATAAAGGTTGACCTTCTTTAACAATTCATACTTTTTCTTGGCATGATATTCGGTATCAGCCTTCCAAGCTTCTTCAGAAGCATGAGTTGGAATACCAGAATATGGGCAGACAAAGTCGACTGGTTTGTTGGTGACTGGACAGCGAGCTTTGGCTCTGATCAAAGCTGCACGAGTACGAATGTCTTCATAAGGAGACTCGTCCCATTTGTATAATTTGTTTTCCTTTTCAGCCTTTGGTGGATCCATGGACAACAAACTCCAAAGTGAAAATTGTCGTTTTGGAAGGGCCAACAAACGTCCACTGGACATCACTGGGACGATATTACGCACACTTATCATTGTTTTTGACAATTATTTATATGTTCTTGATTGCTTTGAACCAATTGTACCTGAGATCTCTACCCTTGTTAAGTGTATCCTTGATGCTAGCACCAGTTTTCCACTCGGCTTTTGATTTTTTTCCCTCTTCGTTTATAACATGATTTTTTTTTTTGCGCCTAGTTAATATTTTTGTTAGGGACTGGATTTACGCATATATTGCACTTACAACGTATATTACAGTATACATATCTACAACTCATCATGGACTACAGCTTCAGTTTCCTCTGAGTTGGAGCTATCCGAGTCGGTATTAGTATCAGTCACAACCTTAACGTTGAAGTTTTTTTGCAAATATTCTCCTATGTCAAGCTCCTCATTTTGTGCTTTAGCCGAGCTTATGGCGCTTTGAAGTTCAGAAATCATTTCTTCAAACTCAACCAGATTCTTTCCCTCGAATTCAACCTCCACTACTCCCTGGATATTACGTTGAACTAGCTTGGGATCTATTTCTTTCTTCTGCCCCTCAGTGATGACACGAACCACAGTAGTTTCAGTGGAAACGACACTTTCATCAGTTTCAACATCCAATTCACTATTTGTAACTGTGACGGTGACCGTTTGTGTCTTGGCTTCAAGGGCCGGTTCTCGGATAATGTTAGGAAACTTTGATCTCAGAAAATGCTCAAAATTCCAGTTGTTGTTGGGTGCTTCAAACTTGGACAACATACCATTGGCCCCATTCAACACACTCGGATCAAAAGTTTCAACTTCAAGCAGATGTGTTTTGTGATCTCCTCGTCTAACTCTAAATAACGACATGAAATTACCGGTATAATCATACATTTCATACCACATTGTAAACGAATCATTCCACAGTAATAGCAATTCCAATTTCTTTTCATTCACCAAAGGAGATGGGATCTTGTGATCAAGTACCGACAAGAGCATTCGTCCAAACTCCTCCACTAGATCTTCTTGCGGTTTAATCCCACTATAAATGAATATTCTTCTACGATCCCAGTAAGGGTTCCCCGTCTTTGATTCTGTCTTTTTTGTTCCTAAAAAGTATCCTCCTCCACATGGTGTCAAACTATAGTCTTGTAAATTAACTTTCACATTTTTGGTTGGAGGAAGTCCCAACACTGGAACAGTCTCGGTATAACTGAAAAAGTCAGAATAGGAAATATTCTTGTCGCTATCCCTGCTATCGTCGATCTTTTTGCATTCCATATCCACAACATTGTCATGGATGATATTCCGTTTAAATTCTTCAAGTGCACAAAGTCCCGGGACATGAATAATCATCTGATACTGACATGTCTTGATTTCTTGAAATTGGAGTAATTTGCTAGGACCAGCTACCGATTGATCGCACTGGTACACAATATCTATGGTACGCGGCTTCATTGTCAAATCACAAATCTCACCACTGGAAAGGGTATGCTTGATGAACTTTTGCGTGTTTGTTTCCGAGTCCGGTTGATTCGTACTAAAGTAACTATATTCCCCGTCAAAAATTGTGAAATCAGTCTCATCCAACTTCGTCTCTAACCCTTTGGCTTGGTTTTCAATCTTGATGTTCTTGTTAATCTTTTCACTGCCAGGGAATCTTCCTAAGGTATATACGTGCATGGGGAAATGGGGCTCATGTTTACCACTTAAATAATGCTGCAATGATTCATGGAACTGAATCACTTTATCACCAAAACAGTACGCAATTGTCCAATACCCATCATGTAGATTGAACGAGAATGTACAATTGTCTGTAGAAAATGTCTTTTGGATGATATCCATTGCTTTCTTTTTCAATTCAGATGTAGGGGTTCCCGGGCTGGGGATACGTAAATCGATCTCTTTTTCACGAGGCAAGTGGCATAGATACGATCCATTGTGATATTTTGTATGCATGTTCAAGATTTCAAATTGGGCTGTCTCTTTGATATCCTCGTTCATGGCAACAAACGATTCGGCGATATTTTTGGGAATTGCACCATTCTGGAATATTATTCGATTGGAACTCTTGTATACGGTATGAGATGCAGTTGCAACGTGAACCAAACCAAGTAACGTAAATAGTGCTGTCCAATTCAGAATCATGGTGGAGATGAAAACATAGATTAGATCTGAGCCAAGGTGTCACAAAAGATTGTTTAAAAAAAATGTTGCCACGTTAAACTTAAACCTACGACATCCACTTGTGTACAACACAATTTTCTACAGACAATAGACTAGGACAAGACAATGTCGTCTGAAAGTTCGTTTGAGACCCCTCCCCCAGAACCAGCCCTTTCTACTCCGCATCTAAAAGCTCATGACGACTTTAATACTATAGATGCCGACCAGACATTATCATCTATAGCGGAAAAGAAACAACCTTCGGTATTTGATATAGCTCAAGATATGCAAGAGCAGTTGAAGAAAGCATCAGAATTTTTAGACAAGAATGATAAAGAAATGAATGAAAGAATTGATGGTTTGCTTAAAACTATTGACCATATCCATAAAAGCTCAGATTGACTGTGTATGTGGAAAAGATTAAATAATAAAAGTTCAAGTAATGATTAATAGATAACGAGATAAATTATAAATTTTTATCCTGTAAGTTTATGGGAATGTAATTGTAAGCAATGTTTGTTTGTGATACACAACCAAACTGTACTCGCGAAAGCATTAATCAAACTAAAAACAAAAAATAGTGCATGGTCTTTCTTTGGGCAACAATCATGGCAAACAAACGATCGAAAAATCAATTGCGAAGAGACAAGGCCAAGCAGAGGAAGCTTGATGCTCTGGCTACTCACACCAAAGAACTATTTGATGCAACTGAAACTAAAGAGATACCATTGTCCAAAGACATACCTACTAGCGATGAGGTGGAAGAATCAAATGAGATAGACAATCAATTACTTAAAGAATTTCAAGAGGTGTTCAATAGGTTCACTTCAAGAAATACCACGGACAAAGTCAACGAACTTCAAATAGAAACCACAAAAGATACAAAACAGATCTACTACAGCGATGATGATGATGATAACGATATAGAAGATTCCGATGACGATCTAAATGATGAAGAAAAAACGTTGTCCAAGAGACAACAACGTATACGAAATAAAGTACCGTTGGCCACATTAAAGGCATCAACATCAAAGCCATGGAATGTCGAATGGTTTGATGTTGATGCCAAAGATCCATTTCTTTTAGTAGCGTTAAAATCACAACCTAATACCATACCAGTGCCTGCTCATTGGAGTGCCAAACGAGACTACTTGTCGTCGAAACGAGGAATCGAGAAACTACCATTTGAATTACCAAAATATATTCGGGATACGGGGATTGGAGAAATGAGACAAACTGATGAACGAACAGTTCGTCAACAACAACGTGAAAAGGTCCAACCAAAGATGGGCAGATTAGATATAGATTATGCTAAATTACACGATGCATTTTTCAAACATCAAACTAGACCACGTATTTTCGGGTATGGAGATGTATATGAAGAAGGAAAAGAGACTGTTGACGAGTTGGCCAATGAAGCGTCGAAATATAAACCAGGAGTGATATCAAAGGAGTTACGAGAAGCGTTAGATATGCCCGAGTCAGACCTAAGTGTTGCACCCGCATGGATTACAATCATGAAAGAAATTGGTAAACCTCCTTCATATGAAGAGTTATTGATCCCGGGATTGGATATGGAATACTCCAATACTGGATACAAGGATAAGGGATCTACCAGTAGAGCAAAGAAAAATAGTGACCACTGGGGTAAATTGTTGGATACAGTTGAATCTTCTGAAGAAGAAGAAGAAGAAGAGGGTGACGATGAAGAAGAGAGTGTGTCTGAATCTGAATCTGAATCTATAGTTAGTGAAGACAAGCAAGAAGAAAAAGAAACGGTGATAGAAAAGAAAGTACACCAACCTGTTGATGTCAAACTGGAAGGTACTCCGGCAGACAATGCTTCTAAATTTTTATACAAAGTTTTGAAGGAAAAGTCCAGTAAACAAAATAGTTCTTTGTTAGGTAAAGAGTTTGGTTATGAGCTCAATTCAAATGAGGAATCACTGAAGTCTGATGAGGAAACTGCTACGACTCAGCTGGTTGCTGACATATTTAAATTTTAGTAGTTTTTGAATATAGATCTATCAGCTGGCTGTAATTTAGCGTTACAAAAAGATTAATTGATTTTACGTATAATGAAAACTAAATATGCCTAAAAATAAACAGTCGGTAGGAAGAACGTTATATGCTCTAACATCACAAAAGAATAAATATATTATATATATTGATAACAAACTTTTTGTTTCTTTCACTTCATTCCTTCATGGGGAGACCCGATTACAGGTCCGATATAAAACAAGAAAGCTAGCAATGCAAATTGTAAGAAATGAATCTGGGGGAATCTTACACACCACAACCCTAGAAATTTATGTCTGGTTTTTCGTCAGTGATCTTCTGTATTTGGGCCCCAAAGGAAACAACACACTTTGCCATGGTAGGAGATGATCTGGAAATGACATCGGTGAAGTAAAAGTTGTCAATTGGGTTCTTTAATGGTGATCCAGTTATCTTGGCTAATTTGTTTTTGTTGACCAAGTCAGCAAAACCAATCTTGACAATGTCTTGAGAAACTGGTTCGATAACCTCGTGTCTGACCAAGTGTGGAGCAATTTCACCCAATCTGGTTCTTACAGCAACAATATCATCGTATGGTAATTTGGCATTCAAGTATTCAGACAAGGCTCTGATGATCTTCCAATCTTCACGGGCAGCACCTGGAGCATTGGTGGCGGCTCTGGTAACTTGTGTTCTACCTTCGGTGTTGACATAAGTAGCGGACTTTTCAGTGTATGCAGAACCTGGCAAGATGACATCGGCATAAGAAGCACCGACATCACCATGATGACCTTGGTAGACGACAAAAGCATCCTTTGGAATGTCCTTGTTTGTGATTTCATCGGCACCCAACAAGTAGATGAATTTTGGCTTGGCAGTTTCTTCAACCAAGGTGTTGAACCCAATATCTAAAGCGGCAACTCTAGAAGCTTCACGATGTAACAAGTTAACACCATTCCATTCACCAGAGTTGAAGTTGGCGTGCTTAGAGGCGAAGTCACCAACTAATTTGTAAATGGCAGAAGAATCTTCAGAATCAGCAACCCCGGAACCAATGACAATCAATGGCTTCTTGGCAGCAGCTAACTTTTGACCCAATTGACCATCAAGAGCCTTTTGTAAAGCAGTGGCATCAGAACCCAAGTTTTCAACATTGAAAGTGGAGTCGAATTCTTGACCAACGGAAGAGATTTCCAAGTTACTTCTTAACCAAACTTTTCTGATTCTGGTGTTTAAAACAGCAGCTTCGTGTCTTGGGTTGGTACCAACCAAAAGAATTTGATCAGCTTCTTCAATACCATCAATGGTGGAGTTGAAGATGTAGTTGGATCTGATATCTAACCCGTGAGCATTGACACCTTGGGCGACATCAGTGGTGACGTTTTCGGAACCCAACTTGTTAACCAAGTCTTTCAAAACAACCAAGGATTCGGCATCAGCTAAAGCCCCGGAAATGGCCTTTAATTCACCACCTTGTGGGTTGATCTTGGAGTAAGCGGAAGCAATGGTGGATAAAGCTTCATCCCAAGTACTGGCTTCAAACTTGTCGCCGTTTCTGATTAATGGAGTGGTCAAACGTTGTGTCTTTAAACCATCACAGGCAAATCTGGTCTTGTCGGAGATCCATTCTTCGTTAACTTCATCATTCAATCTTGGTAAAACTCTCATAACTTCAATACCTCTGGCATCGACTCTAATGTTGGAACCAATGGCATCCATGACATCGATAGTTTCAGTTCTCTTTAATTCCCAAGGTCTGGCTCTGAAAGCGTATGGTTTAGAAGTCAAGGCACCAACTGGACATAAATCAATAATGTTACCAGACATTTCAGTGTTGATGTTTCTTTCGATATAGGTACCAATTTGCATATCGTTACCTCTACCGGCAGTACCAAATTCTGGAGCACCAGCGACATCATTCATGAATCTGACACATCTGGTACAATGAATACATCTGTTCATAGAGGTCTTAACCAATGGACCGATGGCCTTGTTTTCGACGGCTCTCTTACCGACCAATTCTCTAAATCTACCACGGTCAGAACCATATCTTTGGGATTGTTCTTGCAAGTCACATTCCCCACCTTGGTCACAAACAGGACAATCCAAAGGATGGTTTTCCAATAACATTTCGGTGACCCCTTCTCTAGACTTCTTGACTCTTTCAGAATCGGTGTGGACAACCATACCTTGTTGGACAGGCATGGCACAAGAAGCAATCAATTTTGGCATTCTTTCCACGTCGACCAAACACATACGACAGTTACCGGCAATGGCCAATTTATCGTGGTAACAGTAACGAGGAATAGGAACACCTGCTAAGTCAGCAGCTTGGATAATTGATGAGCCTGCTTCAATGGAAACTTTTCTTCCATCAATGGTTACTTCGACTTCGGCCAATCTCTTGGTGGAAGCAGATATGTAACGTTTGGAAGATCTTAATATATGTGATTTAATTGAATGCATAGTTGTTGTTGTTGTTGTTGTTGTTCGTGATGTAATAGTATGTAACGACTCTCCTGAAGTACAGCGTTCGTTTGACAAGAAATTATTTCACTTAATCAAAAAAAAATAGGGAGATATATTTAATATATTATCTTGAATTGACAACGACAGTTGGAGCTCTTCGAAAGGATATTCAAACTAAGAGAGAGTTGGCTTTTCAGTTAACCAGTTTTTCTTACTCAATTCTCATTGGTTTTTTTTTTCAACCATTACAAACAAAACTAACCAAACCTTGGCTTGTGTGCAGTACATTACAATTAAAAATCTCTGATTCGCTAAAAAAACTTTTGCAGTGTTTTTTCGGTCCTTGGCTAAAATATTTGAAGCGGCACACTACCTGGCAGCGAGCTACGGTTGCTACCATGTGTCGTGGTCGGTTTGCCCATTGGGTGAACTTGTACTATAGGTGCGCGGTGCCCAGTGTGCAGTGCCCAATACACAGTACGTAGTAGCAATATACATTAGAAAGACATAATCATTAAGGGAAACGCATTTGATATTACTATGAAGATGAATCATGCCTGTTTCTTCTTATCTTCACCACCTAATGCCATAAACATGAGCAATGCAATGACAATATACATCCAATTCTTTTGAACCCAAGACCTTTCATCGACTTCAACTTCAACCTCCTCTTCTATTTCTTTATCCACAGTGTTCCCATGTTCATCCACTACTTTGACAATCTTCTTCTTGGTAACTTTTTCAACTCGTGGACCTGTTTGGGCATTGGCTTGCTCCTTTTGTTTCTTTAATGACTGTGGATTCAAGTTGGGTGTGGCGGATGTCCCAATTGCATGGAATTTAACTCTATGCTTCACATCAGCGACGGAATCGTGTGAAATCGAAAGGTGAGATATTTCCTTATTGGAGTCAAGAAACACGTGTAATGTAGCCTTGTTCAACGAATTGATTCCCTTGACGTAAGCAAAGCATTCGCTGTTGGGCACATCGGTGGTGCCTATGCAATATGAAGCGCTAGATTGTAATTCACCATTATTCAATACGAGGCTTTTTCCGGACAAATATCCAATCTCTTCCACCACTGATGTATCAAGATCCTTAGTGAATAGATTAATGCGGTTCTCTGCTGCCGCCAACGCACTTATGGATAATATTATTAAATTTACAAGCTTCATTTGTGATTGTTGTTGCTATTATTGAATGGTTTCTAGTTTAATTTTTTTTTTCTCCCTCCCTCTAACTCTCTCTCTCGTATCCAACACACTTTTACTAATGGGGTTGCAAACAAAATACGCAATAGCATGATAAAAGCCATCAAGCCATATATGTTCACACCACTACGAAGGGAAATAGTACGATCAGTCTCTCTCAAAGCTGGTGAAATTCAAGGAATATCCGAATATTTCGAGTACTGCACGTTCAATAAAATTGACCCCCAGTCTACGGTATTCCGGGGAACATTATACGAGTTACTTGCCAAAGATATCCTTGAAAAGGCATTCCATTTCAAGAATCTCATCAAAGCCGGTGGTCCAGGAGATGACGGGTTGGATTTGATTGGTCAATGGGATCTTTCTTATTTCTACCACAAATCTCTCAGTTTGTTTCCTAATCTGGATGTGGACCAGCGATCAGTCATACACTACTCCAAAGAAAAAGACACTACACAAAAGGATAATATTTCTTTGCAGACCGAGATTAATGTATTGGTTCAATGTAAGAACTTCAAAGCGAAGTTGAAACCAGGCGCTATTAAAGAGCTCAGTGGAATTTATTACCACCATAGAGCAAACCCCAAAACAACAATTATGGTTCTTGTAACTCCGCAAATTCTTACAAAACAAGCATTAAAACTGTTTGAAGGAACATTGTTCCCCATGATGTGTGTTCACATATCAAGTCCATTAAACCTTACTGGTAATCCCTATGCTCTAGAAGAATATTCTGGAGGAGAATACTTGGGCATGCATCTTAATAAGGCGGGACAGGAGTTCCTCTCTGGCCTACATTTAGAGGATTTACTAGGCAAACGAGGCATTTGATATCATGTATATAATAAAGGTATCCTGTGTAACTATGTAATAACAAGGAGAGAAGAAAAAAAATATAAAACCATTAAAAGAACCGAAATTTTATCCAAGCATCCTCATTAGAATACACCCGTAGGCTTTCCATATACTGTTTGTAAATGTGTTATTGTTGTTTTAACTTGGTAGCTTGTTTGTACCGTAACGAGCGTTGTTGGTGCGTAGACAAATTCGGTGAATACTTTAGTAGCTGTATTTGTATTTGTGGTGGTGGATCTGGATGATGTTGGAGTGGTTGATGATGATGATGATGATGTGGTGGTGGTGGAACTAGTTGTAGTACTAGTTGGGACGGTACTGGAAGAAACAGTTGAACTGGAAGTTGAGATAAGAGTACTTGAGGAGGATGTGATAACAGATGATGATGTGAGGATAGAACTGGTACTGGATGATATGGTACTGGATGAAGTGGTACTGGATGAAGTGGTACTGGATGAAGTGGTACTAGATGAAGTGGTACTAGATGAGGTGGTACTAGATGAGGTGGTACTAGATGAGGCGGTGGAAACTGTGTTAGGTGAAGCAACAGATGGAGCTTCAGCTACAAGAGCCTTCATATCATGGACATAAGTGTTACCATTAGCATCAATATTAGCCCAAGCTTGAGAAGCATCCCATAACGAAATACCACCAAAATATGGAGACAGCATAAGCTGTGGGGTAATATAATTGCTAACTAGATTAGGAGCAACATACCCACTACCAGCAGCAGTTTGAGAACCAGGTAATCCAGCAAACAATTTGACATTCTTATTAGGAGAGGTATTCTGAGCATAATTCAACCAAGTGTCCCAGTTAAACTGTCCTTGCAATGAACAATAGTTATTGTAGAATTGAATAAACACAAAGTCAATATAACTATCTTGTAACAATGGCCCAACAGAAGCATCAGGATAAGGACATTGAGGAGCAGCACCAAGGTAATAGGTTTTGGAAGAATCAGTTGCAAACAACTTTCTTAAACTGTCAGCAAGAGTGGCGTATCCTGCTGGCATATTGTTTTCAATATCAAAATCAAAACCATCAAGAACAGAATCGAAAAATGGACGTTGGTCGGGAGTCAAATTCTTACTGTTTCCAAATAAATCCCACAATGTTTGTGCAAAAGCAGGAGCTTCGGCATCGGTCATACTGTAAGAACCAGCGGCACCACCGAGAGAAAGTAAGATTACTTTTCCTTCAGCTTGACAAGTCTTGATATCCTCAGCGATTGTTTGACATTGCAAGATTCCATCAGCAGTAGCCGTCCCTTCACAAGCATTGGCAAAGTTCATATTCACTGGGTCAGGGAAAACGTGTATGAATGAAAGAATGATAATGTCAACATCAGGGGAGTTACAATAGTATGACAATCTCTGTTGGCTTCCTGCCTGTCCTGCTGAGTTTTGACCCCAGTATACGACGACGTTGGAATTGCTGTGAGGGTCAAATCCAAAGACTTGAATTAAAAATGTAAAAACTAGTATCACAGTAGTGAGGACCATTCTGTTTGTATTAGGATTAGATATTACTAGCAAAGTTTGTAGACTATATTATATGCATAAAACTTCCGGAAGAAATGAGAAAAATGGGGCACATTATATACACCGGATAAATGAAACAGAGCTTCTGATTGTTCTTGGGTCAAAACCTATTTTAGTGGTTTGCAATTAAATTACACTTTTTTTGCAGTTGTATTTTTTTATTTTTTGGAGAGCTTAATTGTGTAAAAAGTATAACACCTACCCTTTTGGATTGTTTCAATGCATGATATTTTACGTTTTCATCCATTGCATTACCCGAATGGAACAAATAATAGGATGATGCTTTTTTACGACAATGAAGAGATGCTGGATGTTAGTGTTTTAGTATTATCGGAGGCGTCGGTCGACTGCGAACAATGAACTGTAAACCAGCCATGCTGAGAAAAGTACGATTATTTTTTTCAAGCAACAAGAAAAATATTTTTTTTTTTTAATCTGAGATCTGCCATTGTAAAAATCAAGGATCATGCATTGGTAATGGGATCATACTCTTTACTAAAACCAGGTTAGAGACTTGCACCTGGTTACGAATAAGCTAACTCAACCGTGGTTAATGATCACCGTTGAATTAGATTGCGGATCAGCAGTTAGCACCTGTGTCACACTTGACTTTAAACTTTGGCCAGAGCTGCAAATCTCGACCGATCAACCACGTTAAACTAACCTTCCAACCGCCTGAATTTGTCCCCACTTACTTTATCATACTGGTAACTACACCATGATACGATAGTTGTCATTCTAAGAAATTGTGACATTGCTACTGACGTCGTTGACGTTACACCACGATGCCCAATGTCCTTACTAGAAATGGCTGGCAAAAAAATATAATTTAGGCTACGATTAAAAAATTGCTGCGGTCGGAAAAAAAAAAAAAAAATTCTGCCAAAATTTAGCCATTTGCCCTGCATACACTAAACTTTATAATCATCTTTAAATTACGTTGTAAAAGTTAATTTTAGATTTATATAACTAATTATGCCAAGTCAAATGTCTAGAGTGAAGCTGGCAAGTTGTCTTAAAAGACAATCCAATAGTAATAGCAAACTAAACTGGAGGTGTTAATTAAGGCGAAATGCCGTCCAAACAAATAGTCAGATTTTCATTCCACACTGAAACATGTGAGACACTTTTAAGAGGACAGATCTCGTAATAACCGACGTATTTATCGGAATGTGTCATAATTTTAAGTCACCAGAAAGGCTTGGGAGTGATCCAATGGTGTAAATGTAGGTAAGTTGTCGTGTGTAGTAAATGAAAACGAGTGTTTTTATGGCAACATGCATAATCTTACAGTAATTTCGTCAATATTCTGACGAATTGGCTGGATTGGATTTTTAATTGGGTAACTTTGTTTAAAACATTCAAGACTTGTATATTTTGATGGCTGGATGTAGAATGTAATCCTTTTCTTGGTGAGTAATCAACAAATGATGTTTGATCCATAAATCAGACAATTTTTATTGTAACCAACCTATAACTGACCAATTGTCATATAGAAACACGAGCTCCTCTCATTGTAAAAAATAACTTTCTAAAGACAGCTAGCAAGCAAATTAAGGAAAAATTAACTCGAATACTTTACTCGAGTAATATCAACTTCACATTGCCACAATCAAGTTCATTGCTAACTCTTTTCTTGGTTAAGGATTTCTAAGAATATGTTTAGGGTTAATTATCCAGCACTTCGATAGTAGAGGATAGTAGTTAAAGCAAAGGTGTTTAAGGTCTGGTTTGAAACCCGCTAATAATCAACCATATAGAATATCATTTAATTTTGGAGATACAACTGATAACCCTAGATTCTTATATTGATAGTTGCTGAGTATGCATGTTATTACAAGAGATTATAGTAGAATAAAAGGAGTAGGATACCTCACCTACAAAATTCTACAGAAGACATATTACGAGAAACTTAACTATTAGAGTATTCTAGAATCATGAGACTAGCGAGTGGAACATTGGCCATGGGAGAGCTCGGCTCTACCATCTGCTTGGAGCTTCCACTTAGCTAAGCCTTGATATTTTTCAGTGTCGCTTCATTGGCTGTCGACACAACTGTTGGATTCATTTCCAAATCCATAAAGCAATTAGTAAGAGACGTGCCAAATATGGATGTTTATCCGTTCGTCTTGACGTGTAAAGCACACTAAAAGTTCTTAATCAAATACATTAGTAATTGTTTACAATTGACTTAATAGTTTGTTGTGGCTGTGATCAAAATTGAACTGTACACGTATATTCCATATCATTTTACAGGTTAGCCCCTTTTTCCCAAAATGGAAAAAACCCACTTCTTTCGTCATAGTACATTTACCAAATGTAAATATAAAACCTTCAGAGTTATAATAACAATTCAATTGAATAATGGAAACCATGTCGTCAGTTGCTTACACAAATATTCCAATTGAAGGGTCAAACGATTGTTATAATTATAACAATGATAATTTGGAGGTTTGACCAATGAAAACATTTAAAAAAAAATCTTTCACGTGCGCTTGCCAACAAAAATTTTTTTTTCCGTTGATGTAAACACCCACATTTGATTCCGCCGAAATTTCGGCGGAATTTACAGATTTAACGTGAATGTTATTGTTCCCCCTTCCATTGTTTCCACCCATTCTACATGTAAAACACATGAATTTACATTTTAGCTACGATTGATAAATATCCCGCACTATTAAATTCCGGCGAAGTTAAAAAATAATTATCCAATTTTCTAAGGTATTCCACATCACCCTGACTTTTTTTTTAACTTTCAAAGGGCACACCCCTATTTTGCTACGCAATTGCTATAAATACGGATGTAATTTCCACTTTTTCATTTTTCCTCTCTTGGCTTACTCTCCTTTTCTTTTTTTTTAAGAACTTTCTTTTCTTAGATTCAAACACAAATAATCATGTCTATCAACTTCAACTCTACAAAGACTTACGTTAAGGAAGATCACCAATACACTAAGTTTACTTACGAAAACTCAGTTGTTGAAAAGGATTCCAATGGTAAATTCCACGTCACTCCTACTGCTGTTGACTACGAATTCAAGTTAGACTTGAAGGTTCCAAAGGTTGGTTTGTTATTAGTTGGTATTGGTGGTAACAACGGTACTACTTTAGTTGGTTCTATTTTGGCTAACAAGAACAACATTTCTTTTGAAAACAAGGAAGGTGTTGTCAAGCCAAACTATTATGGTTCCGTCACTCAAGCTTCTACTATCAAGCTTGGTATTGACAAGGAAACTGGTAACGATGTCTACGCTCCTTTCAACTCCTTTGTTCCATTTGTTAACCCAAATGACTTGGTTGTTTCTGGTTGGGATATCTCTGGTGCTTCTTTAGACCAAGCCATGAAGAGAGCCAAGGTTTTGGATGTCAGTTTACAAAAGCAATTGTACCCATACATTGAAAACCAAAAGCCAATGCCTTCTATTTACTACCCAGATTTCATTGCCCTTAACCAAAAGGACAGAGCTGACAACATCTTCAACAAGACCGAAAGTGGTGAAGTCAGAACTGATAACAAGTGGGCTGATGTTGAACGTATCAGAAAGGATATCCGTGAATTCAAGGCTAAGAACGATTTAGACAAGGTTATTGTTTTATGGACTGCCAACACTGAAAGATATGCCGATGTTATTGCCAATGTCAATGACACTTCTGACAACTTGTTGGAAGCCATCAAGAGCAACCACGAAGAAATTGCTCCATCTACTGTTTTCGCTGTTGCTTCTATCTTGGAAAAGGTTCCTTACATTAATGGTTCCCCACAAAACACTTTCGTTCCAGGTGTTATTGAATTAGCTGAAAAGTACGATTCTTTTATTGGTGGAGATGATTTCAAGTCTGGTCAAACCAAGATCAAGTCTGTCTTGGCTCAATTCTTGGTTGATGCTGGTATCAAACCATTATCCATTGCTTCATACAACCACTTGGGTAACAATGATGGTTACAACTTGTCTGCTCCAAAGCAATTCCGTTCCAAGGAAATCTCCAAGCAATCTGTTGTTGATGACATGATTGAATCTAACGAAATCTTGTATAACAAGGAATCCGGTGACAAGGTTGATCACTGTATTGTTATCAAGTACGTTCCAGCCGTTGGTGATTCCAAGGTTGCTATGGATGAATACTACTCTGAATTGATGCTTGGTGGACACAACAAGATTTCTATCCACAATGTCTGTGAAGACTCCTTATTGGCCACCCCATTGATTATTGATTTGGTCATTATGTCTGAATTCTTGTCCCGTGTTCAATATAAGAAGGTTGACGAAGAACAATACCATGATTTCTACTCTGTCTTGACCTTGTTGTCTTACTGGTTGAAGGCTCCATTATCAAGACCAGGGTTCAAGCCAATCAACGGTTTAAACAAGCAAAGACAAGCCTTGGAAAACTTGTTGAGATTATTGGTTGGATTACCTGTCAACAATGAATTGAGATTCGAAGAAAGATTATTGGTTTAATTTTTGCTAGAGTTTTACTTTTAGAAGCTGGGGTGCTACGATATACGTAATTTAATAATTTAATTGTAATTTGAAAGAAAATTTACTCAGTGTAGAGCATGTCACGAGACAATTTAGGATTTGAGTATACCCACTTCTATTTTGTAATAGCTTTTTGTTGGTTAGTAAGTTTAACCACTTGGCACAATGACACAAATATAAGAACACCTTCTGAGGCGGACTATAATAAAAGCTTATGTTTCATTTGGAAGAAATTCTTGAATTATGCTTTACCCCCTCTACCATGGTGCGATTTGTAACGAAGTTAAATTTGACATTTTCTTGGTAACACACATTATACCAAAAAAATGTAACTAAAAAGGTTTTGATTCCAACTATAGGTATGTTTATTTACACAAGATGATGATGGTGGGAATGCCCATCCCGTAAGAGGCAGGTCCTTGGAAATCAGCTTCCAGCAGCTATAAAAGTAATTGGTAATTCCTAATTTCTCTCCTGTTTTGCATAATTTATCCCCATCAAAACTCCAATTATTTCTATTATGAAGCTTTCAATCTTATATTACGTTGCTTTCACTGCAGCTTATATCCAAAAAAGAGATTCTGACTTATGTATTGCTGATTGTGTCATGAAAGTGGAAGCTAAAAGCCCCAAATGTATATCGTTTTTCAAAGACATTGTGGCAATGAAGAAATGTATTTGTGCTCAAGATAGCACTTACTGGAACCCATTGGTTGAATGTGTTGCTGACTGTCCTGGCTATGCTGATGAGGCAGAAGCTGGTGCCAGTATTATGAAGGCTAGTTTCTGTGCTGCTAATGCGCAAGTTGAACCTATTGCTGATGATGAAAAAGCCGCTTCCACTTCTTCTAAAACCAGTTCTTCCACTTCATCTAAAACCAGTTCTTCCTCTTCTTCTAAAACTAGTTCTGCTACCTCTTCTAAAACCAGTTCTGCTACTTCTTCAACCAGTGGAACCACCAGTGGAACTGGCAGTAAAACTACTGGTTCCCAGACATCTTCTGGATCCACAACTTCTTCAACTAGTACCAAGTCCACTACTTCACATATCACCAACAAAGGATCCGCTGCTGAAACAAAGATTGACTCTTTAATGGGATTGTTGATGCTTGCCTTGTTTTAGGTTTGCTACAAAATTGCTGATTTTTATATGATTCTTTAACTTACTCTTTAATGTGTTTGTCTTTATATTTGAAATACATTTTTTATTCAACAAAAATGCGCAAAAGAACAATTTGTATGATCTGTATGTTAGATTATGCAAGAATTATTATTTTTAGGAAGATCAAATGACTTTATGAAACTTGACCTAGCAAAAACTTTTGAGTGGTTCCCCATTTGTTGCAATTGCACGCGAAAAATAACATATACCCCACTCGGTTCCACATAAGCGAGGCTCGCTTGAGGGGAGAAAGAAATCGCCAGAAGTAGTGTGAAGGTGAGTTATCGAACTGATACATGTTGTATCTCCTGAATTGCATGTTAAATTAGGATCAAACAGCTGCTCGTTAAATGTGTTTCTGGAATGTTATCTGTAAGCTTATAAGATTGTGTGAAAATCTAAATCAAGAAACATTTTTCAAAAAAAGTAAAAAGGAAAGCACCCCGGAGGGGATGAAAAAGGTTTCACCCATATGGTAAATTCACCTATATGGGAAATTCAACCTAAAAAAAACACACCCCTTGTTCGATTTTGTAAAAAAAAAAAAGAATATCTTGCATCTTTCTTTCCTGTACTTGTGGTTCTGCAAGTATGCAAATTACGAAAACAAAAAAACTCCGAATCTCTAGTTTGTAAGACATGCTTGAGGTTGCAGCTACGATGTATAAAAATGTAGCTTCTGCTAAACACACAAGATGTTGGGTAATTTGTCCGGGTAATGGATATTTCTCTAATCTTTCAACCTAATTTGGAAAAATATGTTGGAAGTGGAGATATTTATTTCAATTTTTGACCAAAATTTCCAGAAAATAAAATCCAAAATTAAGTCGAATGATTATGCAGAAGGAGGAAAGCTTGATTAATTCATTAGATGGCTTAGGTATCATTAAAGTATCGTAGCTGGGGAAGCTTACAAACAAGTTTAATAGATGAGTTGCTTCTGTATCGCCATGAACGGCGCAGCAATTACATGGGGAGATGACGTCACCTTATGGCAAGAAAAATCCCAGAATGCTTTTCTAGAATATAATGGCCAGATTAAATTTTCAAAATATTTTTCAAAATCAATGGGCATCTAACCATGACTAAATCTATTTCTACCCTCTATTTTGTTTTTAGTTGCAATTTTCGTTTAATGTGCAACGCAACAGCTGTCGTGACAAAAAAAAAGAAAGACATACTAATTCTTGTCAATGTTGCGGATAACCCAGCTCAAACGAGCAAACAAAAGACGTCTATCAAAAAGAGGAAATATTGATAAGACTACCTCTTTTGATAATGTGGGGTGGGTGTTTTGATGAGTGGGGAACGAAACGAACAAATTTAACTTTTAGAAATCTTGCATGTAAAGAAGCAGTGGGATTATTGTTCTTATACTAATACGGTAAATTGCTCGCACTGAGAAGACAAAAACCATGGTTGTCACCTTCACAGAAGTTGCAAGAAAAAAATAATGACCAAAGTTCTGCCTAGAGATTAACTCCTAAGGTAACGTAATACGATACCCCAGACTGTATCTAATAAACCCAACATTTGACTGTATGCAGGAAGGAACTAAAAATTTAAAACTTTTGGTACCTGAACGGTCATCATGTGATGAATTGCAAAAAAAAAAGGCAACAAGATTTCCTAACTGGGGTTATCAGTAACTCTATCTTGGATGGATGGATATGGATAAACGGGGAGAAATGGGGAGGGAAATAAAGTTTAAAATATAGACAGATTACCTATCTTGCATGTTTTTCCAACCCAGTTGTAGTCTGATTTGTTGTAGCATTTCAAACAGCGCAACGATGTGATTAGTTGTTGCAAATATGCAAAAGTCAGGTCATACATAGGATGATTAATGCAACGGTTTGTCAACCCTCCGTGGCGAGAAAATCCGCCCGAGAAGAGCATTGGCTTGGGCACAGATACCGAGCCAATGTATAGGGGTTGCAAGTTTGCGACAGCAAAGAGAAAGAAAATTAATGACGAGAACTGAAATACAATCTCATGCCGAGCTTTTACTTTATTAGGTTTTAAAAATACTGGTCCTATGGAAACTTTTTCCCCCCATCTACCCAAGAAAACAATCAAATTGCAAAAATTGCCCATAACAAAGACCACTAAAAGATTTAGACAATCTTACACTGCAAACAAAGAAAAAATAATAAAGTATAATACCGACGCAAAAAAAAAAAAAAAAGACGCAGGCAAAAAAAAAAAAGTTTAAAAAAAAGAAATTTTTCGGGTGCCTTTTCTTTTCCCATGTTTGGTATTACCACATTTTTGTCCCCACTTGCTTCTTGTGATCGGTTTAGTATTTGATTCCCAACATTTGCCATCTAAACAATTCAATTGACTGTTTTCCCTTTTTTTTTCTTCTTTCTTTTTCTGCAACCAGGTTCTACTTCCTTTTCTTTGGTTAATCTATTAGGAACTTAGTACAGTACATATCAATCATATCTAACAATGGCTCCTCCAGTAACTGTTCCTGTTGGTGAAGCTCGTCCTGGTGAAACCGCACCAAGAAGAAAATACGCCAATCGCGATGCTACCCTCATCAGACCTCGTGATTCCAACGCCACCACCATTCCTGAATTCCTTGACGAATGTTTTGCTAGAAACGGCAACACTAGAGCGATGGGGTGGAGAAAGTTGAAGGAAATCCACGCGGAAAAGAAGGAAGTCACTAAGATTGTTAACGGTGAAGCCACCAAGGTCGAAAAGGAATGGCTTTACTATGAAATGTCCGATTACCAATACATCTCGTATCCTGAATTACTGAAATTGATTAAGGTATACTCTAAGGGTTTGCTTGAAATTGGAATCAAGCCAAACCAAGAAAACAAGGTGATGATTTTCCATGGCACTTCCCACTACTGGTTACAAACCTTTATGGCTTGTGCATATCAAAATATCCCAATTGTTACCGCCTATGATACTCTTGGTGAACGTGGTTTGACCCATTCCCTTGTTCAAACCGAATCCGATGCCATTTTCACTGAGCCTCAATTATTGAGTGCTTTAATTGAACCTTTGAAGAAGGCCACCCATGTCAAGACCATTATCCACAGTGAACCAATTGACGAAAAAGACACCAGACATGGTGGTAAGTTGTACAAGAATGCCCAAAAGGCCAAAGCCAAGATTCTTGAAATTAGACCTGATATCAAGTTTATCTCCTACGATGAAATCCTTGAGCTCGGTAAGACTTCCAAGAATGAGACACACTATCCTAAACCTGAAGACTTATTATGTATCATGTACACCTCTGGTTCTACCGGTGATCCAAAGGGGGTTGTTATCAGCAACACGAACCTTTTGGCTGCCATTGGTGGGTTATCTGAAATTGCAGATCATAAATTGGTGCAACCTCATGATCGTGTTATTGCATTCTTACCCTTGGCTCATATTTTCGAAATGATGTTTGAATGTATCAGTATGTGGTGGGGTGTCCCATTGGGTTATGCCAATGTCAAGACTTTAACTGATGCCAGTTGCAGAAATTGTGAATCTGATTTAGCTGCTTTCAAGCCAACAGTCATGGTTGGGGTTGCTGCCGTGTGGGAATCCGTGAGAAAGGGTATTCTTGCTAAGGTTGGCCAAGCTTCTCCATTACAGCAAAAGATTTTCTGGTCTGCTTACAAGGCCAAGAGTGTTCTTAGTCATTACCATATCCCTGGTGCCAATATCTTTGATGTTGTGTTCAAGAAGGTTAAGCAAGCTACTGGTGGTCATTTGAGACTTATTTTGAATGGTGGGTCGCCTATCTCGGTCGATGCTCAAGTTTTCCTTTCTAACTTGATTAGTCCTATGTTGTTGGGTTACGGGTTGACTGAAACCTGTGCCAATGCCACTGTGACCGAGCCAGAACGTTTAGAACCAGGTGTTTTGGGTACCTTGACTGGTGCCATTACTGCCAAATTAATTGATGTGCCCGATGCAGGATACTTTGCCAAGGACAACCAAGGGGAAATTCTTCTTCAAGGTGCTTGTATTACCAAGGAATATTTCAAGAACGAAGCTGAAACAGCCGAAGCTTTTACTGAAGATGGTTGGTTCAAGACTGGTGATATTGGTGAATGGACTTCTAACGGTGGATTAAAGATTATTGACCGTAGAAAGAACTTGGTCAAGACCTTGAATGGGGAATATATTGCCTTGGAAAAGTTGGAATCAGTTTACAGATCGTCACCTCTCGTGCTTAATGTTTGTGTTTACGCTGATCAAACCCAAGTCAAACCAGTTGCTATTGTTTTACCTGCTGAAGCTACTTTAAGAAAACACTTGGTTAGTGAACATGTTTACAGTCAAGCCGATATTGATAAGACCGAATTTGCTGCCTTGTGCCATGATCCAAAGGTTGCCTCTTCATTCACCAAGAGTCTTATTTCTACCGGTACTCACCAAGGCTTGAAGGGTATTGAATTGATTCAAAATGTTGTTCTTTTAGACGATGAATGGACTCCACAAAACGGATTTGTGACATCAGCACAAAAGTTACAAAGAAAGAAGATTTTAGCTAGTTGTAAAGACAGAGTTGATGCTGCTTACAAGGGAAAATAAGTTTGATTTCCGTCTAAGGGGAGTTGTTTTTTTTATAGGAAGTAATTTTTTTTTTTATATATATAGTAATGTTTACTTGATAGTGTAACTGTCTCATCATAATATAGGTGTTAATAACTGAAGAGTTTTAGTAGATGATGTAGTTTTCAAGTGCACATCTAGTGCAAGTTTTAAACCTCGGTCTTGTTCAATGTGGGTGCTTTGATATATGTATGTTATTAAACACATCTATGATTGTTCCGAGGCAGAATGCTGTCAATCTGATAATTTTTTTTGCTTGTAGACAATAAAACCTGTCAAACAATGGAAACAAAGTAATAATAAGCGACTCGCTCGGGCGACATCGGAAATTAGCTAATTTATTAGATAAACACATCACAAAGCTATAGCCTCGGCTCACTGGTTGCTATAATTGGAAGAGCGCCACGTTTTTTTATTTTTTTTAATAAAGCAGTTTCCAGAAAGATCTGATGAGTTACGGCATAACAAAGGTAATTCCACGCGTATCTGCATGACCGCCTAGTTCGTAAATTGTTGCCAGATTTTTCAAATGAATCTGCAGTAAAGTTGCTACGTCATTGTAATGCACGTATAATCTAAGGGGGGGGGACAAGCCAGATCTAATCTAGATCAGCCGCGGATAGACAACGATTGCATATTCACACATTTTGCCAAATTAAGTAATATTCTAGATGTGTCTACTTACCACTACACCCTACTGAAAACCTGCTTGATTTCTCGTAAGCCATACCCTTCATTCAAACAAAGCTGCAACAAGATTCTTGCCTTTTGCGGATTTAAATATCCGCCAGCCACAGCATTGGCAAAGAGAACCATAGAATCCTTGCTAGTGACTTGTGGCAATGATCCAAGAGGCACCATCCCGTCCATCAGTCTTTTACTGTAGATCACGGGAAACTCTTCATCTAAGCCAAGATCAGCGAGGAACTGGTTGCTTATGTTCGACATACTTCCGGCTCCCATAGTTGCTAGCACTAACCCTTCTGCGCCAAGTTCAGAGATTGCCAATTGGATAAGCTTATTGTTTAATCCTTGGTGAGCATATATGATGGGCACTTCGGGGAGGGATTTCGTTTTCGTGGCATCTAAATGGAAATACGTCAACCCAAGTGGTTTTGAAGGTGGGTAATAATAATGAATTTCATTATTGACAAAGTTACCAACATATCCCTGACCAATGGACTTGAACGTATCTAATGAGTTTGCGTTTGATTTTGTTATGTAGAATCCCGACCCGATACGGTCATTCAATGCGATAAGGACGCCTCGGCCACGACTTTCCCTCGAGGAAGCAATCACAATAGCTTGATACAAGTTCATAGGTCCATCAGAGGAGATCGCAGTTGATGGTCTCATTGATCCGCAAAACACAATGGGTTTGAATGTATTGACGGTGGACTGGATGAAAAAGGCTGTTTCTTCCATGGTGTCTGTCCCATGCGTAATCACGATCCCATCAAACTTAGGCAAATCTTCTTGAATTTTCGAATACAACAACAAAAGCTCATCCGTGCCCATTTCCTTGGAATCTATATTTAAAACTTGTTCATACTCTAGCTGGCACGTGGTTGACAAATCAGGAATATTCTCGATCAACTCTTCGATAGTGAGATCAACTTGGTATCCCGCAGTTTGATGCGATGTGACACCCTTGGAGGCAATGGTACCACCGGTACCGAGAACTTTAATCACGGGTAAGGTGTCATACACGGATTGCTCGGAGCTCTGGTTGGATACCACAGAATTGGAACGGTATCTGAGTTTGAATGTAGGATGGTCGAAATCGCGAGTATCATTTTCAATCTCGACGGCAGTCTCACTAATGGTGCTTAATGGAACGAAACTGGTGATTGATGGGATAGACTCGGCGTATTCTGGACCGAAAAGGACATTCTTCTTGGAATCACTCATTGTAATAATAAACCTTATTGATCAAGTCAAGCTTTTGTAATGATAAGCTCAAATTAAAAACACGTTTCGAAATGCATCATTTATATTCGGTACCAGTTGTGGAGAATTTTTGAGAATTAACTATTTTTTTTTGCGCCGCACCAACGAACCTGCCAAACAATGCGATGCCCTATATTTTTATAAGGCATTTCCAACAAGGTTCGTTTCGATCCGGAACCTCCCTTGGTGTGGTTCCCTGCATACACGATAAACGTACGTGTAAGATTGCTAATCCATGCATTTGGTAGTGCTTGTTTTTTTTTACTTTGCCAAACATGTAGAAGTATTTCAACTGGACCCATTTTACAATCAAATATGACATTGGAGTAGTACACGATTGAATGTAAACAAACTGGAGGGAGGGTGCGGGCGGTCTTAATGCAAGAGATATAGTCGAGTTAGTACTTGTTTCAAGGTTGCAAATCCATTCTATGGTGGGCGTGGATACGTACTAAGAGTACCCAGTATGAGTCGCATGATTCAATATTTTCTTGGTTGATTCATACAATGTACTAGTTGATTATTCCAAACTCAACTGTGAACAGTGTCACACAATTGTCTATATTTGATGGTGTAGCTACTACTCTTTAATTCTCTATCCGCACAGTTAATTATTCAGACCAACCAAAAAAAAAAAAGATCAAATGCCAAACCCCTCAACTACCAAACACCATTAACCATACACATACATATCCACATCCAAAATGGGATTATTCTCTAGCAGTACTGAAACCGAAAAGACGAACTTCGCTCCAGCTAAAAAGGAACGTACCGTATGCTGGGAAAAACGAGACTTATTCTTTGACTGTCTCACCAAGAACAACATTGACAACTCATTAGACGCCAAGGAATTGCCCAAAGTCAATAGTGAATGCGGGAACGAAAAGAAAGAGTTTGAAGCAAGTTGTGTAAACAGTTGGATCAAATACTTTCAAGAAAAGAGATTCAACGATTTGACGAGAGCCAGATATATCGCTAAATTAGAAGCAGAGGGCGCTCAACCTATACCCATCAAGCTTGAGAGCAGCACCAGAAAGAAGAATTAACCGTGTGGTGTTACTTGTACATAGAATACTTTTTCTATTTAGTTAAATATAGAATTAGATTGCCATTATATACGTAGGTTCATGCCCCACATAATGTGCGCTCTCGGGAGCAAGCACCTCCAATACCGTCGCCCATTCGAATTCTCCTCGTTCTATAATAACAAAGCTGAGTTCCAATTCGAGTTTAGCTCCCGGTTGCAAGGGAACATCACTAATTTTATTCTGTAGCACCCCATTAAAGAGGATCTTCCGATCAATTGACAATTGCGCTTTAAACGAGACAGAAGTGGGGTGAATTGAACTCGTTATGGATCTCGGGATGGGTAAGTGTCTGATAATTCCCGTGATTGGACTCTCGGAATTATTGACAATTGTAGTTTTCAATATGTAGAATTCGTCAGCTTGCAAACAGTACTGGGTGCCTTGTTTCTCAAGCGGGGTATCCAGTTCATCACATATACTATGGTTGATCAAGATATTATCATACACTAGTATACTGCTATTCTTGGCTGTCAATCTCAATGGTCGTAAATCTATAGTTCCATGACGAGCATCATCACTGCCACTCCAAGAACCAGACAATTTCAACAAGATGTGGTCCCGAAGCCAAAATAATTTCTGCATTAATTTCTCTGCTTCCTCAGTGAGATTGTAATTCTTGACGAATTGTCGATTACGTAACGAAGGAATCGGTTTTGTAAAGTCAATTTCATTCGGTTTGATTCGTTTAATAGGGATCAAGAATCTCAGAGTCTTATCTGGGACTATGGAATCATTGATTTCAAACTCAACACTGTCAGAATACTTTAAATTAATCCTCAACTTATCCGTCCATGAATTCCGCAAATCTATAATGAACAAACAATAATCGGAAACATCTTTCTTCAGCTCAATCAATCCACTGATAAACTGCAACACCTGATTCAAATTGCCAGGATTGTGTTGATAGGTAACATCCAAACCTTGCAACAGAGACGCAAACAAGGGCAAGATATCACACCCTACAACTTCAATGGCTGGCATGACGGAGATATTCAACGGTATGTGAATATGCTTGACGAAACTGTTGGGGATATCATCACTATTCTTGTGTGCATAATCCAAAATGATCTTCAGCAAATCCATACCCTTTCTTCCAGTAACTTCGTAATCTATTTCAATGTCATCACCAGGTCCAATTGTCTTGTACTTTTCCGCGATTTCATCCTTGTTAACGATTCTGAATGGTTTGAATTTGACGAGTGCCCACTCAATCTCATACATCTCGGCGGCATCCAAGGTGTTTTGGACTCCGGCCAGATTCAACTTATTGTTCAAAGGTTCAATAGTAGAATCCCAAAAGGAAAATGACAAGTAGTTGATTGTCACTGGTGAGTGATTGGTTAATCTTATTGAAAAATCAAACTTTTCTCCATCAAGCAACATGATCCAGCCGTTAGTAACCAGTGTGTCAGTCAATGTCAAGGTTGGTTGGCGGGAAATGACATTTAGAACAAGTTTTCTTGTGGTTGCTCGTGACTCAATGGAGGCGTTTTTTAAATTAGCAATTACTTTATCAAGGGTGTTGGGAACTTCAGAAATGGAATGGTCAGTTATCTTGACAGATTTGGCGTATAGTTCCTTGTCCACAATAGGAAAGAATTGCGGTTTGCACGGACCAATAGAAGCTCTAAATCCAATAATCTTTAATTGACCAACATGCAATGCTCTAAATGCGACCAAGAACTGTTCGGTTGAATTAGGAGGCACGACCATCACTGACAGGGTTTGCGACGACGAGCTCGAGAAATTATTCGGCAGGGTCAGATTAACGGGTGATGCTTTCTTTGTCAATCCACGAACTTTGGTCATGGATGATGCTCGAATTGTGTTGTTGAGCAGTTGTTGTTGTGATGGTGATGGGTTTATAGCACGGATTAAACTTTTGATGGTTTCTACTTGGACATCACCTTCTGTGGCGATTTCCAAGTCATTGATTTCAATTTCAAACGCAAACGGATTCTGAAGGGTAATTTTCAAATGGTTTACGTCATCCTTGATCAATAGCTTGTCCTTCTCAAACACACTGACTTCGACGGTCTTTTGGTACGGATCAAAGAACGAATCGGTTGATTCTTGCAGGACACCATTCTCCAAATACTCATTAAATGGAATCAATTCATCGCGTTGCTTGGAATTGACAAATTTAGCCCGGCGAACCATGAATGGATCCCAATAAGGAACGCTAAGTGATAGCTTATCAATGGTGGATTGGAAAATCAAACTTTCGACTTTTTCCTTTAATCGAATCTGATCATCCTCGGGTAAGTTATGGGTATACCTAGTCAACAACAATGTACACAACTTCAACAAAAACTCTTTATCATTGATATTTTCCCCAATCTTCATACATAACTTGAGGAACTGGATTTGTAACGCAGGCCAGTTGCTTTGTGATTGGAAACTGGCAGCTTCGGCAGAGACTTCTGGTTCGGAATTGATACCATACAACACGAATAAGAAATCTACAATTTCTCGAATCGACTGGATCTGTCCCGGGGTGGTTGTACTCAGTTGTTTCTCCAAGTCAGGGAGAAGTCCCACTAGTAACGTCCGCAAAATGAATGCCCGTTTCCTCATCATCCCTAAATCAGAATACATGGACGCCAACACTGAGTAAATCCGACATTGGTCTATAATGGGCAAGTCCACGAGTTGTAATTGGAAAATCTTGTCGATTTCAGCAAGGATGTCCAGGCGGTAAAAGTAACCTTGATAAGTTGCACTCTCAGTTTTCTTCCCTCTTATGATATTTTCTAAATCTGTAGATGCCATTTCTCCATTAGATAGATGAAACCCAATCATGAGTCTAATATTACGCAAAATAGACTCAACGTAAACGATATCCGGAACCATATCCTCGAAATCGTTCGTGCTTAAATCATAGAACGATAATGCGCGCGACATTACAACATTCAAGAGTTCAGGGAGAGCCACAGTGTTCAAATCAGGCGTGGATGTGAGTGAATTCAACGTGAATCCATTGGTTGCACCCGAAAACGATGTTCTTGGTGATAAATTGGTGGTTATTTTCGAAGATTGGGAATCGATCGAGGACTTTCTCGGAGACAATGTAGGATCAGACAATGAGTTCATTTTACTCTTGGTCACTTGTAGGATAGGACACAAGATCTGACTGGGTAACGTATACTGTGATCCAATGAACTGAAGCAAGACAATACTCACGGCCATGCCTTCCAATGCACTCGCCAACCACAAGTAATCGTCACATTTGCGCAATGCCTGCAACCCTTCAATGAAGCTTTGCAACGCGTCGTGGTATTTTCCTGATAGCAAGTAAAAGTTACCCATGAGCTTCCTCTGGCGACCAAGATGTCGTAAATGTGTCTTTGATTTGGTTTCCATCGAGGTTGGTGCAGAGTTGCCGTTGAATGAGACTTTGAATGATGTTGATCCGCCCAAGGAGATTCGCTTCTGGGCCTTGTTGATAGCTTTAGTGAGAACGTGCGAGTCCGTGATTGACACTGGCGATCTCAATGTAATATTGGCAAATGACGATGCGTAGCTGTCCAATTCGTTCAAAAAGTTGCCACATATGTCACAAAATATTGTTTCTAATGCCGTGAGTTTGTTTGTGGTTCCATCATGATAAAACACATCCGGGTTGAGTTTGTTTAGTGATTCGACTTGGACCAGCGGTGTGTCGAACATGATAGAATTGGCCATTATGGTGGTGGGGAATCGCGTCTTGATTGCGTCCAAGTGTTGTTGAGCATTCAACTCTTCAGAGTATGTCCCCACTGCAATGACAATAAAGGTTTTGCGAAACGGTTCAAAGTCATGGAGAAAGATTGATTCCTGATCTATGGTGGTGGTGGTAAACTCTATAAATATTCTCCCATTGGGGAACGATGCTGGATTGAAATGCAGTAGGTCGGAATTTGGTGTGATGTCTAGTAATCGCACCTCGCTGACGTTGGAATGGAGTAGTTGCAAATATCGGGTGAAATTGGCCTTGGTGCAGTTGTTAATGGGGACAACAAGCACCTTGACTATTGCCGGCGCTATAAAGTTGTACTTGTCCGACATGAGCGTTGTACCAGTGAATCAGATGTTATGTACAGGTCTAAAACTGATTCAAAAGCGCCTCTGATCGATTATAACTGGTTAGTTGCAGCAAGTGTGGACAACAAGGGATTGTATGGTTGTCCCACTTTGGTTGTAAACTACGTATTTTGTTTGTCAAAACAGTTGGCCAAAGCACACGACCTTTTTTTATTCTGAGCGAGAATTTCGGGTCGTGTACTTTTGTCTGATTATCACTGAAAAACTGGAAGGCAAAACCACTAACATTCTTTATATCTTACACCAACTAGCACAGCTATATCGACCAATTGATCAAATAAAAAAAGACATCATTATCATCACACACAATGGCAGGACTAAATTTCGAAAACTACCAAAGAAATTCATACTTGTCCACCAAGGGGTTCGCCACACCAAGGGCCACTTCTACAGGTACCACCATTGTCGGATGCAAGTTCCCGGGTGGAGTAGTGATTGCTGCCGACACCAGAGCTACTTCAGGACCTATCGTCGCCGATAAGAATTGTGAAAAGTTACACAGGTTAGCACCCAAGATCTGGTGTGCTGGTGCCGGTACAGCTGCCGATACCGAAATGGTTACGCAATTGATTGCATCCAATTTGGAATTGCATGCGCTCTCCCAGAATAGAGAACCTCGTGTCATAACAGCATTGACGATGTTGAAACAACACTTGTTCAAGTATCAGGGCCATTTGGGTGCATATTTGATTTGTGCAGGTGTAGATCCTACTGGAGCCCACTTATTGTCGGTTCAAGCCCATGGGTCCACTGACATTGGGAAGTACCAATCCTTGGGTTCCGGTTCTTTAGCTGCTATGGCGGTATTGGAAACTAATTTCCGAGAAGATTTAACAAAAGAAGAGGCAATTAAGTTGTGTGCTGATGCAATTGAAGCGGGTATTTGGAACGATTTGGGTTCCGGTTCCAATGTCGATGTGTGTGTTATGGAAGTTGGCAAAGATGCCGAATTGTATAGAAATTATCTCACTCCGAATGTGAGATCGCAAAAGGCTAGATCGTACAAGTTTGCTCCTGGAACCACTGCCATTTTAAGAGAGAGCGTCCGCGATATCTTGGACGTCGAAGAGACTGTGGTATCATTTGACCAAATGGAAGTTGACACAGAGGCATAGTGGCGTGGTATGTGAATATAGATATACATATATACATATATACATACGCAAATGAACGAAGCGTTAAACCATATAAAGTATCCGTCCTGCATATAACCCCGGTTTTCTAGATTGTTCCATAGTAGCAATATATAAATATGGCCGCGAGCCCTTGTTGAAAATTTTACAACATTCCTTCCCTCCTCCCCCATATAAAACAACAAACAATGGTTGTCAACAATCCTAACAACTGGCACTGGGTCGATAAGAACTGTCTTCAATGGTCCAACGACTATTTCAAGGAAAAATTAACCAACCTTACCGTATCAGAAGGGAAATATACATGCACCATTGACGAAGTATCTTCTGTGGAAGGAGACGTAGACGTCTCTCAAAGAAAGGGAAAAGTTATTTCGTTATTTGATATCAGAATCGTGTTACGTTTCCAAGCCAAGATTGACAAAGAGCCAGTTAGTGGATCAATCACGATTCCGGAATTGGCATTTGATAGTGATTCTGACGGATTACAATTCGATATCAGTATCTACAATGAACACAGCGGAAACACCGAGATCAGCAGTTTTATTAAGAAGGCATTGTTGCCTAAGTTGCGAGATATATTGATGCAATTTGGTCCTGATTTGATTGAGACCAATAGCAAGGATATCCAATTGCCTTCAGACAACGTAAATTCGACTTTTACTAAGGCTAACCAGGAAGCTTCGGTACACCATAAGGAAGAAGCGCCAGTGAAGGCTTCTTCAACCGCAACCGCAACCGCAACCGCAAAACAGACCGTCCCTGCCAAATCTACTTCCCAACCAAAGGCCGCTGCCAGTTCATCCATTCCAAAGTATAACACATCCACCCTTCACTTGGAACCTACCTTCAACACCACTGCTGAACAATTGTACATAACCTTGTTGGAAGAATCAAGAATCGCCGCATGGACCAGGGCATATCCATTCATTGAAAGGTTCCCACCCAGCGAAGGATCAACATTCAAGTTCTTTGGTGGACTGGTGTCTGGGAAATTCTTGAAATTAGTACACAATGAACGTATTGTGCAATTATGGAGATTGGATGATTGGAAAGAAGGTCATTTCGCCGAGTTAGACATTCAAATCGTCCAGGGACAAAGTGAAACTAAACTCGTGGTTAAATTCACCGGTATCCCTATCGGCGAAGAAGATAGAGTCAAGGGTAACTTTGAAGAAATGTATGTACGTGCCATCAAGATTATCTTTGGATTCGGAGCAGTTTTATAGAATTTAATAAATACGGCTATATTGTTCCGTGAGGAAATATTTCATCTAGTGTAAGGTTGGGGTGTTTGTTTAGGCCGATTATGTACAATTCTCGCAGCTCATCTCGACTGGCCTTCGGTACCATCAAGTGAACTCGCTTAAACATGATTTCCATCAGTTCTTTCAAGAGTTTATCTTGTTTTCCGGAAAAGTACTTCATGACAAGAGATCCACCTGGCCGCAAGAGATTATGCGCGAGGATTATTGCTCCCGAGCAAAGATCCATACTGGCGAAATGATCAGCATCCTTCATTCCTGATGTGTTTGCCATCATGTCACTTATTATAAGGTCGACCGGGTGCGACGGTACTGACAGCACTTTCTTTGACTCGGCAGATTCGTGAGTAGCGATTTCCTCGGATACGCCTGCAAAATGGTCTCTAATCTTGTCATGGGTAGACTGTTTCAACATATCGCCCTGGATCAAGGTCGTCCCCACTGGAGGAGCATACCTGAGCAAATCAACCCCGAGTATGTCTGCCTTTACATTCTTGGTTCGTTCAACTGCCACTTGAGTCCATGCACCTGGAGCCGACCCCAAGTCTACAATATTGATGGCTTTCTTAAACAAGCGATACTTTTGATCAATCTCTATGAGTTTGTATGCGGCTCTTGATCTATAGAAATCCGTCTTGGATTGTTGGGTGTATATATCCTTGGACTTTCTCGCCAACCATAATGTTGATGACTTGCCAGACTTGTAGCGAACTTGCAAGAACGGTCTTATTGCGTTGTTGTATATGCAATGACTCACCATATCCTGGTAGCTGATTCGCAGATCATCATCGGAATAAAATTCCGCGTCTTTTTTCTAATCAAAGTAAATTAGGGTCGTCGCAAATTCATTCCCAATTGGGCAAAGTCATCCACCCGCCCGCAATCTCGCATTGCTGAGCAAAACTCTTCCCACTAACTATAAATTTTCAGATCCCCCCCTTTCTAAATTTTTACTTCAAAGTCACAATCATTTTGTTGAATTAATACCTTATAACACATCTACTTATACACAATGTCCGAATCTACTGTTGGAAAGGTATGTCGTAACATAGAACCACCACCCAAATTGGAGAAAGTGAAAGAAGCTAACGCCTCGAGATTCGTTTCGGATCCGGTTGAAATTTAAATGCTACTTTGTTGCAAGTTCACCCACCCCTCCACCCTGGCAGTTATGCATTTCCAATTGAGGTAGTAAAAAAAAATAACCCATTCATATACTAACTAACCAACATCTAGACTATCACTTGTAAGGCCGCTGTCGCTTGGGAAGCAGGCAAACCATTGTCCATCGAAGAAGTCGAAGTTGCCCCACCAAAGGCCCACGAAGTCAGAATCAAGATCTTAAACACCGGTGTGTGTCACACTGACGCCTACACCTTAAGTGGTGTTGACCCAGAAGGTGCATTCCCAGTTATCTTGGGACACGAAGGTGCCGGTATTGTTGAATCCGTAGGTGAAGGTGTCACCAGCGTCAAGGTCGGCGACCACGTTGTCGCCTTGTACACTCCTGAATGTAAGGAATGTAAGTTTTGCAAGTCCGGCAAGACCAACTTGTGTGGTAAGATCAGAGCTACTCAAGGTAAGGGTGTCATGCCTGATGGTACCTCCCGTTTCAAATGCAAAGGCCAAGACCTTTTGCATTTCATGGGTTGTTCTACCTTCTCCCAATACACTGTTGTTGCTGACATTTCCGTGGTTGCTGTTAACCCAGAAGCTAAGTTCGACAGAACCTGTTTGTTAGGATGTGGTATCACCACTGGTTACGGTGCTGCTACCATCACTGCCAATGTCCAAGAAGGTGACAATGTTGCCGTGTTCGGTGCTGGTTGTGTCGGGTTGTCTGCTGTTCAAGGTGCTGCCCAAAGAAAAGCCGGTAAGGTCATCGTGGTTGACATCAATGACAAGAAACAAGAATGGGCTACCAAGTTCGGAGCTACTGATTTCGTTAATCCAACTACTTTGCCAGAGGGCCAAACCATTGTCGACAAGTTGATTGAAATGACTGATGGTGGTTGTGACTACACTTTTGACTGTACTGGTAACGTCAATGTCATGAGAAACGCCTTGGAAGCCTGTCACAAGGGTTGGGGTACCTCTGTCATTATCGGGGTTGCTGCTGCCGGTAAGGAAATCTCCACTAGACCATTCCAATTGGTGACTGGTAGAGTATGGAAGGGTTCCGCTTTCGGTGGTGTTAAAGGTAGATCTCAATTACCTGGCCTTGTTGAAGACTACATGGCTGGTAAGTTAAAGGTTGATGAATTCATCACTCACAAACATCCTTTGGAAAAGATTAATACTGCTTTTGATGACATGCACCACGGTGATTGTATCAGAGCTGTCATCAACATGTGACTAGCCGGGTATAAACTCTAAATGTTTTTTACATGTAATGTATATTGTCTATAAATACTATGCGTCGATTTCTAGATCACTGTGTTCATCCAAATCAGCCACTGCTGGGATGTCCCCATCGTCATCTTCTTCTTCCTCCTCCTCTTCGTCTTCGCTTTCTATGTAGTCATCTTCTCCTTCAAACTCCATGAGTTCATCCTCGTCGATTTCCCCATTGAATTGGGCATCATCGAGTTCTTCAATGTATTCAACATCACTCTCACCAGCATGGTCTTCGTCTTGGTACTCTTCGGTCAAAAGCTCATTCTTCAATTCATTCTGTTCATACAACATGTTTAACCTCCCTTGCAATTCCAACAACCTTGGCATGGTATCGGCCTTCTTGATCAAGACCGAGTGTAAACTGGACAACTTGACACTAAGGTTAGGTAAAGAAGCAATGACTGCACCATGGATGACAAGAATCCACTTGAGCCAGTAGTTCAACTGGTCGAACCTTGAAGATTGACGTTGAATCTTTTCACTCAATCTGTCCAACAACACCACAGCTAAATACGGATTCAATCTGGAGATGGTATTTTGGATGATTTGGGGATCACGATTGGTCAACACGGTTTCGAGCAAACTTTGATCGTTATTCTTGAGCGATTGGGAAAGAATCACAGCAAGAGATGCCCCGGTTCTTGCGTCTTCGAGTTTCTTCTTGGCTGGTTTGGGTTTGTCCATGGCCAATCGGTCCAATTTTTCAGCGAGAGATTCTTCTTGCTCGCTTTCTTCTCCTTCATCTTCATCGTCCTTGTCTAAGTCGCGGATGTTGGTTCCGTCACTGACGATGGCGTGGCCCTCGCTATAGAGTTTAGCGGCGGCAACGTCGTGCCCGGACACTGTATGTTGGGTGGTTTTTAAGTCTGGTCTGGCCTTTGAAATTGTTTGCGATTCAAGGCTGAACTTTCCGGTTTCGTCTATCCATTGCACGCTGTCAAAGAACGGGATGGATGAATTTTCCAACCATGTGAACAATACGGAGTCGTCGTTGATGGATATGGAGTTGATGCGCAAATTTGAGTCCTGGGGACTTTTGATTTCTGGTTCGGGACGGGATAATTTGATGGCGGCGTTGGATGAACGAGATGTTGTTCCTTGTGGTTGCTTTCTCTTTTTCTTCTTTGGTGTGGTGGTGGTGGTGTTGTTGCTGTCGGACAATGGGTCGTTAAACACTTCCAAGTTCCCGTTTTCGTTTATAGCAACTAATATCGACTTGTCGTTTCTGATCCCGACAGATATCTCCAATACGGACGACAGCGACACAAACACAGCCTTGGTGGTTACTTTATCCACCAGGTACAAATTGACAAACCGGTCTCCCTTGGCGCTAGTCAAGAACAATTCTGGGTGGTCGGGAACTGGAACGAGACTATTCACTGGTTGTATGTGGCCGGGGAATGTCTTTACCATTCTCTTGTTTCCTGCGTCCACCAAGTAGATCGCATGAGATCCTAATAATAAGTGCACTTGGCCATTGTATACAATGGTAGAAATTCGATTTATGGAGTCGACACCTTCAATCACGTCGCCGATTTTGAAACTTTGGATAAGGGTGTATGAGTCCATGTTCCATTCATACACATTGCCTTCTATGTCAGAGGACCATCCAGTATGGGTAGTTTTCGAATAGTGAAAATCAGTTATGGATACATTTGCGCTGCTGGTCAATTCGGCCACAATCTCGTTGGTTTGGGGTGAATAAACAAGAATGGATCCCTTGGTCAAACACACGGCCAAGAGTTGAACACTGGAGTTTATCCATTGCAACTGGGTTATCTTGTTTGCTTTGTCTAAGTTGAAGGATGCATTTAATGACGATTGAGATGGGTTGACGGATTGCACCTTGATCTGGTGCGTGTCCAAGGCGACAAGCGCGGTGGCTAGGTATCCATTACTAGGATCAAACAGTGAACAGATTATCGGACCAGATGACGACATGATGGTTGATCCGCTGTGTGTAGTAATAGTAGTAGTAGTAGTAGTAAAAGTAGTAGTAGAGAAGTCGATGAGATGGAGTTGCAATTTTTTTTTTTTTTCTTCCGCACATATAAATTTTTCAAAGTGGTGTGCCTGTGTTGTATGCACACTAAATCTATATAAACTAAAACTAAACTTATCTATCGCTTACGTCTTTTCACATCTTCACCCTCTTCAACTTCTTCATCGTCCTTTAATTCATGTTCACACTGTGCTATTTTAATCCCTCCTCGAGACTGTCTTCGTTTGTTTAGTCCAACTAGCGAAGTAGTGCTTGGTTGTGCACTGATGCTTGACGCTTCCGAAGAACTGTCAATTTCAAACTCATCATCAAACAAGTGGGGGTTGTTGAGTGGTTGTTTTGTTTCTCTAATTAGTTCTTCGTATTCCTCCTTCTTCATATTTCCTTCCTTCATTAGTTTCTTGAACAACTCACTGTCTGCGTTAAGCGACGCACCGTGTGGGTTGGTGGCAGACGTGGTGGCAGCGGTAGTTGTGGTAGTGGTAGTGGTCGTGCTGGTGCTGGTGCTGGTGCTGGTACTGGCGGCGGCGGCGGCGCTGGTGGTGCCGGTCGTGCCCGGTGGTGCTGGCGGGGTCGTGCGTTCAGTCTTGGCTTTCGTTTGATGCACCGCATTCAACGTGTTCGACAATCCATGAAAGTAAATCTCATTAACGTTTAAATTTCGATTTGGATCCACCCCCTTCTCGGCCAACTTAAGCAAACTTGCTTCACCTTCAGCATCCTGTTTAATCTGCGGCAATATCTCTCCGCACTTAAGTGCAGCAGCGTCTTGCGAAGTATACTCCTTGGCATGGGCGATTCGACTATGATTCAAAAACCCCTGGGCTGACGAGAAATTACTTCGTTGGCAATCAGGACAAGTTAATCTCACTATTATCCCGTCGGTTCTTCTGTACAAACATCCCAAGTTTTGTGGTTTCGCCATAGCCGAATTAATGCCCATGCCACCACTGGTGGTTGGTGTTGTCATACTAGACGCCGCGGTGTAACTTGACGGTCTCAATGAAGATGTAGTAGATCTGGTTCTGTATGCGTGACCCGGCTGCGGGCATAGTATATTGGAGCCCACAGACACTGGCTCTGTCTGGACCGAATCGTCAATATAATCGTGTTGAAGAGGGACATCCATGGGAATCCCCTCAGGAAACCGCTTCATATTGTCATAGGTGGCATTCAAGGACTTATTCAAAAGTTCAAAATACCTCATGGTGAAATCGTTCGGCTCATTGTTAATCTTGACGTCGTTGGGGACATCAAAGAATTTCCGGAGCATCAACATTTGTGATTCCATTTTACTAATTTCGTGGTCGTTCAAATTCAATTCTTTATGTTTGAGTCGGATTTCAAGGTCGATCTGGTTGGTGATTATCTCCTTGAGTTTCTCGTGGGGGATTTCTCGTAGTCTTTTGATGATGATTTCTTGTTGTGAGGCCGGAGTCATTTCCTTATCAGATGAATTGTCGAGCGGGTCAACGGAATCCGTATTTATAGGTATATTTGTATTTGCAGATGGAGCCGTCGTCTGTCGTGGCAGTTTATTAGTTTCCAGAGCTTCCATGATATTAGTACTAGATGTAAAGAAACTTGTTAGCCACCAGGAATAACATGGGTTGCGTAAATTTGCCTTTATGAATTTATTTATTTATGTGTTTATTTATTTTTTTTTTTTTGTCCCGTGGGAGATTTCCATCTAATGTCGCGACACATCATTTTGTGACACAAAAACTTCAGCTAGAAGAAGACGACGACATGATAACGAGATTCACTGAAGCTGGCAGAATGTTCTCTGATATGAGTGAATAGGCATGTTTCAACCGATGTTGTGAATACATTTAAGTCAAAGACCGCTTTCTCGAACTTATACTGTCAATTTGATGGGTTTCTTGTTCAACCAGTTAGACATCACATTGACCAGTAAGGTTGACGCTATTTCTACCAGGTACCACTTAAATATTACAACCTTTTAGTAATAGTATTATTATATAGTCCAACAATGTCTAATATCTTAGTAGTATGATGCGGCCACTGTAAAGCTTATGCTTAGTCGAACTGGGTTATTTTTATATTGTATTTTGTACGCCCCACAAATCAGATCTCACAATGGCTTGGGGAAATGCGCCAAGGACAACGACACAATGAAATGTTGATCAACCTCCCACCGCTCCCCCCCTCACAAATTATTTTCAAAACCACCTCGTTCTTCATCCCAACCTTTCCCATTAATAGACTAATACTGCAATGTTCAAACGCAGCTTCCTTAGAGGTAAGCAATTCCCGTTGGTAAGACCATATACAACGACCACAAGACGCTCGTTCAACCCAGCATTACTTTTCGCTGGAGGTACCATCATTGGTGGATACACAGTCTACAAACTTCTGAATTTACCCGTTGCTCTAGCAGACACTCCATCGTTAGCTTCTACATTGCCACTAGAGCAATTGACATCCCCTACCTATGCCACCAATGCCGAAATCGATCAAGCAATCCAAGAAATCAGAGCCGCCTTCCTTGCCAACACCCCAGACGTCGATGAGTCTCTCCTAATCAACAGCACCGAAGAAGAACTCCAGGGCCACTCTGACACCTATTTCAACTCGCATCACGCCACGAAAACCCAGAGACCAAAATACGTAGTGTATCCTCGTCTGACACAGGAAGTGTCCCAGATTATGAAAATCTGCCATAAGTACAGCATCCCTGTGGTGGCCACCTCAGGGAAGTCGTCACTTGAAGGCCACTTTATCCCTACGCGAGGAGGTATCTCCATTGACATTTCATCAATGAGCAACGTCGTCCAGTTGAACAAGACCGATTTGGACGTAGTGGTGCAAGGCGGCATCGGATGGGAGGAACTCGACGATTATTTGGCTCCGTATAACTTGTTGTTCAGTACGGATCCAGGACCAGGGGCTACAATTGCTGGTGCATTGGCATGTAATGCCCTGGGAACCAATGCGTATAGATACGGGGAAACATTCAAAAATGTGCTTAATTTAACGGTGGTGCTTGCTGATGGAACCATTGTCAAGACTAAACAGCGACCAAGAAAGTCGAGCGCCGGGTATAATTTGACGTCATTATTTGTCGGGAGTGAAGGAACACTTGGTATCATTACCGAAGCGACATTACGGTTGAATGTCAGGCCAACTGAGGAGTCGGTCATTGTCGTTCCTTTCCACAGTATTGCTGATGCTGCTAATGCTGTCAATGATATCGTGTTGACCGGAGTGCAAATGAGTGCGATTGAATTGCTAGATGATAAAATGATGAATGTGGTGAATCTCTCTGGCGAAACCACGAGAAAGTGGATCGAGAAGCCAACTTTATTCCTCAAGATTGGTGGACCAAACCTTGACGTCTTGCGTGCAACCGTGGACCAATTAAAGAAGATCGCGGCTGAACACAACAATGTCGACTTCCAGTTTGCATCCGATGCTGACGAAAGAACAGAGTTGTGGTCAGCTAGAAAAGTAGCATTATGGTCTAGTATCAACCACGGCATTGAAATTGATAAGGACATGCAATTATGGACTACTGATGCCGCAGTGCCTATTTCCAAATTGCCGCAATTTCTCATGGAGACGAAAGCCGATATCGACGCACATGGGTTGAAAAACACCTTGGTGGCACATATCGGTGATGGTAACGCCCATAGTTTTATCCTATACACACCAGACGAGAGAAAGATTGCCGAGACGGTAGTCAGTAATATGGTACAAAGAGCAGTTAATTATGAAGGTACGTGTACGGGAGAACACGGAATTGGGTTTGGGAAACGTGAGTTCTTGCTACAAGAAGTGGGACAGATTCCTGTTGATGTAATGAGAAATATCAAGCTTGCATTGGATCCTAAACGGATATTAAATCCTGACAAGATATTCAAAATTGATCCCAATGAACCAGAAGGGCATTAGTATTTGTTGTTGTTGTTTTTTTTTGTAGCGCGTAAATGAAAATAGAATTAACAAACACATCTTCAGTACACCATGAGCCAAGAAGACACTCCTACAATACCTGTAGCTACCATCGCGAGAATATTCCGAGAATTGTCATTCAAGAATGATTCAACGCGTATAACTATGGACACATTGGAACTCTCGTCTGAGTACATCAAGTTGTTCATCAATGAAGCAATAATCAGATCCAACCAGGAAAGACTAGATGAAGGCGATTCGTTAACTAAAGTCGATGGAATAGATAACGTCAATCAAACACAGCCTGCTTCGAAAGATGAAGATGATCAATTTGGTGATGATGACGATGTTGATGTTGATTTTGACGATGATGATATTCCTGAAGATGCATTCACCAACACATTCAACAATCCATCCACAAACGCAAACACTAACGATTCTTTACATTCACGTCACTTGGACAAGGTTGCTGGTGTACTAGTATTGGATTTTTAGTCTATACAAGAGAAACACTACCTAGGTCTATAACATTCCAGTATCCCACCGACAATGCATCATGTCCCGGGATCTTTTTTAGTACATCAGGAAGTTCACTTTTCAAGGTTATGTATACTGGAAGTCTGAAATTGAACGTGTTCGAACCATCCAAATTTATAATCACAGGGATAGAATACCAATTGATTCCTCTTTCAACAAAGTTATTGAGGTTTTCTTCGACTTCTTCAAACGAAGCCGGTGGTTTATGCATCACGTCACCTTTTCTTAAAATCAACTCTCGTTTCCCGGTTGGAGTGTTACTAGTTAAGAAACAGCTAGGGATAGTTTTGATTAGATTTGTGCTCGTGGGTCCTAGAGTGACTTGATTCAAGGGGATCGTTATTTTACAATTGACTTCAGGAGCAACATTGTATGAACTGGGGATACTGATATTCACTGTGCATTTGACACTCATGGGATTGATCAAGTGAATCATAAGGATAGTTGTACCATTCCACTTTTTTAACACCTGTGATGAAAACTTTTCTCCGTTAAATAGATTTGATATTGATATAGTAGGTAGATAATCGACAGCACTGAATTTAACTGCAAATTTGTTGATTGTTGGTTGTGTCTTGTCATTAGCATATGCCAACACGAGATTATGACACTTGCAACATCGATGAGATGTCTTTGTTGTTAGCTTTCGTGCCTGTGGGTATGACTTTATAGTAAGATCTAACTCAGTGGGCGGTGTTGGTGTTTGTTCCTGTCGACGCGTTTGCTGTAGCATCAATTCGATATTCTTACTCACGGGACTCTTTTCCTCTTCCGGTCCTAGCACTCCCTTCCTTATCGCATCACACAATTGATGAAACGAATCAGGGTTAGCCCGCTTCTCATCGTCAACTATAGCATGTAAGGACTTTGGCTTGTATATTACCAGAGTAACGTACAGATACTCACAATACACACAATTAAAATTGAACGATTTCCCCTTGTTATCATGATCAGTCATTGTGATTGACAAATTGGCATGACAATCAGGGCACTCGAAACAGTTCTTGATGCAATGGGTAAGATTCTTATTGTTGGAATAATCAGTGAGACAATTGGCGCAGAATTTAGACTCAATGTCGTATGATGTCTGGTGAGTTGCGCGTGGTTCCTGACATATTGGACAGAAGAATAGGTGGGAGAGTGGGAAGGTTAGATTTGTATTGATGTTATTTGGGTCAAATGGTGTATCAGAACAGTAGATCCTGGAGTCATTGTATATTAGTGACATGCTATATCATAGTTGGTGGTGATGTTTATTTTTACCATAGAAAAAAAAAATATTGGTTGATCTAAAGTAAACATTACAAAGGCTTAACAATGAATCATCATGGAAAAACTACGGTTGGGTAGCGCGACCAAGAAATGAAATATAATCAAGAAAAGAACCTTGGTGGTACCAAATCAACTAAAGCAATACTGTTTTTTTGTTTTTAAAAAAAATATGTGGTGAAATATGAAGTAGTACATTAACCACCCACGTGTGACTATGACTGCGACTTTGCAGCAATCATCACGATGAGGAACTATAAATGTTTAGACGATTCCAACACCATTTCCTCTAAATTCAATTAGAAAGTAATTGCAAGGATGTTCTTCATATTATACTTGCTTGTCATGGTTACAGCGCAAGTGGTGTTCAAATTACCACGGCCACTTCCAGAGTTTAACACCACTACCGACTATTTCATCCAAAGTGATCCCAAACAACCACGCCAGCATCCAATAACCAACTTTGGTTTAAAAGATCAATGGACTTGGGATTCCTTGATTGAACAAATCAAACTCCTCCCCAGTCATAAACTATTCTTGTTGCAACGTCATGGAGAAGGATACCATAATATAGCACCAGCCAATTATTCCAAGCATGAATGGAACTGCTACTGGCAATTGAGATCCGGGAACGGGGAAGTAGAATGGGAAGATGCCAGATTGACACCTACGGGCCAAGCACAAATCACTTCACTCCAAAAGCAAATAACCAACACTGAGAACTTCCCCCGTCCACACGCATTCTATGTCAGTCCATTAAGAAGAACCCTTGAAACTTGGGAATTGACATGGTATGACCAAGGTGAAGTAGCCACTATTAAAGAGTTGGCCAGAGAGACATATGGGATCGGAACCGAAAGCAAACGCCATAGCAAAACATATATTGAAACCCATTATCCCGGATTCGCATTTGAATTGGGATTCACAGAATCTGACGAGTTATGGAATCCCGATTTCCATGAACTGGAACAACACCGCAACTATCGTGCTGCCAAACTTTTACAAGAAATATTCAACGAGAATCAGGAGAATAATGTAATCAGTTTAGTTGCCCATTCTGGATTGATTAAATCCATTTTACAAGTAATTGGTCATCGTAAATGGCCAATGTATACTGGAGAATTGATTCCAGTAGTGATTGCCATGACTTACGACAGTAAAACATATTCGTTGGATGATCCTTGGAGATCTTTGAAAGACGTTTGTAAGGTTTAATCAGTATTTAATTAAATAATTACAGCCAATTTATACGCTGAACGATTTCAAGCATTTTATCTAGTTCTCTCTAACTAATTTTGCATGCTGTTTGTATGACCCCTCCCCCAGATTATTATTTTTTTTAAAAAAAAATGGTGATTGCTAGATGACAAGCGAGGGGGGGGGAAGCCACTATCTCTTCATATTTTATGTTGTACCAAAGTAATGCTTATCTTCTACTTTCTCTCTTTGATATTGGCAAACCCAATTGATGTTCCTACTCAACTCCCCAAGTTCACATCATCCAGAAAATACTTTATTCAAAGTGATCCAACTATACCATATTCATCTAACCTAAACAACTTTGGACTTTACCACAACTATACATGGACATCATTACTCAATGAACTCCAAGACTTTCCAGATTCAAAATTATTTATAATTCAAAGACATGGTCAAGGATATCATAACATTGCTCCTGATCTATTCACAAAATCGGAATGGGACTGCTATTGGCAGTTTCAACTGGGAAGTAAGGGAATAGTTTGGGAAGATGCAGAATTGACGACTCGTGGAATTCATCAAGTGGAAAGTTTATCGGCAAATATTAACAGTACCGTTGATTTCCCTCATCCGCAACAATTCTATGTTAGTCCCTTGAGAAGAACTCTTCAAACTTGGCAATTGACTTGGAAGAATATGACTAATAATACTGCCATGATTAAGGAGTTTGCAAGGGAGACGTATGGGATGGATACAGAAAGTAAACGACACAATAAAACATACACCTCCTGTAATTTCCCCGGATTGGCATTTGAGCCCGGATTTAATGAGTCCGATGGGCTATGGGGGCATAAGTACCGAGAAAATTCCCAGCAACGTAAATTACGAGCATCTGCACTATTAAATGATATTTTTACTAGTGAAGCCAAAGTTATTGGTTTAGTTAGTCATTCCAATTTACTCCTGTCTCTACTTGAAGTCATTGAGCATCGATCATGGAGTTTGCCTACAGGTGGGATGATCCCGGTAGTCATAACCAGAGATCAAAGTGAAACGGTGAAGTATCAGTTGGATTTGCCTTGGTTGACATTTCGTGATCTTTGCAAATATAATAATTACCTGGATCCATTGGTGAACCGTGCCGGTAAAAATACAAGCATGGAAAGTTCAAGCGTGGAAAGTACAAGCAGTCTGGATGCAACTTCTAGTGCGAATCAGGGAGCTTTTGGTGCACCCCTTTGTTACAATTGGGTTGCTTATTTGTTAGCTTTAGCTACCTAGTATTCATCCCATTGTCTTGCAGGAAAAGGTGACATGGTCAATTCATTTAGCAATGGAGGAAAACGGTTATTCGCAGTTATGCATCGGAGTTTTAAATAATCTCCGTTGTGGCACAAAAATAACTGATAATGACATTTTGAGCCCCGTTTCGAGAACTATATAAACCCAACAGATTTTATCCAGGGGGGGTTACTTTTATTTTTTTGAAAGTAGGGATCCAAGTAGCGATGGTTAAGGATCAGGCATACTATGCTAATGGCTACAACAAGTCAATTTCTGCTATACACGCATTAAGAACAGTTGAGAGCAACGTGAGTTACGTCTTGGATGTTCTTAAACCAAACTTTAAAGTCTTGGATGTAGGAAGTGGGCCTGGTACGATTACTGTTGACTTTGGTGCTAATTATTTAACCGAAGGTGGAAGTATTATCGGGGTTGAGCCTACTCCTGAAATTCTTGAGGATGCAGAAGCATACAAGAAGAAGTATTCTGAAGAACATGGCAAGAACCTTGATAATGTTTCTTTCCAAAAGGGGTCGATTTACAAATTGCCATTCGAAGACAATAGTTTTGATTTGGTTCATGCCCATCAAGTTTTTCTTCACTTACAAGATCCAGTCGCCGGTTTGAAGGAATTGAAAAGAGTTGCTAAGCAGGGAGGTTTCGTTTGTGTTAAAGACGGTGATATTGAATCAACATTGATTTATCCTGAAGAATATGAAAAGCTTAGAGATATTTACGTTCTTAAGGCAAAAAATTCCGGATACACGGATCCTAGAGCTGGTAGAAAGTTAAGAGGAAGAGCCATTGAGGCAGGTTACGAACCAGCTAACATCAAGACTACAGTTTCTAATCGCGTTTTTGGTGATGATCAAGACACCAAAAAATTAATGGGAAAATTATTAATTGACCGTGCTAAAAATGGTGGTGAGGAATTTTACCCTGACGATCTTGAAAGGAGTAAACGTGTCAGAGAAGAATCTATCGAATTGTTGACTAAATTCACTAATGATATAACAAGTCTTGACGTTAGTTCCAGTTTTCAAATCATTTACCACAAGAACTAGAATAGTTAGAATTGATGTGTATATATGACATAATAGGAATATAGTTTTATTCGTGAATATTTTTTGGAGTAACGTGGATGAATTTTCGTAGTTAAGGAGATAACTTTCGGAGTTATAATTAAAAAAACCCAGGAGATAATTCCCGGATTTTTAATTTATCTGCGAAATAGCCCAACAATATTTCAACCCCCTAAACCAGTTGATCTATATAAAGCCCACGGAAGTATAGTTTACATTTGGAAACAATATTTTAAGCATCTATTAGTAACAATGGTTCAAGAACAAGCATATTACGGTAAGGGTTACAAAAAAGCAATTTCAGATACTCACGCTTGGAGAAAGGTTGATAATGCCGCTGCATTCGTCATTCCTGTACTTAAGCCAAACTTTAAAGTGCTAGATGTAGGCAGTGGACCAGGTACGATTACTGTTGATTTTGCTGATAATTACCTTACTGAAGGTGGTAGTATTATCGGGGTTGAGCCTACTCAAGAAGTCTTAGACACTGCTGAAGCATACAAGAAGAAGTATGCCGAGGAAAACAACAAGAGCCTCGATAATGTGACATTCCAAAAGGGATCAATTTATGAATTACCTTTTGAAGACAACACTTTTGATTTAGTGCATGCCCATCAAGTTGTTCTCCACTTACAAGACCCAGTCTCTGGGTTAAAAGAGTTGAGAAGAGTCACTAAACCAGGAGGTTTCGTTTGTGTTAAAGACAGTGATCTTGAATCATCGGTTGTAACTCCTGCAAAGTACCAAAAACTTCAGGATTATTATGTCATCAAGGCAAAAGCTTCCGGATACACTGACTCTCAAGCAGGAAGAAAATTAAGAGGTAGAGCAATTGAAGCTGGTTACGAGGCTGCTAGTATTCAAACTACTGTGTCAAACTGGGTGATTACTGATGTCTATATCAAGAAGTTGTATTACAAGTTGATCACTAGTAGAGTTCAAAATGCTGGTGAAGAACTTTATCCTGGTGATGCTGAAAAGAATCAATATGCTAAGAAGGTATTTCTTGACTTGTTTAAGGAGTTTTCTGATGACGAAACTAGTATGAAAGTCCATGCAAATTATGAAATTACCTATCAAAAGCCAGAGTAGAAATGCATTATATAGAACTAGAATAGATAATAAAAAACAAATAAATTACTTATTTTGAAAATTCGCCATTTTGCTATTTGAGAGTGTTTTTTCTATGTCTATTATGACTCATTTCTAAAATCAAGTAAACTGGATTATCCTTCGCGTCAGTTTATTGCTGCGCTACCCATATGCGGGATTAATTTTCAGACTATGATAAGATCTAAACAATGCCAACGCCAACGACACAGCCCCCATACTTTTGGGTTTATAAACAAGCCAATTGCTCTTGAAAAGTTTTCTTGTGTATACATATATTCATCCCCAAGCAACCATGGTTCAAGATCAAGCATACTACAGCAAAGGTTACAAGAAAGAAGTTTCAAATACACATGCATGGAGAACGGTAGACAATGCCGTTCCATTTATCATTCCTGTCATCAAGCCAAACTTTAAAGTTTTGGATGTTGGCTGTGGTCCCGGAACAATCACGGTAGACATTGGTGCTAATTATCTTACCGAAGGTGGAAGTGTTATTGGGGTTGAACCAACTCAACAGGTTCTTGATTCTGCAGAAGCACATAAAAAGAAGTATGCTGAAGAGCACAACAAGAATCTCGATAATATTTTGTTTCAAACGGGATCCATTTATGAATTACCATTTGAAGATAATACTTTTGACTTAGTTCATGCTCATCAAGTTGTTGTTCATTTACAAGATCCAATTGCGGGATTAAAGGAATTGAGGAGAGTTACTAAACCAGGAGGATTTGTTTGTGTCAAGGATAGTGATCTTGAATCTTCAATTGTTTATCCTGAAGAATACCAACTAATTCAAGATTACTATGTTACCAAGGCAAAAAGCTCTGGGTGCACTGATCCTAAAGCTGGAAGAAGGTTACGATGGAAAGCAATCCAAGCTGGGTATGAGTCTGGTAATATTAAAACCTCGGTGTCTAATTGGCTTCTTGGTGATGATCCAAATATGAAGCACCGATTGAACCTGTTGATTATTCCTAGAGCGGAATCTGGTGCTGACGATCTTTATCCCGATGATCTTGAGAAAAGCAAAAAGGCCAGATCGGAATATATTGAATTGTTAAAGAAGTTTGCTGACGATGAAAATGCAAGCAGGGTGGTTACAAATTATGATATCGTCTATCAAAAATAGAAATGCATATGTAGATTGAAATATACGACATCTTTGACACATGAATAAAGAGTCAAATGTGACAAATTCTTACTCTGTCCAACATCGTAGTTGTAAAAAAAAAAAAGGCGTAATTTGTTATTCTCTTATTGTTGACGAGTTGTGGGGTACAAAATTTTTCCCACTGGTGTCAAAAATACTCATACTAGGTGAAATTGTCACACGTAATTCAAGGAATTTTTCAACGAATTAGCAACGAAATATTATGAAGAGAAAATAATTGAAATATTTGTAAGCTTGGTTGCAAATTATTGTCCAAATCGTCAATCCGAAAAAAAAAAATTCCTGCAGTTTTATGTGAAATTAACACCGTTGCGTTATTTTTAAATACTATGCAGCGGACATTGATCTCGATTTCTTGTTACTATTTTAGCTCTTGAATCAAAATTTTAGTCATACAGCAAGCGAATTATTGATTCAAGTATGAATCTTACGTCATATATCTGGGGTAAGTTGGCCGAGGAACCCAATTTTTTTATTTTAAAAAAACTCCCTTGGGTCATTGTTACCAATAATTACAGTTGACAGTCTTTGTTCAAAATCTCACAGAATCATTTTAATTCAATTTTACAGGTTTCGTAAAAAAAATAAAAAATTGTTTGCTTTGTGAAAAATAATTCTTGGAACGGGAATTGCTTTATCCGATTCTTTTGTTGTTTGTTGTTTTTATCTATGGCGCATACAACAATCGGCTAAACACATGCTTAACACAATGGATAAGGAGTATACAAAAAAAATACACTTTAATTGCAAGTCACAAAAAAAAACCTTGGCTCAATGTAGCTTGGTAAAAACCCACGCAAGAGTGGTGGGGGTGAATTTGAAACATTCGCCGATCTAAAAATAGAAATACCGTCTTATGGTCTGTTATCAGAAGTATGTGTCACCCCCCCCCCTCTCTCGAGGCTAACAGCCACGACAGTTCGAAATGATCAGGTAATTATTTTCGCCTATTTTTGAACCCTGGGGAAAAGAGGAGGTTTTGAGTTGTGGCTGGCTATAGGGAGTAACCTATAGCCAACAAACCAGAATCAATTGCACATATAAGGTTTCTTCAGGGGAAGGATAACTAATATATCTTCTAATAGTGACAAATTACACCCCGTTGCCAATAACTTGCTGCATTTCTACAACCAAACAAAACTTCAAATTCTTCCCCTCATGGATATGATTTTTTACTTTTAGTTCGGGAAACCTTCGTAACAATCCTTGACTTGTGTGCAGGAAAACAAAAAGTCTAGACCCATTTCGATTGGGCTTTTTTCGGTTTGTGTATTGTGAAAAAAACACTAACAAGCAAAAAAAACATTTTTTTTGATATTCCTTAGGAAAAGAGAGAAAAAAATAAAATTTGTCCTGGGAACGAGAAGAGTCTAGAACATAAAATTTAGGATTGCTGGATAGGACAAGATCAGTGGCGCTTAAAATATAAACGCTGAATAACGTCATTTTTGGGATTTAAACAATAAGGTTTATGGTAAAGATCTTTACGCGTGGGCCTTTGGGCATTGGCTTGATTGGGAATTTTCTTGAATAGGATACGTAAATGACCCCAGGGATAAACTGACACCATTTTGAAAAATATCAATAATACCGGGCAAAGGGCTGAAATATGCTGTGTCAAAACCACACAGAAAATCCCGTCAGACATTTAAAAAAAAAGGTTTTACAGGTTAGACTTAAAAAACGACGTCATAAATATTGTTTAAAAAAAAATAATAAAATATGATACGAAAATTAATTATTTCTCCATTGGAATATAAAATGTATTTAATTTCTTTTTTCTTGCTTTTGAAAGTTCTGTCTGTACTACCTTTTATTTCAAAAAACCACCATTAATAAGCACATATACCCACGTTATCCACCCCTCAAGAAACACACTCAAGGTTGCAATAAATACTATTAGCAAAAACAGTACTTGATAAGTAAATGACGGTATTAACATCTCCCACCATATGTGCATCACATAAGTTTACATTTCCGTCACCGACAGGGTCAAATGGTGGCACAACCACTAATAGTCCTTCACATAATTCTCCATCAGTGGCAAACACCAATAAGGGAGATTATTTTTCCAAAGTGATTACTCCTACAGTGGCCACTTTCAATACCATATCGCCACCAAAGGGCTCTGCAAGACAACAACAACAAGACCAGCACAATAATAGTCAGCGCTCACATAAGTCAGTCAACGATTCTATTAGCTCAATTGTTTCCAATGCATCCGATTTGACTATATTCGATTCGTCATCAATTAATGGGATGTCAACTGAAACTCTTGTTGATGAAAAACCGCATACAAAACAACGGATAAATAAGTCCTTTGACTTCAATAATAGTACAGGAAAATTATTGTCATTTGATGAAGAAGAAGAAGAAGAAGTTGCAAAGGACCTGCCTGTAGCTATCAGCCCTCCATTACAATTGCCTCAGTTGAAGAAGCAAATGACGCTTCCCTCAATAACATGTGCCCAAGATTTATCGTTTGATTCGATAAAGTCAGAGCAAAGTAAACGATTAAATTATATTCCATGTCAAAATTTCAAACCGCAAATTGAAAAGCTTTCACCCAGAATAAGATATATTTCACCTTTAGACATTAAAGAGGTTTTGGCATCTCCAAACAATCTTGTGTTAGATATTCGTCCGTTTGCCGATTATATCAAAAGTCATGTTGTTGGTGCATTAAACATATGTTTACCTTCAACCTTGTTGAAACGAGTAAATTTTTCATTATTAAGAAGCATTGACTCATTACCAAATTATGAAAAATTACAATTTACTCGATTTTTGCAAGATCCAAAAGGAGGTCATTTAATCGTGTATGATTTCCATCAAAACTCCTCAAACTTATACCACATCTGTCTTAAAATCATAAATTCACCATTATTTCAACAATTGGATTGTTTGATTTATTTGGTGGATACAAATTTCACCCAGTTTAACAAATTATACCCCAATTTATTTGAAAGTGGACATGCACCACAATTGGGTGATTTAAATCAAGAAAACCAAAATTTAAATAATTTCTTACCACCAATTATAGTCCCACCAGCATTGAAATCCCGATCACAATCGTTAACTGATATTTCCCCATGTTATAAATCAACCCCGGTATCGTCTACGTCATCAATAGAGAGAACACCGGTTTTACAAAATTTTACTCTCTCTGCTAAAAGCAAAGTGTTTAAATTACGACATAATGAAGAATTATTGACTCCTGGAACTGGTCCATTAATTATCCCTTCATATTCGCTGAGCATGAATCCGTTTGAAGAAAATTCTGCAAATTTGTTCCGATTACGTAACATTCCTGCAGATACTAGTGTATTACCAGAGTGGATAAAACAGACAATTTTCGACAAGAATGGAGAAGCCCTGACTAATAAAATTAATGAGGATTTCTATAAATTAGAGAAGTTGGAACAAAAACGGTTAGTCTCGGCATTATCATTATTACCCAGTGGGTTATTGCTGCTGCCATTGGGAGAAATCCCACCTAAAGTAAGTTGTGGAATTGAATACGGGCATAAGAATAGATATAAGGATATTTTTTTGTATGATCATTCCCGAGTTAAGTTGAATGACCATGAAGATGACAATATTGAAAATTATATCAATGCCAGTTATGTCAAGCCTAATTTAGATTTTCTTGGTCAATTGAACAATTCTAATGAGTTGAATTACGTGGCTACACAAGGTCCTTTGGATGGAACTATGGGGGATTTTTGGAAATGTATATATAATTTGGGCACTGTTTTAATTCTTTCCTTGACCGATGAGGTTGAGAATGGAATTGTTAAATGTTCACCTTTTTGGAAATCCGGGATTTATAAATCATGTCAAGATTCGATGACTGTGAATTTGATTGATGAAGAACGAGATGAGAATATCATTATACGTCTGTTTAGTATACGAAAGTCTAATGGATTGGATCATAAAGTATTACAGGTACATCTTGTGAATTGGCCAGATATGGGCATACTGGATCCTCGAGAAATTATTAAAGTTGTGAAATTAAAACAGGATTTATTGAATTTGAACTTGACTGATTCAAAATTCCCAACTTTAGTTCATTGTTCAGCAGGATGTGGACGTACTGGTACATGCTGTACCATTGATGTAATGATTAATGTTTTACAACAATGTCGTGATTTACCATATGATCCAATTTTTGACATTGTCAATGATTTTAGAAAACAGAGAATTTCCATGGTGCAAGCATTGAGACAGTATTATTTAATTTATGAGGTGTTATTAATTTGGTTAAGTCAGGAACAACAACCATTGGATAGATTAATTGATAGGGATATTATACGAAAGTTTATAAGTTTAGCCTGAGTGTTTAAAAGTTGTATAGGAATTGCATATTACCCCAGGGGAGACGTTGTAGATTTTCCAAGAACTTCTGATCTTGAATTCATATTCTGAATTGAGAAGATAGAGATCGTGTAATGAGAAAGAAATTAGGACCTGGATATCATTATCTTGCAACCAAATTGTTTTTTTGGGTACTACTAAACGTCTACTTGTTTAATCTTGGAATCCCTCCTTAAACTAGAGTGCACTATAGCATCGAAACTACACAAGTTGATAATATCATATACCATTGATACGGGTATCGATTTTCAGAGTTGTACAGTCGTAGATTAACCCAGAATAGATGTAGAGATCCTATAGACAATCCCAATTGTACGGTTCTTTCAGATAAATGGCTATTCTTTCATGGCTTCTTTATTAACAGATTCAAAGGTGCAACTGAAATTCGCATACGCGTTCCTAGACTACAAAGTTGCAAAATTATAATTGATCACACCTACGTAGCAAATTTTATGTTTGACTAGCTACATGGTGGTAATGTCATCCGTTGCGGCCGTCTTGAGTTAGAAAATTACGTGAATCTTGAACCATTTTACCTAAAATTAGTGAATGGTACGCTTACAGGAAGGGGAAAATGGGATCCAGATAAAGGAAAATTAGTTTAAGCGATAGAAGTATGAGTGGCCAAAAAAAAAAACGGAAGTGACTGTTGGTGTATATAGACAAATCAAAATACTATTCAATTCCAAAATAGATCTTACAGTACTGGTCTTCATTGGATATTCTTGAAGATTGATGTAAATTTTTCAAATTTAATCAAACCAACCTTGCCTACATTGAAAAGTCATTGAATTTAAATATTAAATTCGAAGGGATTTAAATATGCCTTGAAATTATACAAGACTATCGAAACAAACAACAACAATCACTTACGATCCAGCATCCCATATTTCAAGATGAGTAAGAAATCAGAGGCACAGAAAGTGACGAGACCATTTTCTATATGAAAATGTTTTCCTTATTCTTTGGAACACTATTTCGATGTGAGAATCTTCGACAGAAATTGAGGGTGAAGGATAATTCCGAGAGCGGAGATGCAAGAACAGGTCAGGTGTTTAGATTCTTTGAACATGTAAAATCAAACCCCGGATTGAGGAGACAATGTTTAGTGTAGTTATAAGGTGAAGCCGGGAACAATTGGCTGTCTCCAGCATTGTTTTCAAAATCGTACTTTGTTTTAGGCTATATAATGCGCAATACTGTGGATTCAAAATATTTTCCAGAGACGCACCTTCCGATGATATCAGTATATTCACCAAAGCCCGCTATAGACCGTAATGTTGTCGTCGATACACGTTTATATGCAACGTGCATCATAACCGCACTTAGTTTAAGTCAAATTATATAAATCTGCAAAATTTCTTAATTGTTATGCTCTCTTGACATTGTGTGATCCACAGAGCCCAAAACCAAAAAAAAACACGTAAAAAGGTCGAATAGAGGACGCTACATTTGAAATTTTCATTTCTATAATAAAACAATTAATATTAAACTATTTAAGCATTGGTAGCAATGGCGTTTTTCAAAGCAGCAGGGTTGGCACCAATAACTCTTTGGATTTGTTGGCCATTCTTGAAGAAAATTATAGTTGGCATGGAAGTAACTTCGTATTCTTGAGCAATTGAACCAAATTGGTCAACATCAACCTTTAAGAACTTAACTTGAGGGTATTCACTGGAGAATTTGTCCAATAATGGAGCAATCATCTTACATGGACCACACCAGGTTGCGAAGAAATCAACAACGACTAAACCTTCGTATTTCAAAGCATCTTGAAATTCTTGAGTGGAGGAAACAGCACTGACCATTGTATGTGTATTATTATATGTGTTTATATGTGTATTGGATTGACCTGATTTACCAATGTAAAAGAAAACTAAAAAAATTAAACCCAAAATTAAAAGGTACATTTCTTCAGGGTTTTTATATAACAAAGGGAGAGGAAAAAAAATTAACTCATTTGCTCAATTGCTTACGTGAGAAACGTCGATCGAGAACTTGAGACAAAAACACAAAACAGAGGGCAAAAAAAAAAAATAAAAAAGAAATGCCCATAAATGCGACTGTTGCAATATTGCACGTGAGCCGCGCGATTTTCGGAATTAGTAATTTTTTTTGATCACTAATCAGATCGGGCTATGATTTTACATTAGTATTATTAATGTTGCAACTCCTTCGTTAAAGTTCTTTGAAGCTGCAAATCTTGGGAATCTGGTCATCATTTTTGTTATGTTTTTAGTTATTGTTCACAGTTTTGCAAAATTCTTCTACAATATTCTAGAAAATTTAAACTTTTGTTCAGCCGCAAATTCCGAAATTTTAAATCCGGCTGATCAGGAGTATTCGTAATCTCTTGATGTATATCTTTGTTTACTTCGGCAAATACTGCAATAACTGCTATTAGGTCGGTTATAATCGGTCTTAAGGAACAAGATAACTTTTAGGTATTAAAGTGCATATTAAACTTTCAACATTCATGCCTAATGTTGCAGCCTTGTGTTTTCGTAAACGTTGTTGAACTCTAAGTTGCTGCAAATCTCTAATCATTAATTGAGGGGTGGGGGGTAGTAATCTCCTCCTTCAAATTTCACAGTTCCACATTCTGTATTTTTGCAGCTACTGATTATGTTCTGTTTGCATGATGTAACAATACGCGCAATGACCTCTGCCGAGCTAGGTGCCATTATATTTTGCAGAAGTTATTGCATAAATTCTCTATAAAATTAAATTATGTGATTAGCTATTAACGTCTAAAAGGTCTTATCTCTCTTCAAGATGAACAGACACACCATCCAGTTCGTCAGTCTTTTGTTCCAATTTCAATTCACGTGGTGCTGTTCTATAGTAAACTTCCCATTCTGGGTTGGCAAGCAGTTCTGGCAAGAGTAAACTCAAGGGATCATGTTCGTATTTTGCAATCATTCTCTTGATTATGTCTTCCTTGTACTCATCATATGACTGTATCATTTCATCGAAATTATTTTCAATTTTATGGGATCCTTTACTCTTTTCAATAACTTCAAGACGTTCTTTAATGTAGCAGATTATAAAATCAATTGCCTTTCTTACAAGTACATCATATGCTTCATCGGTGTCGTTTCCGGTGATTTCGAGAATTTTAGACAAGTAAGTGATGCAAGGCTCTCCATTATATAACAACCCAATTGGGTCAATTCCATTGATATAATCGTAATTTGCTTCTTGATATGCAAACATGTTTTGTAATTCTTCATCATCAATATGCGTGTCATAATCCTCGGGGATGTTATTGAACGTTCTGAAATGGTCGAGAAGTAAATCTTCCCAATACATATTAAAAGTGATTCCTTCAATGAATAGAAGTGGAAGGTTGTTGTTAAATAAGTTGATGTACACTTCCTTATTGTTTATTATAAGTTGTACTTGTGGTAATATCCTCATCCATTTACATAAAAGTAGTCCATCTTGAATGTATTTCTCCAAATTGTCAAATTTAAGTTCACATATTTGGAAATAATCTTCTTGTTTAGGAAGGAATCCATAGGTATATATGAAATCTTGGACATAATCTTCTGGATTGTAACTGATTGTAATTTCAAATTTGTCGGGCAAGGTCGCAATTGCTTCATGGTCGAGTTTTAAAAGAACATCGCTGTTGGTTCTGTCCACATCAAAATATCCATTGCTGTTATGACTATGATTTGCAAAATCAAGAGTTGGAACAAGGGTAACGTCAATAACATAATTCTGGTTGTTGTTGTCAGCATACAACTTTTTAGTTTGTAAGTCTAAAGTCAATGCTAAATCAGACAAGTCACGGTTTATCTTGTCAATTTCATCCACAGTCTCCTTCTTCTCTTCGTCTTCATGTATTTTAACATCACTCTCTATATCTCTAGGAATTTCCAACGTTCTTGACCTTACGGCTTGGAAAATCTGAAAACAGTCTTCAAAGGGCAACATTGTTGCAAGATCCACCTCTTCATCTTGATATATGATCTTCATTTGCTCCACAACTGATTCATATTCATTATTCATCTTCTTACACATGGAAATATAATGATTTATGAACTGATCTTCTTGCTTTGCTATGGACTTGGGGAATTTTAACGTTTCGGTATTACTTAAAATGGACAAGTAGACATCGAATTTGTGGCTGGGAGAATTAAGGTAATAGTCATGGTTAGGATACTTCATCCTTATAGCTTCAATGGCTTTAAATGCAAGGAAATAAGTGCATAATATGAATGTCTCAGTTTGTGGTTCTAATATGCTTAAAAAGTTCATGATTAATTCCGACTCTTTGATTGGTATTTTACCTTCGTAGGTGCTATCACGAAGTTTGATTTCTTCTAATGGGATCAACAAAGTAAGCATATCGTATACTGCGTTTCGTGGTATTCTCAACACTTCAAAGTCTTCGGATGGTGCGGCATCGGGCTTGCTAAAGAACAAACCAATCCCTCCATAGGTGGTTTCCTCAATGGTGACACCCTCATGAAAAGTGACTTTATTGTCATTGATCCATTCAATCAAGTGGGAATTGTTGGAAATACCAGGGATTTTTGTGTTTGGGTCGATTATAGGCATGTGGTGTAGTTAGCCCTGGTTAAGCTTAATGTGTAAGTTCTTGATAAGAAATTAATTTTTTAAGGGAAATAATTTTTTTCTTTTTTGGTGTAGTTTTTAGTTTTTAGTTCCTCGTTTCTTTTACTAAGTCATCATCCCCTTAAACAAGCTCGTTTAGAATTTCTTTGGTATATGATGTAATAGGTGTAGCTACGTTTGTTTGTGAAGAAAAAGCTTTCGATTTAGTTTGTAATCGATTAACTTAAATATATAGTAGAAGTTAATTGCGAAAATGGATCACGGGTTGTAACTTCGATCACGGGTTGTAGTTTTGCAATTCTATAATCAGCCACCTTGTCCTAATCATGCATCTTTATAGTAAAACTTGAAAAAGCCACACTATAACGTCTCGTGGTAAACTTCAATGACGTTGTTGTATTCCCCACTTTCTCTTGTATATGATGTAACAGCACCTAAAAAAAAAAATCTGGTGATTTATTCTGCATCGCTTCTTGTTTTATTCCACGTTGCGAGGTTGTCTTGACATCGAGTTATTGAGTTTGTTAGTGAAAGCATGGTGTATAGACAGGCGCTTGACAACATATACCGTCCCTTTGGTATGTGTGCAAGTCATACCATGGGCTATCTTAAGTAACTGACCATATGACATGATGATAATGATGCGGCTCCACTCAAACGAATGCACCATCAAGCAACGTCAACATATTCTAGGTCAGCAACTTTCCGTGAATTCCATCACTATAGGCAGGCTGAGTTTTTCGAATGACAGCAAGTTTGCACTGCCAATTAGTACGCATAATCTTGCAGAGGTAGATCTTTAAACCATCTGGCATATTGCAATGCAACAAGGAAAGTTTCCAAATTGTGATGTATGCAGTGAGAATTCTCTAGTAATGCTTCAAAATAAATTATTTTCTATGGAATTATACGTCATTTTTTCACGTTAACCATCAGATACTGTTAGACTGGGCTTATTGGTGTTGCATCCGCTTGTCATAGTAGACCTATTTTGCAATCTTAATTCACAACCGCTCCTCCTCCATTGTCTTAACCGAATCGGACTTGTCACATACCTGCAGTAAACTTAATCACACCAGAATTTTGACAACTGAACACATCTCTAATTCATATGGTTGAACTGTACAACTAGAATCGATGCCCTTACTCCCTAATATCCCCAGAAGTATTCTGAATCTGTTATATAGCCTTACCATCGCTCTACCCTGGTGCTCTTCTTGCATCTGCTCCTGCATATACCAAGAACACGGTAAGAGGAACATTATAGAAAAAAAAAGATTTTTCTTTTAAACTCTTGAAAAAGGATCGTGTGAAAATACATAACCACTTAATAGACACATTTATAGAGCAACTATGTCTTGGGACGACGAAGATTTTGATATTCCAGCCGGAAACACTGCTGCTGCTGCTTCTTGGGAAGACGAAGGCGACGATGAACCAATTTTAGAATCTTGGGATATCGATGAAGATGAAATTGCCAAACAAAAGAAAGAGGCCGCCGACAAAGCTGCTGCTGAAAAGGCTGCTGCTAAGAAGAAGGCCGATGAAGCAGCAGCTAAGAAAGCTGCCAAGATTAAAGAAATGGAACAATTTGACTCCTTGGATGAAGAAACTCGTAAGGATTTGTTAAAGAAGGCTGAATTGAACTCTGATTTAAACAATGCTGCTGATTTATTTGGTGGATTGGGTGTTGCTGGTGATGGCGATGACTTTGATATTAATGCTCATCCAAGAGAAAGATTCAATAAGGCATTGCTCGCATCACAACAAAGAAAACCAGTATTGACTAAAGATACCCCATTGACTGACCATCCATTATTCCAACCTACAAACAAAGCTGAATACGAAAAATTGAGAAAAGCAGTCGGTACTTCATTAACCGAATTGAATGAAGATTCTTCCTTATTATATGCTTCCAGTTTAGCCATTGATTTAATTAGAGATTTGGCTCAACCATTATCAGTGGAAAACTTGAGAAAGGTCATATCTACCTTGAACGTCGTCATTAAGGAAAAGGAAAGATTAGAAAGACAAGCAAGATTAAAGAAGGCTGGTGGTACCGCTACTGGTGGTGCTGGTAAAAAGAAGGCCAAGCCTGCTGCTAGACCAAATGTTGGAGGTGGTTTCAAGAAGGATGAGTTAGATTTCGATGATGATTTTGGTGATGATGATTTTATGTAGGGGACGGACGTATAATATATAGTGGTTTGTCATAACATAATAAATCAATTGGATCACTAGTTGGATGTTGGATAATTCGAGGTACTTTAAATTTTCTAGTAGTCATGGATGGTATATATGGTTTCCTTTTAACAAGGTTTAGTGGAATACTACTATCGTTGTCGAACATGGTGGTATCAGAATCAAGATCTGGTAGACCAACATCAAGAGGAATTTCACTATTAATTCTTGCTTTGTTGGACCTATCGATAGAATTTCTCTGTATGTTTACCTCAAATGTAGGCAATATTGAATTCGTATCATTGGGATGAAGAATAGGGAATGAAGCAGCATTATTTGTAGTAGAAAACAGTTCATTTGTAATGCCCTTTTTCTTTGGCAGTGGAGAATAAGAAGGATTAGACTCAAGACCCTTATCCAGACTCGCGGATGTTTTAGCAGCATTCTGTTTAGTGGTCGTTCTATTGGTTTCAGCAATATCTGTTAGGTTGAACTTCGGATATTTACCGACGGCAACAGGTGGTTCAATGTCAGATTCAGACGCAAGAAGAATTACTGAAGAAGAACTTCTCCTCTCGTTAACAGATAGATCCAACTCTGTGTCAAAAACCTTGGGCCCATTTCTTTCGTCATCAGCTTTGATTGTCTCAAGTAAAACAGAATTCCTCTTTTGAGCAAACAAGGGCCGTTTAATAACCTTAGACTCTACAATCAATTGATTCTGAATCTCAGATACTCTCTTTGATAACGACTTCCGTCTTTGAGTTTTCGATTTAGCCCATATATTAGTTGGTGTTGACGTTCCTACCAATGATGATTCATTCAAAGGGAGAAGCTCTGGAGTTGGACTAAATATTGCTTTAAGCTTGTTCAGGGATACTTTTTTAGCTTTCTTTCTTCTGGAATACACTTGTTGTTTCTTGGGTTGGTTGGTTATTTCTTTGGGTCTTTCTATTGTTGTTAGTAAATGGGTTGCAAAAAAAAAGTGAAAACATGAATCACCAAATTAGGTGACATTTTGGTGCTTTTTTTCCTGCTCAAAGAGTGTCAATCGTATATAAAGGTGTTATTTTATCAATTAAAGGAAGTTGTTTTGGTAAATTAACATACTTTTAGTTGGTTTCTTCATATTTAGTATAATTAGTACTGGTGATCCATACAATCTTTCTCACTCTACTTAAATTTACAGCAAGAAAAAAAAAATCAAAATCAAAACTCTAATCGTTCACTTACTCTTAGACAACAGCACATAGAAATGTCAGAAGATATAATACTCCCCTCAGCCACATCCTTATCCAAACTAACCATACACGACACATCCAAAACCGGTTTTGGATACAATCCCGCCATTGGACCAATCTCCAATTCAATCACTTCAGAAACATCTTCCATCCTCATAAACAAACGAACAATCACGCTAAGTTCGGCGCCATCGATCTATGAACGAAACATCACCAATAAGAAACCCGTGGAGATAAACTTATCCTCGTTGTCGTTTCTCTTTTGTGAGATTGTCAATTGGACCCATGGTCAATCGCGTGGGATCCACGATTTGGAAATGAAGTTGAACAAATTGGGATATTCTATTGGACAACGATACTTGGAGCTAATCAAATTGAGAGACGGGATAAAGCTAAACAAGCGAGATTTGAAGATTATCGATATCTTGCATTTCATTCACGGGAGTTTTTGGAAGAGCATATTTGGCAAGCATGCTAATGAGTTGGAGAAGAGTCAGGATGTCCCTAATGAATATATGATTATTGAGAATATGCCGTTGCTTGCCAAGTTTATTAATATACCCAAAGACTACGCCGATTTGAACTGTGGTGCTTTCGTGGCAGGTATAATTGAAGGTGCGTTGGATAGTGCAGGGTTTTACGTAAATGTTACCGCGCATTCCGTGCCTATGGATGGGTTTCCTTTACGTACGGTGTTTTTGATGAAATTTGATCAGCTGTGTTTAATAAGAGAGAGCATACATTAAACTGCTTTCATATGTTTAGTTGAATAGCTTTATAGATAATCGCCATTTCGCACGACCTTTTCTGATATCACCACCCAATTTTTTCTTTCCAGTGGATGAAAAATTTCCTCGAGTTTATAAGTCATAAGCCATACATTTATCACAGCATCCTTGTTTGTTTTTTGTTGTTACCTTCTTCATTTCTTGTAATATATAATCAGTAGCATACTTTCATCATGGGAATAACAATCAGACAAGCCACGATATCCGACATTCAGGCCATGCAAAATGCCAACTTGCACAATTTGCCTGAGAATTATCAATTGAAATACTACATGTACCACATATTATCCTGGCCCCAAGCTTCGTTTGTTGCTACTACATATGATGACATTGTTGGTGTGAATGACACAGAAGTGGATATAGCCACCCATAGTGATCCCAAGGGAGACACTTCTTATGTCCGTAAAGGTGAAAAAATCGTTGGTTATGTGTTGGGAAAAATGGAAGATGATCCAGAGGCAGAGGACAAGACCCCACACGGGCACATCACCAGTTTGTCGGTGATGAGAACTTACAGAAGGATGGGTATTGCTGAGAAGTTGATGAAGCAGAGTTTGTACGCCATGTGCGAAGTGTTTGGGGCCCAGTATGTTTCTCTTCATGTGAGAAAATCAAATCGTGCCGCATTACATTTATACCGAGATTCATTGAATTTTGAAATCAAGTCGATTGAAAAGAGTTACTATCAAGATGGTGAAGATGCATATGCCATGAGGTTGGAGTTAGACTTGGAAAAGCTCGTGCCGAGTAAAATAAAAGAGGAGCAGGAACAAGACGATTTAACTAAGGATTTATTAGATGATTTATAGATACATAGACAAGAGTTCTAATAACGTTCTTTCATTCTCGAAGCGACAGTACGCAAGTTACCGTAGACCTTACCTGGAGGAGAACCCAAGATCAAGGAGACAACGGCTTCTCTGGCCATTCTAATGTGGGTGAATCCACCAAAGATGTGGATTTTGGAATCGGCCAATACGATTCTGGTTCTGGTGGCGTTTTCAATGGCAAACTTGGTCTTACCGTCCTTACCAGCAATTCTACCAATGGCTCTGGACAAATGGTCACCAGTCAAGGTCTTGACGTCCTTGATTTCGAAAGTTTCAATATACAAGTCATCCAATCTCAACAAGGCAATGGCATCGTCAATATCAAACCCGAGGGTGAATGCTTTTATGAAATCTGCTCCTTTTTGTAATGCACCTGGATCAGTAGTGTTCTTGTTGGTTCTTAATTCCACAGTCTTGGTCTTTAAGTTCATTCGGACTTGTAATTTTAAATGATCAACTAAAGGAGGATATATCTTGACCCAGCAGTTCTTCAATGGGGTCATTCTATGGGGTGGGATAGGGACTTTTCTTCCTTCCAATTTAACTTTCATGTCTGTTTTAGAAGCAGGGGCGAATTTTGGTTTTCCTGATTCGTCAAGGACAGCAGGGGATTCAGTGTTGGTGGATGTGGATGTGGTTTGTGCTTCTGTTTCTGGAACTGCATTTGTGTCTATTAACATATCTTCTTCTTCTTCGTTGTTTTGTTTTGTGTGTGTTTGTTCATTTGTAGGAACTAGAGTTGTGTTTTTGATAGCTGTAGGTGCTGCCATGTTGTGATGTGTATATGTAAATGCAAGGTTATTAAAGAGATGTCTTCTTCTACGTAAAGATAGTAACAATGATATCTGAAAAAAAAAATTCTCATCTCTAAAAGGAAAATAAAAAAAAAAAAAAAGAAATCTTTTTGTTGCAGGTTGCGGTCTAACCTGTAAACTTTTCAAGGTGCTGGTTGAGCATAGATATGGGAGATTACAATGAGAACAAGAACAAGCACTAGCACTAGCACTAGCACTAGAGGTGTGAGAATGTACGAATACAGAAGAGATCTTCCTAGGTCAATCTGTATTCAAACTATCTTTTTCAATTCCGACCATGTCCATGTTTTGCAAAAGTTTGGAGGTGCTACCATATTATGGTTGGTTAACTAACACACAATATCCACTATCTGATTGCGAGAAGTATAACAAAGAGTGGGTTTGAGTCTGGGAGCTATTCTGTAAACTGTATGATTGATCGTGCATTGTTTTATAGATCAGATTTTTGTTTCGATGTGGATTCTACAGAATGAACATGTTGACTGATATTTTGTGGAAAAAGTTGCAAAAAATATCAAGTTCTTTACATGGGGATGTTACCCAGCTAGACGATGCCCCACAAGACAAACAAAAGCCATTAGAATCTTTCAGAGTCAGAGTCAAAGCCATGCATTATATATATATATACGTCCACTGGAGTATAACTTGAAACGACCAATAACAATTTGCTCAGTGATTAAAAATAACCGTCAACGGGTTTTGCCTCCTTCGGCAATTAGCCCTAGCTTGTGCCTTAAAACTTGCCATCTAAATTTGCTTTTCTTTCAATTATTTTTGTTAAACTTGTTCAACACAAGAATTAACCAAGTCGTATAAGTCTATTGGATGATATACTCCTAACAATTAGGGATCAACTAGTGCAATAGAGCCATTCGATATATTCACGTGATTGTTCTTGCTGCCTGTCCCGGGATTAGCACCCGAACTCTAATCCCGCAGTTTTTTAGCAAATTAAAAATTTTTGATATTTCTTTTTTTTTTTTTTTTTTTTTTTTTAAGCAAGAACTTTTTTTCATCCCCCTTTCACCACATTTACAACCATATAGTTACGAATCACCGATTTGCTTTTACTTGCTTGATACACCCACGTTTGTGATTATTCTCAGTTGTCCTTTCTACACTAGCAACAAAGAAGATACTTAGACATATTGGTTAAATTTTTTTTCTCAAAAGTTCAACCTTTTTGAGCATCATGAATCAACTAATACGATCTAGCACCGCTAGTCGTCTACTTGGTAAACAATTGGCACCAGCGTCTATATTATCAAGATACTCCCTTGCTCGTATCATCATTCCGTATGCCACAAGAAACTTTACCACTTATTCACACTTGCGTCAAACTCAAAGCACATTTAAACCAGCATTGGCACCACCATCACAGGCATCGCAATTACCCAGCCCTCCTCAATTACAGAGTCTACCACCAATCACAAAGGCAACCTTGTTATCCCAGACAAACAGTAAACTCGCACGTTTGTTGATCCATTTGAAATGGCCGTTGTTGCGCAATACAAAGACATCTACTTTGGATGTCGTATCTGCATTCATATCCTGGCTCGTCATGGGCAACTTGTTGTGGATCATATTAGGGACCACCACGTTTGCATTGATGTCGATGTACTCAATCCACTATTTTGATGAATTATACGAAAAGTTCAACGACGGGGAAGAGAAGGAAAAGGGTGGCAAAGATAACTCCATTCTCGGGTACATCGCCGGCTCAATCTTGTCTTTTGGACTAGGCATTAAGATTCAGTTTGAAAAAGGGTCGATCTTGCCCGAATTGAAGGATGGAAAGTTGCGGTTCAACAATGTTAGTGTGACTTCTGACAAGAGTAGCAAGTTGGCAATTGACGCGAAAGTGGAAGCTTTAGACGTTACATTGTCATTCAACAAATGGTATGAAGGAAATGGATTGATTTACGATATGGAAATCTTTGGCTTAAATGGGAAAGTTTACAGAAAGTCAGAAGAGGAACAAGCTAACCCCCCACCACCTCATGAATCACTAAATCTCTCATACAAGAATCACGATTTACACTATCAATACGACCTCATGGAAGAAGAAGAAGTACGCACACCATCCCTCCTCGACTCAAACTACCAATTGGAGCATGTATTAATCCACGACTCTTATTTGGAAATCTACGACGAATCCGAAGTCCCGTTATGTATCAACATCTTCAATTGTGAATTACCGCAATTGCGTGGAGATAAAGTTTTGATTGACTTTTTCAATGCTAATAATGCTAGTGGCACTATTAACAACTCCATGTTCACCATTCACAAACGACAACGCGATGAAGTTACTGAAGACCGAATTGTCCGGTTTAAACTTGATGCCATTGACTTAGGGGAGATTTCGAAGAATAACCCCCAGCTGAAGTTCAATTGGTTGGTCAATGGGAAAGCACAAGTAATTGCTGATATAAAATTGCCAAACTTGCAAGAAACTGAAGAGTACACTAAACTTGCATCTATTATCTCCCGATTCATCAATGATTTCAGTATAACTTCCACCGTGGAACCTGACGATTCTTCCTTACTTAAAGACGCCATTTCAGCCATCTACCATACCTTCAATAAACCAGAACAAACACAATTGTCCACCTCGCCATACGTTTTAATCAACGTTAAGGTCAAACTTACTGATTTGAAGGCATCCGTCCCCAAATATCTCCCCACATCAAATTCAAACACCCCATTCATATCATTGACTGATTTGCGATCACTTATCAATTACATCAACACGAATCCCCAGCCGATTTCAGTAAACACTCAAGTCATTGAAAAGATTACTGGATTGTACAACACCAATAATATCTCGCTGACCAAGATCTTTGATTTTATTATCGGGGATATTTACGAAGAGTTAAACAAGTTGGTGAAGTTAGATGAACAGAGGATTATCCTGGAGAAATCGTCGATGTGGTCCCATAGTATTGCTAGTCAGTTGTTGTTATTGGGATTGGGTGTTATTGTATAGACCCTATTTATTTATTTATTTATTCGTGTATAAAGTAATGAACTATTTATGTTATACTTGCCTGGTAAATTCAACGTTCAACCAAAGTCTTCTAACCCAGTTTGCATGACATGAGCCTCGCTTAAGCTCATCTTGCAAGGCAGCAAGTGCAAGGGGACACAAGAGCAAGTCCAGTGGTCCTTTTGTTTAAGTCTTAAAATATACATATGCAAAATGCACATCTTCTGCAACTATAGACAAACTTGTCATTTTAGATTAAGGTCACTTATCAATCTTTCTTTTCTTAATCAAGGGCAACTCTGGAGTCCCTTTCATAATGTCCTTTGCTAAATCTTGTGCTATAGGATCAGCTCCAATTCCAAGAGTAACACCTCTCTGACGATGTTCCACTGACTTGTCCTCGACTTGTTCCTCTTCTTCCTCTGCTTCATATCCTAATCCTCGCAAGAACCCAATTCCAAATTGCTCTATTGGGACTTTTCGATATTCTTCATCAGAGTCGGACTCTGCTTCCACTTGCCCTAGCTTACTTGAAGTGACGGTTGATTCCGACCTATTGAACGTGGTTAAACCAAAGTTCAACGGTTCGGAGGTGATTTTATGGGATATGACATCCGGTTTGATTATTAGTTTCTTGGGTGGTGCAGGTTTATTGTCGTATGTTTCGATTTCGACTTTGTCTTTATCATTGTCTTCCTTGGGGGTTTCTTGATTAAACAAGTTGGGTTTTTTAGTTAGCTTCTTCTTTTTGCCCAATGAAAACTTTATTCCTGACATGGTCTTCTATCAATACCAGTTGATCTATGTACAAGTGTTTATTCTATATATATATATATATCTAATGCTTTTGTGGTTTCAGTGTAGCAGCCCCCTAACGTTTCAATCATCGCGCGCCAAAAACTATCGCCAAAAAAGGTGAACAAATTACGCGTTGTTATTACTCCAGCAATGATCCACTCGCCAGACAACATGAACTCGTTTGGTGAAGGCATAGACCAACCGAGAGGTTCCATGAGTCTCATGAACTTGCTAAGTGGTAACCAAACTAAACCCACTACCAAAGTACGAAAGAAGAAGAATGAAGACGAACATGTTATTGAATATCAACAATCACAACTAGAGTCCAAGATGTTTGCTAATCGAAAACCAACATCCGTAAACAACTTACTTAAGAAGATTGACATCGAGGAGATCCCTGATGATGATACTTCCAATCTTGAGTCTATGATATTTGCTAATTCAAAACGAATCTCCGCTCGTGATTTGTTCAAGAAACCAAGGCAAGAAGAAACACCTGACATTATAGAAGTTATAGAAGAACAACCTATAGAAATTATAGACACTGAAGAACCACAGAAGAAAATAGACGAACTGAAAATGTTTACTACCGCAAAGCGAACTACAGTAAAGGACTTGTTCAAACTGTTTAAACCGAAATACCAAGTGACACTCAAGGTGTCCCCAGACAAGCTACGAGAAATAGGAAAACCAATAGTTATCGAGGATGCTCCAAGTATGTTTGTTACACTTAAGGTTGATACTGAAGCGTTGAAACGTATACGACGAGAGAAGAATGCCAAGAATTCCATCCTTGCTTCCATGATGCAGTTCTCGAAACAATCCGCCAAGACAAAGTTCCCCAAGTTGAAAGAATTGCCCATGGTTCCGTTGCTCAGAGAGCAGTTTCATGTAAGTGCTGGAGCAGCTACAGAATCAAGAAGCATTACCTTACCACACAGACAACGAAGAGATATATCGTTGGAAGGAGAATACACTTACACCCATGACAACTCAATTGATAAACCTAGCACATATCAGATGCCATCTACACACACCGACCGAGCACAACTTGCATTGGCAAAACTCCCTCACCTCAAGTCCAACCCTGCCTTGTATTCACTATACGAAAAATACCTCCTCCCGGACATAACACCCTCGCATGACGTGCTCTGGGTCGACTTCTTCAAACCAGAAACCATGAATGAATTACTAATGCACAAGACCAACATCAAATTAATATCCTCCTGGATCACCAACTCATTCAACAGAAAGCGCAGGGATGACCCTTTCGAAGAAGAAGAAATCGCCCTGCAGTTGCTCATCCTTCAAGGATCCCAAGGATCGGGGAAATCTACGGCGGTGTACACCGCCATGAATGAAATGAGTGGGTATGTTCACGAAATCAACAGTGGAATGGCCCGTGGACGTCGTGATATATACACTAATCTCAAACAATTGTGTACTACTCATTTAGTCTCACGCGAGCTCGGGCTTATTCTTTTGGAAGACGTTAATATTTTGTTTGATCAGGACAAAACGTTTTGGCAGGTTGTGCAAGACATAGTGGCGATCAGCAAGCGTCCCATTGTGTTAACGTGTGAAGAGTTATGGAATATCCCGAAGCTGTTGATTAGGTTGGCGGAAGCCAATGATTCAATTGTGTTTATTGATGACTGCGTGGTGGGGAGACAGGAAGTTATGGATTATTTATGGCTATGTTGTTTGGTTCATGGATTTAATGTAGAAGAGACAGTATTGAACGAGATTTCAGAAGAGAGTTTCAACGGGGTTACCTATGACTTACGACAATGTTTAATGAATTGTGAGATATTATGTAAATTGCAGTCAGACCAAATAGTGGATATCAAGTCATTTCCTGATGAACAGCTCCCACAAACAGATGATATTTCAACAATGGCTGCAATGTTAGAGATTGGTTCGTCAGCCGATGTCATCTCATCAGGAAGCATCTCCCAAATCGAGCATTCGTATCAACCAAATCAATTCACTGACATTTACTACATTGACGAATCAAGCAAGCTTACACAGCCCACATTATCATTCGAACTCAACATGGGAAACGAATTACAAAACAGTCTACACATCAACAAAACACTACCACTGCCCAAATACACCATGAATGATTTACGCTACGAATGTAATGAATTCATTGGATCACGATCAAAGAAAATACCACAATACATGTATGACTACCCGAGAAGAACGCTTCGATCAGGATTCTCGGAAAGTTTCTCCGACCAAACTGGGATCCCCGACACGTCATTCCTTCATAATATATCTCCGACTCCGTTTGTGCTTGACTTGTTGCCGTATACTAGAATCTGGCAATCGTTTCAAATATGTATTACCAAAGTAGAGGAGGACGCAGTGAAAGAAGATAGAGCTAGTGTTAAGAAGTTTCTTAACTACCGGGATTTCCAGTATAAGTCGACTTTGAATGCTACCATGACCACTTATTTTGGTTAGATTATTTATACAGTTATATAGATGTAATTCTTCACCATTCGTGCTGTATACTTGTGCTTGACTTAATGGGGTTATTATCTGTATACGAGCTCAATATACGGAACAGTTTAAATCAATCTAGTTCTTGTCCTGACAAGCCCACCACCAAATGACCTCGCAGCCTTGTGTTTAAAATCATTAGCTTGTAATCTTCTCCATGCTTCTTCAATATGATACGGCAACAACGGATTAGCTAATTCATCTGGTTTATCAAACAAGTACTTTCTCTTTTTCGGTACATTATCATCAACATTCTTTTGTTTACGTATCTGAATCAACTTTTCTTCCGAGTTCTTAATCAACATGGCTTCTTCGGTTATCGAACAAACAATTTCAAAAGTAAGGAAACCAAGAATATCAATGACATCATCATTAGGTCTAGAATCGCACAATTGACCAATCTGAGCCCATTCTCGGAACCGTTTGGCTTTACGGAACGTAAAACTTGCCTGTCTACATTCAGACCAGTGGACGTACTCTTCACGGGTCATATTCTTGGTTCTATCATCAGCAGTTTTCAATCGTTTGAGAGATGCAATAGTGGCAGCTTTTTCTTCGTCGTCAATTTGATCATCTTCACCTGTTTCTAAATGCTGCTCACTAAACATAAACTGCAACTCCCACGGCAATCTAATCTTAGACTTCCTGTATCTTGTTAACATTTTGGAAGAGTCGCTTTGATTGGCCCCAGCAGCAGCAGCACCGGTCCCACCAGTCCCCGCAGCGGCATCACCTTCAATCAACGATTCCGTACCTCCTCCTTCCTGGTCCTTGGCGTTCTTTCTCACATCCTTCCAAGAAAGGTATGTCCGCAATCTATTCACTTTTGCTTTGTCATGACGAATCATGAATATGACATCTTCTGGAGCGATGGATTTCGAGCCTCTACTAGAAGCGGTTTTCGTGGCCTGCATGAGGATTTCTATAACTTGGCCACGGACAATGTCTTCGATGATGGATGTAGTTTCTATGGGTGGATCATTAGATTCCCCCAGCACAAACATCATCTGCTGGATTTCTATTCGGTATTTGTATTTGCTTTCTGACATGTTCTGTAATTGTTGTATCAATAAGTGGACGTGTTAGTAAGTGGAATGTCGTGAAATAGTGTGGATAAGTTTTGGTTGTAAACCTAACAGAGTGCGTATTCCGGGTAACATTACTTAAAAGTATATATTAAGGATAAGGAAAAAAAATTTTCTCTCTCAATTTTTTTTTTTACAACCAACTTTTATTCAAACAACAATAAACAAAGTGTATGTACAACATAGTATGACGATATTTTGTTTAACATGATGAATCCGAGTGCATTTGGCTCTAGACTTTCTGTCGATGTGGAAAAACCCTAGCTACCTTACTTTTCTTTGTCTGAGACTAAACAAATAACGTGATGAGATGTGAGTGAATCTGTTACTAACTTTATCTTAGAACAAGTATTGATACAACTACAGTATAAGTTGACTGCTTCTATTTTGACCACTGTGGTTTCTTGGACAATCCTAGTCACAAGAGTTGAAATAGAAGTAGTCTACACTGTTTGCTTCAGTTTAGCTCTTAGGTTTGGTTCTCCTTGTGGATAACTAAATGTAAAAACTTAAACTGGAACCACTTTCTGTATGTCTACATTTGATTATAACTATATGTCTCTATGCTATTTCTATCTAAGTTTAACCAAATAAAGTAATTCCACTATCTTGAGGAATGACTTCTTCTTCTTCTTCCTCCTCTTCGTGTTCTTCTTCGCTTTCATCTTGTTCATTCATATTGACCTTTTGTCCCAACAAACTAGCAAAGAATTCGTCAATTTGGTCATCATTCCATCTCCATCCACCAACAGAAGTTTCAAAATTGGCAATTTGTTCTTGAACATGATATCTCAACTTTCTTCCCTTGGAAGCTTTTGTATCGACGTTGTTCTTCAACTTGTTGGCACGTTGCGCTGATCTTAAACCTATAGCGATTGATCCATTTGATTGAACCTTCTTGTCGACTAAATCGTTGAGAAGAACACGGTAGAAATCTTCATCATCAAACATAGTTTCGACTTCCTGTTTCACTTCTTCTTCTTCAGTGTGCCCCATTGGTCTCACTTGTCTTCGATTGAGTTTTGTACGTTTAACCAATCTGCCCATGTCCGACAAGTTATTCTCCACCTGGGTTTCAAATGATTGATTTATAGTTTTGAATTTAGTGGCGTTTATTGCTGATGCTCCTGATGAATTTTGCACCTTGGCTGACCATTTAGTCAAGACGGATGCTCTGGTACTGGCCAATGACTTGTCTGCTTCAGAAGCAGTTTGGCAGTATGCTGAATATGTTCTCTTTTTAGGTGCTGTATACTCCTTGCCTTCTAATTCACTTCGAAGGGCAATTATCGAATCGAGTAAAGTATAAAGCTCCTCTTTGGTTTGATGGATGAGTTTAGGAGTGTGTTCAGTAGTGTATGAACTAATGTCGGAAGTAGGGAATAAGTTTGCCGTGGTGATTGACTTTTGGAATTTTAATCTGGCGTCGATGATTTTGTCAAAGGTGGAGTGTTGAGTATTGATGGCATAGCCCTTGATGGCGTCGGTTGTTGCTGATTGAGAGAGACGGGAGAGTAAGTGAGTACGTTCTTGGGACATTAACTTTTTAAGTAATTGACGCTTGTTTGAACTGGCTTCTTCGTCTGAGCCTTCTGAGTCTTCCTCTTCTGAGTCTTCAGAACTTCCATCCAATGAATACTCTTCTTCATTTACTTCTTCTTCATCTTGTTCGTCTTCCTGGTTGTCGTCCTCATCTTCAGATTGTTCTTCTTCAATGTCGTCGTCCTCATCTTCAGATTGTTCTTCTTCAATGTCGTCATCCTCCTCCTCCTCTTCTTCTTCTTCAAGTTGATCTCTACTAACAACATTACCAACATACTTTTCTCCTAATCCTGGAGCGTCGTTTCTCAATTTAGATTTCTCATTACGAATATAGTGATCATTAGCTTCTTCCTCATCTTCCTCATCTACGTCACTATTTTCTTCTTGCTGTTCGAAAACCTCCTTCTGTTCATGATCCTCGATATCGAAATCGGTCTTTGGTTTGAAAAGCCCTGCTATTTGCTCTGCTAACGATTTCTTGGCCATGGTTGTTGTAGTTGTCTACTTAAGTATATTTCACAACCAAATTAAATTTTTTTATGATTTATTCAAGATGAGTTGAAAAAATGTCGCGTGGGATGTTTACAGGAAAAGTCGCGAGCCATAGCAACCCAAAAAGAAATCAACGAAAAATGATCGAGACATTTACAAAAGTGTATCATCCCTATTTTTAGATCTGAAATAGACTTAACAAACAAGGCACAAATCGCACAAAAGACATACAAATAGACACCCTGATAGATAGGTACGGATATACAGACGCTCGCTATGAAGTTTTACATACTACTCTTATCATTGCTTACCCTTGTTTACTCGCTCGGTAAACAAGACGATGGTCAAGACCAACAAACCACAACAACAACACAACAAACCATAGTGTGGGTGACCACCACCATTAACGGGCAACTCGCCACCTTGTCCACGCTCTACTCACAAAAGTTTACTGAAAAGGCAACCGGTACAACTGAAGTTCAATCGGGACAGATTGGATTGGGTACGATCTCTGGTAGTGTTGGTGGAATCAGAGAATACACTCTGGTCACAATCACCCCTACTGCAGGTGCCGCTGGAACTTCCGGTGCTGGGTTATTAGGATTATTTGCTGTAGTTGTTGGTTTGATTTGATTTGATTTGATATTACTATGTATAATATACACATTTGCTTCTATTACTCGTTCCTGTAATTACGCGTAGGCCATACTTTAGCAGTATGAAATGTTCACGCGCACTTTTTCGCTAAAATTTTTTTTTTTTTTTTATCATCGACAGCGGTAAAATTTGTACAATTACAACCAGGTATAACAAAACAAGTAAAGGTAAAAACTATTCCCAGACATGTCCGACGAATTAGCCCAACAAACCGAAGAATTATCCCTTGATTCCAAGACTGTTTTCGATAGCAAGGATGAATTTACTGCCAAGCATCCCTTGAATTCCAGATGGACCTTATGGTATACCAAACCTCAAGTCAACAAGAACGAAAACTGGCACGACTTGTTAAAGCCAGTTATTACTTTCTCCAGCGTGGAAGAATTCTGGGGTATTTACAACTCGATCCCACCTGCCAACCAATTACCTTTAAAATCCGACTACCACTTGTTCAAAGAAGGAATTAGACCAGAATGGGAAGATACTGCCAATTCCAAGGGTGGTAAATGGCAATTCTCCTTCACAAAGAAACACGAAATCAACCCAGTCATTAACGATTTGTGGTTGAGAGGATTGTTGGCCGTGATTGGTGAAACTATCGAAGATGATGAAAACGAAGTTAACGGGATTGTATTAAATATTAGAAAACAAGCTTATAGAGTTGGTATTTGGACTAAGGATTGCGAAGATTCAAAATTAAAGACTGTAGGTGAAAGATTGAAGAAGGTTTTACAATTGAAGGATGAACAAAAGGTAGAATTTATTTCTCATGATGCATCAAATATTAGGGGGTCTGAACCACAAATTGTGTTGTAAGCTAGCAAATGCTACTGCACGATCAAACAAATCAAACAGCTAGTATAACCTAGCAGTATAAAGTGTAATTTATATGCTATAGCTAATTAGTTTATGAATAAATGTATAACTGTAATCTAATTTACTTTCTCATTGACGAATTCCTCAACCCGTTCCCAATACTCGTCTTGTACCACCGTGTCGTTATGGGTGGACTGCTCATACTTCCATTTAATCTTGATTTCACTGGGTAACTTCTTGTATATCTCATCCATGTGACTTGGCGGAACAATCTCGTCTTGTCTTGCACTCATCAACATCACAGGGATATTTTCGTTGATCCTCGGCACTAAACTCTCCAGATCCCAAATTTGATTAACAAATAACGTAAAGTACTTTAACAAAGGAAACACATGTGGCACAGTCTTGGGTATAGATAAGAACGTATTTTCGAGTATGATCCCACTGACCAAATCGCCATACTTTTCAGCAATGTATATAGCAACAGCACCACCTAACGAACGTCCATACAACACAATCTTGCTTGACGAATACTGTTTATCCAGTTTCAAATACTCCATGACACAGTCAGCATCAATTTTGAGACCCTTCTCCAGGGGTGTTCCTGTGGAATTCCCGTACCCTCTATAACTATATATAAACACATTATATCTAAATCTAGCATACAACAATTGAACTATAGGTAAAGCGTATCCTATATTCCCAGCATTGGGTGAAAGTATAAGAATGGTCTTGTTGGTGTAATTGTTAGTTATATCTTGTTTCAACAGGAAACATTCAAGGGTTTCTCCGTCAGGGGTAGTTAGTTTTACCGCCTCGTATTCCATACCATATTCGTCTGGGGTTGATACGTGCGCTCTGGCACCATTCATGGAAGACGGGTAAATGATGGATGATTGGTAGGTGTATAGCCCACCTAGGGCCAATGCAGCTACAGTTATCCCGATCGCTGCCATAGATTTGGCTATTCGAAAGATTGATTCCATTCGTTGTGAACTTGAAACAAAGTGCTGCCAAAATTTGTTATGTTTATTTTTCATATTTTGTTTTTTTTTTGCCAAAATAGTTTATAGGGGGTAGGATAAGACACTAAGGAGAAGACATCATGAGCTCAAGTCAGCTGAACTTGGCTCGGTTTGCATTCAATATCTATGGATCATTGACGTCCGACAATAATACCCCGTCTTCACCATCACCGACATCATCATTCAATTCCATCAAGAAGGTCAACTCGGGGAATAAACTTGTATACCATTGCGATAGGGAAACCACCGCCCTTTCCCAATTGAACTATCCCTTGCTGATAAGCAATACCGAGATTGGATCCCATCATGCTGTTATTGGTGGAAAGAACTATCTCCATTTGTTATGTCTTAGTTCTGACCAGCATCATGTGGTGCACGACATAAATTTGCTCGACAACCCCTACTCGAGAGTTGTCCCCAAACTATCATCCATCAACACGATAAAGACGCATGAGAATACAATTGCATGTGGGCTATCCAATGGAGTGATCTCGATATACAAGTTGACACCTCTGGGTAAACTGACTTTGCTGACAAAACTCGCCGATCATAAACGGACAATCAACAGTATGGACTTTATTCATGACCGAGAAGACTTGCTCTTGTCCGGCTCCCAAGATGGATCAATCAAGTTGTGGGATTTACGAAGTGGGAACAAACCCATGCTCACACTCCAGTCCAACAATATGCATTCCGATCCAATTCGTGCGTGTCAGTATTCGCCTCATTCAAGTCATAAATTGAGTGTATTGTCGGTGCATGACTCAGGAGCACTTTGCAAGTTTGACCTAAGAGCAAACACAAATAGTTATACACCCGATAGAAAGTGGAATTTGCATTCAGGACCAGCATTGTCGTTACACATACATCCAGAATCAGAGTATGTTGCTACTGCGGGGAGAGACCAAAAGATTTGCGTGTTCAATTATAGTGACTCCAACCAAGCCACGGGGAGTCGGGCTACTCCAGAACACATGATAAACACTTATGGGCCAATAGTCAAAGTTCGATGGAGCGCATACGACAACAATGCCAAGAATCAACTATACAAGTACGACATTGCCTGTCTGTACTTGAACGACGACTCAACAGTTACTGTGTATAATCTCAAGCGGAAATACATTCCCAAACATATCGTCAATAGTTATTCACGCAAGGCGGTCCAGAATTTCCTATGGGCCCAGAATAGCAATCGTTCTTCTACATTGTGGTGTTTAACCAAGGCAAATGTGTTTACTAGTTATGATTTGGATGCCAGTGATGGTGATATTACACGACCACTAGAAGAATTGCCCAAGGTGAGTATGTCCTGGAATAATAATTTTGGAGACTTGAGTTTTGTCAATCAGTATGACAGTGATGAAGAATCGATAGTCTCGGAAGAATCGTCGGAAATGGTGGAAATGACAAGAAGTCATACATACTCAGGTGAGCAAGAAGAAGACATAGAATCTACCGATAACATCTCACGAACAAGTCTTGCCCTGGCCCCAATACCATCCATTCCATTCCCAACTTCGTCATCACTTACAAACTCACCCTTGGATAAACCACCCTTGGTTAGATCGTACACGCATAATCCTAAGCCAACTTCGTCATCTCCGATAAATACAACATTCACGAGACCAAGACTTAATAGAGGGTCATCGCTGACTACTACCCATGACTCGAGTATTTCCTATGGATCCACTCCATTTCCGGCACCAGCCCAACCGAGACACAAAAAAGTCCAACAAAGTACGGCCAGTTATATATCTTCTCCATATGTGATCCCGGTTAGTTTGGGTATACCGAGTAATGACGAGTATGTATTCCGGACATTGGCTATGGGATACGTAGTGAAAATCCCCGATGGGTTTAAACTAACCGATGTGCTACGTATGAATGCTGATGTGGCAGAAGATGCCGGTGTGCTTCGGGTAGCACTGATTTGGCGAATGCTTGCGATTGCCGCTGAGGAGCTTGACGTGACGGTTATCCTGCCAATTACCGAGGAAACTGGTGGTGATATTGCATTATCGCCTATTCCGCCCACTATGTCGGAGAAATCCATTGCTAGTGATTTAAACTTTGTCGGTTCGTATAATTCAGCATCAACTAAAGAGAGAGTGGATGAGAAACTGGATGGGGGAAATGAATCTCCGGCAGAACTTGAGATGTTGCCTAGTTCAGTTAAACCCCATTGGCACGACTTGGACAACGAGAACCTCCACTTGATGACCAACGTATTCAATTCCAGTCCTACTTCAGTGGGTATTTCGTCGAACAACACCTACAGTTCCATGGCGATAAGTGCATCCCCAGCCGCCCTGATTCGTCCTCTAACGGCATCGATAAAACCACTTGTGCCTTTACAACTCCAACGAAACGAATTATTCCTTGAAAAAAAGGAGAGTTCCACAAATACGTTAAAAAGTGGATTGACAATGGCATTATCGGAAATAGAACAAAAGGAGGACTTGCTTCCGTGGCATTTATCAAATTTGGTTCAGCAAGCAGTGGGGTATGCATGTACCCAGGGAGATGTTGTGTTTTGTGCGACGGTATCTTTGCTCTTATACGACAAGTTCCCAGGGATTATCAGTAAGAATGAGTGTCTTGAATGGATTGGAAGTTATATTGACATACTCCGTCGAAAAAGAATGTTTGTGCAAGCTGGAAATGTTATCAAGTCGGCACCCAAAAGTATTCAAAGTACATTAGTTCAAAAGCAACAGTTTTCTACAGATGTCAACCCCAAGTTCTTTTGCTGCTGGTGTAATAAACTACTTGAGAACACCAGCAAGGGCTACTACTATTGTCAAGAATGCAAGACTAACCAGCTGAATTGTATATATTGCAACGAACCGTGTGATGGGCTTGCTGTGGTTGTCAGTTTGAAATGCGGCCATCGAGGTCATTTTGGATGTTTGAAGGAATGGTTTATTGAAGGGGAAAACATTGAATGTCCTACTCCTGGATGCGATTATACATTAAATTAAAATTACGTCACCTAGCTCTATATATTGTTTTACAAGACCGTACTTGACCACATAGATTCCATCTCGCTTGAGTTCGATATCATCGTTGTCTATAAAAAGTGTGATTGGTTTGGAAGTAACCGATTTCACAAATACGTGTTGGTTGGTGTCTGGTGTGGTAATCATCAGCTGGCCACCACTAGTATCATCAAGCAAGGTCAAGCTAGGAGGGACTTTTTTGAGGAAACAATTATTGTATAACTGGGTAAGCAAATGGGCGTACTTGTGAATATACTCTTTCTCTTCGGCACTTAGCAACTTGCTATCTTCCTGCTCTTCGTTGATGTAATAAATAGTAAACTTGTCGAGTTTAGACAATCTCGTGCGTAGATACATCCTAACTAAATAACACAACCGTTCGATTTCTGTTTCTATAATCATCGTGTTTAGTTTAAACTCACTGGTGGACCCCACACTGTCTCCGTATTCGTGTGAATCGATCAAGTATTGTTGTTGGTTGGATATAGCTGTAAGGGCGGTGGTCATTGTGGTTTGGGCAAACGGGAGAAGTTCAGGTGACATCCGTTCGTTGATCATGGCGGTGATTAAGTTATTGTGGATGTTGGAGGTGACTGGAGTTTCCGACTCTTCGAACTCTTGAAGGATATCGTCGATGTTCATGGTGGTGTTGATGTTGATGTTGATGTTGATGTTGATGTTGATGTTGATAAATAAATTTAAAGTTGAAAAAAAATTACGCGTAAATATAAATAAGGAAGCAACATGGATAGACAACAACTACTTGAACAGAAACGACAACGACTTCAGGAATTGAAACAGAGGCGGAATCAACACAAGGAAGATGTCAATGTGGATGCGATAATTGATACGCTAACCAAGCAGAGTGTAGCCACTCTGACCACCAGTGTTGATGTTTCTACCCAAACTACTGAAGTTAGGCGAGTTGTGGAAGGAGTACGATATGATAAAGCTATACAGACAATAGCTCCTGAGAAAGAGCAGGAAGAGGCTAAAGCAGAAGTGGTAACAGCGTCAGCAGCAGCAGCAGCAGCTGAGGATAAGCTAGTTGGCAAGCACGAGTTATCAGAAACCAAGCTAAATCAAGCATTGGCCAATTCACTTAAATTGCTTAACAAACTCACAGTCAAATCAACAATTGAACTTGAACAGACAACAGTCCAAGTTGAACATGCAAAGCTGGGATTCTTTCAAGAGATAGACAGTCATTCAGGACATACTGGCTCCATCAGTGATATCGACGTTTGTGGAAGTCTCATTGCCATAGCATACGCTAATTCCAAATATTCAGCTATAGTTTACGCCGGCACTACACCACAACACTTTCTAACTTCAATTTCACAAATCACAACCATCCAATTTGACATTAATAATCTGAATAGAATAATCACAGGATGCGCCAATGGCTCTATATCAATCTACGAACTTTCAAATCAACTATCACCAGTGGTATCACCAACCTTGACAACACCGTTATATTCCACTACTCTCTTCAACAACAACTTTGCTCTCCACACAACCCCAATACTCCTGATCACCCAACTCAAAATCAATGACAATAATTGTCTACTCACAGTTTGCAAACAGGGTATAATCAACTTATGGTCGTCTAATCTCCTTGCCGTGCCCAAAACAGAATCAATCATACTCTTTCCTAAAAAGCTCAACTCAACATTTCTTTCCCGTGCTATATTCACCAGTATCCAAACCCATTACGTTGACACGGCTTATTTGAATTCACTTGTGTTTGTGGGAGATGGCAAGTTTTACCAATTAGACAAGGACATCACACCATACATAACTAACGAGTTGGAATCGGGAATTGCAACGATAATCAATGATGTTACTGTATTAGATTCAATGTTAATCACTGCTCATATGGATTGGAATATCAGGATATGGAAAGATGAATGTAAAACCGTGCCTGTTCCTTACTTAGTCGATAAGATAGTGGTTCGTCCTGATAGTCGACAATTTATTACTGTTTCCCACCAACCAATGGCAAAGGTTGATTTATGGGATATATCAAAACGGTTATATACTCCAATTGTAACTGTGTGTGAAACTGCCGTGGATACTGTTGCATTTAACGAAACGGGCACCCAGCTTCTCCTTGGAAAACAAGAAGGATTTACAATACTCTCGATTGACGAGCTTACAGTTGACGAAGTGGAATATGATGACGGTATATAATATTACAAAAATTGGCTATATAGTCTGTCTCTAGGTCTAATTAAAATATCACTGTTCTCTTGATCAAGTTCAATACAATCGCTTGTAGCAAGCACAAGCAATTCAAAGAAACAACGAGTAGCTTGTCTCTTTTGGTTGACTTTATTGTTTGCTGCGCCCAATGGTTGTTCCTTCATGGTTAAATCATTGTCCACTAATTTAGTAAATGCTATGGAATCGTCTGTTTGTGTAAGGTCACGTAATTCCTCGGCGATCTGCACCGTGCTGTTTCCCAGCACGACAAACTCCTCGGGGAGTTCTTCCACTATTTCTGGTTCAACTATGTTTTCTGGCTCGTCGAAATCAGGCAAGGACAAGTCAAAATCGAGGGTTTCATCACGAACAGTAAAGTCATCCTGGGCTTGTTCTTCTTCTTCTGCCACTTCTTCTTCCAATCGAGCAATTTCAGCACATCGGGCCTGTAATTCTTCGTCTAAACTGAGAATCTTTCTTCGTTTGTTGCATACGGGCATACTTAATTCATGGACAAGTCGTAACTTTTCCTGTTGAGTGAGGTTGACGGTGATGTATCCTCCCAATAATGCTTGTTGGTTGTTGCGTAATGTTTGGATTGAAATTCCCGAAAGTTCGTCTTCGGAGTCAATTACGAGTTTACGTTTGTTGGTGACCATTCCTTCGTCAGTTATTCCTGAACGTCTGACTCTAGGAGCAGCGGGAGTAGGTGTGACAGCGGTAGTTTCCGGAACTGGCTCTTCATTAACCTCCTCCAAGTTCAATTGCAATGGGACACCCAAGTCCAATTCAAAGATATCCTTCAGGCCCACATCCAAAACTGACATTTCTCGATCATCATCAGCCATACTGACATTTCTCCCGATTTCCACACTATCATCCATCCCGACGTCCAAATCAAAATCAAACTCGTCATCATCACGCATCTCCATTTCTTCTTCGTACCTTGGGAACTCTACTGATTGGTCATACTCCATGGTGTTTTGCTGCTGCTGCTGCTGCTGACTGAACAACCCACCGATGTTCACTTCTTCGTCGTCGTCCAAGTTCAATTCGTCTTGGTAAAGCAAGCCGAATCGCCCGACCTGATCGGGCAATGTCACTGTTTGTAAGTTGATCATGGTGTTTTGAACAGGGACATTCACCGTGTCATTCTTGGCGATTTTGAAGCTGGATTTGAGCTTGTATAATATATCATTGGCGTCATCGAGTAAATACTTTGTCTTACGTGAATAAATTTTGACGATACCCAAAAGTAATTGACCTGATGCACGTAAAGTTATGGTTTGTTCACGGTTGATTAATTGTGTAGATTGGGCGATGTCTGTATTTAAGAATTGAGTTTTGGTGAGCTTACGATCGTAGTTTGCTGCAAGCCAGATATGACTCAATGGGCCGTCCTTCGATGTTAATGTAGTAGCAAGCATAGTTAGTATCTTGTAGACGAGTAGTGGTTGTAAGAAGGAGTGAGTATAGTGTTTTGTTTATATATAGCGCCCTTTTTTCTTTTTTTTATTTTCTTTACAGACGCGAAATGTGCGGAATTTGCAGTCGCGCGTAATTTTTCGCGCACATGACCGCAGGCGGGTAACCGTGCGTGTGGATATGTGTGGCGCTACCATATTTGCCGTGTACGCACATCCCATTCTGTAAATTGGCATGGAATGTCGCTGCAGTTTCTTAAATGAGATCTTGGAGATTCCCTTGGCGAAATCTAGCAAGCTACGTGCTTGATCATGTGATAATTCCCGGTGATCGACTTGTTTGTTATGGTAACTCCAAGGTTACCATCCTTTGCAACTTCCTCAAAAAGTGCACCAGGGGCGATTTACAATCTCTTCAGAATGCTTGTAATTGATATAAATAGCACTAGAAATAACACAATTCAATCGAGATAGGTAATTCCAGCAGTATACACCATGAAATTGACACATCTCTTAAAACTCACCGCTTTACTCGGTGCGATTCATCCCGTATTGGCAGAAGACGAATCTGTCACTGAAGAAACCACCGATATAACAATCACGGAGTATCGCACCATTGACGAAACGACCCAGGTTGAGACGGTTACTGAGATTGTCGTTGAGACGGTTGTGATTACCCAGGTTGAAGAACTGCTTCCTACGGTTACTTTGGTTGCTTGTAATGATACTGAATGTACTGGAGGGATGCTGCTTTGGAACTTGCCTGTATTGGTGAGGACGTAAATGTACAAAAGTTGCTGACAAACTACTTTTCGCTATTGATGGCTCGCTCGCTAATGAGAAGATTCCGGTTATTGTCAAACTGTCGCTCGCTTTTTCCACACTACACATTATGCTGCTAACGGTTATATCTGCTACTATGAACATACTATTTATATTTGTAATCTTTGTAAATATCGCAATATAAGAACTTGATACTTTTGCAATTTGCAATTTGCAATTTAAATGCAACATTGTATTTTTATTTTATTTTATTTTATTTTATTTTATTTTTTTTTTTTTTTTTGCTAATCGAAAATCTCCACCTTGTTCAACCACTTGTCATCAGCTACTACCACACCAGAGCCTACCACACCACACAGTCACAGACACAACCCATCATGTCTTCGGCTAACCTTCAGACAAAACTAGATGCATCGCTCAATGATATCCTCAAGACACTGGGATACATATTCGAAGTCCTCAATAATAACAAGAAACAATCCAATCTCCTAACTGGACCAAACAACCAACTAATCACACCGCAAATCATCGCGCAGCTCCTGCATCAAATGCTCAAGTTCGACGATATACTAGATGAAACAATCACGAAATTTAACGACGCACGATGGTGTATTGACCAGATGGTGGAGAACAAACAGCGACAGGAGGAGATGAAGATTAGAGAGGAACAAGAGCGGGCTAGACGACTTAAAGAGGAAGAAGAGCAGAAGCAGAGAAGGATAAAGGAGGAACAAGAGGAACAGGCCCGTGCAAAGGCAGCAGCCGAAGCCAGGGCTAAGGCCGAAGCCGAACTCAAGGCAAAGAAGGAGGCTGAAGCCAAGGCAGCCCAGGAACAAGAGGCCGAGGCTAAACGCAAGAAGGAGGAGGAGGCTGCTGCGGCCGCGGCGGCTGCTGCAGTGGCTGCTCTCAAGGAAGAAGAGGAAAAGAAGAGACGAGAAGAGGAACAGCAGAAACAACAAACTACAAACAATTTCAATTCGTTTGAAGACTTTACTGCTGATTTGGATCTTAATGATGTGTTGGGCAACACCGACACTAATCCATCGGCGGGCATGCTTTCTTTGAACTATGAAGACTTGGGGTTGGACATTGATGCCAACGACAATTCGCGGGGAGTGGGGAGCCTTGGATCTCCCTCGGGTGTACTCGGCGATGCCATGCTTGAAAAGAATGATGATGAAAACAATATGGACCTCGACATGAACAACTTGTTAGGAAACGACGAGCTGTTCTTGGACGGTCTTAACATGAACTTTATCGAATCGGGGGCAGACAACGCCGGTTCCAGCGGACAAATACCCAATGATGGGGAATTTGATGTTGATAATTTCTTGAGTCAATTTGGGGGGAGTGACTAGCGCGTGTAGATGTATGTACAGATGTACAGATGTACGGATGTGCACATATATACATACATATACACAAACACATACACATATACATACACATATACATGCACACACACATGCACACACACATGTACGCTCTGTTCGTAGCGCACTTCCCAAACAGGCAATCGACTCTGATCCAATAGAAATGCGTAAAAAATTGTATACAGGATTTTCGTTTCGGACAACCAAAAAATGAAAAACTGGAAAAAACTATACAGACAAAGTACTATAACACCACTTACCAACAACCCATACTATACAATGTTCAGACAAGCTTTACGTCAAGTTGCTAAGCAATCCACCGTTGTTAGAAGAACCTATGCCACTGAAGCTGTTGCCTCTGATGCATTAAAGTTATCCTTGGCCTTACCTCATCAAACCTTGTACAGTGATTCCGAAGTTGAACAAGTCAATTTACCATCCGTCAATGGTGACTTGGGTATCTTAGCCAACCACATTCCAATTGTCGAACAATTAAGACCAGGATTGTTGGAAATCATCTCCAAGACCGGTGAAACTGAACAATATTTCGTCTCTGGTGGGATCGCTACTGTTCAACCAGGTAACAAATTGACCATTTCTGCCATTGAAGCCTTCAAGCCAGAACAAATCGACACCCACGCCGTCAAAAACTTGATTGCCGACGCCCAAAAGAGAGCCGAATCCTCTGACGAAGTCGTTGCTGCTGAAGCCACCATTGAATTGGAAGTTTTGGAAGCCTTGTCCCATGTCGCTAAATAAACTATTTCACATACATAATCTACCTTTTTGAGTATATGTGGCCTGTGATAGGACTATGAAAAGATTATAGATAATTCATACAAGTATTGTTCACGTTATCATTGTCATGTATATTTATTATATAAATAATAAAAAAAAAAAGTTTTACGAGCAATTAGTTGTAGGTGTAATATTCTAAAAGATATGATACTGCAGTAGTTCAAGCCGTTTTCCTTCTATAGCACATGCTGTATAATTCTTGACACAATAGATCTTTAAAAAGTAAAAAAACGTAATGCAACTTCTCCGCAAGGTTATTTTGCAATCTACAAGTTTATACTCGAGTAATTGGGCAAATCTTTACTCAGTTGCTAAAACACTATAAAAATGTACTATGTAACAACCTAGTTATCAGCAGCCTTGGTATCAATAGCTTGAAGATATTCGTAAAAGAAAGCATGTAATTGCAAATGGTTATCAAACTTGAGCTTTTCATCCACACTGTGAATGTTGTTGTTCATCAAACCATTGGAAAACAACGGAGAGTATCTAAAGATGTTTCTAGTCAAATTCCAATAGTGTCTAGTGTCAGTGTTTCCGGTCATGATAGCTGGACTGGTAACAATTGGATAGTCAAGATCAGGGAACACCAAATCTTCAAAGACATGACGGGTAACTCCCGACAAGTATTGCCATACTTTGTCATTCAATGGAGTTGGAGGAGCAGGTGGAAGACCGCCCGATTCAGTGATGACAAATTCACCAGCTGGGTTGTTTGGTTTTCCATGAACATACACTCCAAAGGCCTTTACAGCGATGTGGTGTTTCGTGGCGACTTTAATAACTCGCTTGATAAAATGACGTTTAATTTCGTCGTTAGTTGATTCAATTGCAACACGATGGTTGACCAACAATCTGGTAACTTCTGGCAAAGCATTGCTCTTCTCACCACCTTTGATGATATCTAAAGCTTGTGAAGTACCAATCAAGTATCTGGTGAATCTATTTTGGGTAATGTACTTAATCAACTTCTTATTAGCATGGTGGTTGAACGCAGCTTTTAAGATAGTCTTCTTGAACTTGGAGTCGATATTCTTCTTTGGATCATGAGCAGCCAAACATTGGTAATAACTCAAGGTGGGGTTCTTTTCTGTCAAGATAGGATCATAAGGATCCTTTTCAATCAAATAAGCCAATTGAGACATAATACCAATTGAAGTATGGTCAGGCGGAATAGAAGAATGACCTCCAGGAGTACTCAATTCCACTTCGATGTCAATGTATCCCTTTTCGCCGGTTCCTGGGACAGCGACAATTGTTTTGGTCAAGTCGTCAACTTTCAATCCATCACCCTCGTCAATGATAGCATAGAGTGAATCGGGACCTAAGGTGTCTTCTAAATGTTGGGCAATCTTGCTGGCACCGATATACCCCGAGGATTCTTCATCGAACCCAAACGCAACAAGAATACTTCTTTGTGGTTGGTAATCTTGGGAAATTAATAATTCCAAGGTTTCCAAGATGGCAATAACGACATTCTTACAATCGGCTGCACCTCTTCCGTAAATGAAATCGCCGTCGTAATGACCCGAAAATGGAGGGTAACTCCAATCGGAAATGGTGTCTTTTTGAACAGGAACAGTGTCTTGATGGGCCATCAACAAGACTGGCTTCAAGTCCGAGGAGGAGCCATTCCAACGGTAGAGCAATCCATAAGTGTTGATGCGTTCAATTTCCAATTTTTCATACACCAAGGGGAAGGTGTGTTCCAAGTATTCATGGAACTTTTCAAATTTGGCCCAGAACTGTGGTGCTTCTGGAACATCAACTAAATCATCAGAGATTTGAGTATCGATTTGAATAGCACCAGATAAGTTGTCAATGGATTTGTTTCTATAAGTTTCATCAAACAAGATAGAAAGCACGGTGGAGTTGTCCTTGTGGAAGGACTCAGGAGCAATTGGGTCGAATAATGGACATAAATTGGAATTCTTGGGAACTTTCGAGAAAATTACCCCAGTAAAGAAAGTAGTGGATAAGTACCAGAGCAGGATTAACCCAATTAATCCACCTGCAACGATAAGGTGGGTCTTCTTAGACTTGCATTGCTTGTGTTTCTCGTCAACTGGAAGTCCAAGCATGGTTGAGTGTGGTTAACATTTCTGGGGAACTTGTGCCGTACGGGGATTTTTTTGCATTATATATGGAACCAGTCGCGGAAATCGATTTCCCAAAATATGAAATTGAGTCATTGTTTAGTTGATAAGATTGCGCTCTTTGCATGCGAGAGCACTGTGGTTGATACTATTGCACCATTGGCAACTTTACACGACTAGCCCTAAATCTTATAGCCAATCAAACAAAAACATGATATACATCAACAGATAGGTCGTGCAAGTTTAAACTGTGGAGATAGATGAGTAATTTGTCAATAGGCATAAATTTTTATCCGGAAGAATTGGATAATCAATTGTTCTTGGTTTTGTGTAGCTTTAATTAACAAATCAACGTTTCTTCAATGGTAGAAGCCGTTACAGAAACAAAAGATGTATGCTCCTTGTCGGTTGTCCTGGCGGCTTCTCCCCCTCCTGTCCCCTCGCCTCGTTTGTATTTGGATGGAAAAAAATCGAGTCTCTCCTTCTTTTCCTCTAGACGGAATTGCTGTGAGAAGTAACTTGCTAGTAGGTAATACTAGTAATGGAGGGCTGTTAAAATTGAACAACTTTGTTGCCAAATTTTTGCGAAATATACAAGAAACATTAGTAGAACTTGCCAATCAATTGAAAATGGGTGTAATTGCAGTAGACTTTTCAATTGGAGCGAAAGAAGAGGTGTATACAAAAAGAATCGAGTAGAAGGTATATCGTGGGATATGTCAAAGTTGCAACTATTGCACATGACCATACATAGTGATCCATCGGGAAGATTTTCGATTATTTTTTTCGGTAAGATTCTATTTTGTACCACCGTTGTTTTGACCTTCTTTGTCAACACTAAAAAAATCCCCCACCTCCAAGCCCAGCGTGTTTACATATTTCGTGTAATTTAATTTTAAACACATCAGGAGATTACTTTGATCTGGGGACCACCATAGTGTCATATGCTAATTGTAGAAAACTTTTGTTGGAACTTGCAATGTTGCTCCCAACATGGCACCCTCCTGTCTCATTCGGGAATTTCATATTTTCCCCGTGGGCCAAATCTTAAGGAAGGAATAAGGAAAAATTACCAGCCCTGAAAAAAAAAAAAAAAAAAAAAAGAAAGAAAGAATTGTCGTACAAAAAGACACTTGCAAATTGGAAAAAAATTAAAAATTATCCGACCAAGAAGGTCCATTTCCCCAGACAGAAAATCCAAACTGCAATAATGTCAAAACCCCAGGGGTAACAACGTATAAGTCATTCGATTGTCAATTAACCCGCCTTATCTAATAATAGACATCACCACACGCGCAGGTGGATTGTCCCGAGATACCAGCCAACATCTGGCAACAGCTGTTTTTATTAAAGTTTAACAATGACCGGTGTAGGTGTATTGTTTCCTTGCGTGGGGATTGTCATAAAATATCAAGGAGGGAGAGAGAGGGGGGGAAGACAAGGTGGGTAGATGTGGGATGGAAACAGACACTTTTGTGAAGATGAAAAATTAAAATTAAAAATAAAATAAAACGCCGCCGGTGGGAAAAAATAAATGCCTGACCTTCCTTGCGTAAATCTTCCCCAAGGGCACGATTTTTCACCCACACTAAATCAATTAATTAATCCATCGGCGGGTCTGGAGAAATTACAACTATAAAAAGGGCCTAATTTCTTGTATTTTCCAAAAATTTCACTTTCTTCTTCTTTTTCTTATTCATTACTTCACTTTAATATATATACCCCCCCCCCCACCCCACATCTCACAATGGTTGCTAACCCATCATTAGTTCTTAACAAGATTGACGACATCACCTTCGAAACCTACGAAGCCCCAGAAATTGTCGAACCAACCGACGTTATTGTCGAAGTTAAAAAGACTGGTATCTGTGGTTCTGATATCCACTACTATGCCCACGGTAAGATTGGTAACTTTATCTTGACCAAGCCAATGGTTTTGGGTCACGAATCTGCCGGTGTTGTTTCCCAAGTTGGTAAGGGTGTCAAGCACTTGAAGGTTGGTGACAGAGTTGCCATTGAACCAGGTATTCCATCCAGATTATCCGACGCTTACAAGTCTGGTCACTACAACTTGTGTCCTCACATGTGTTTTGCTGCCACTCCAAACTCCACTGAAGGTGAACCAAACCCACCAGGTACCTTGTGTAAATATTTCAAGTCCCCAGAAGATTTCTTGGTTAAGTTGCCAGAACACGTCTCCTTGGAATTGGGTGCCATGGTTGAACCATTGTCTGTCGGTGTCCACGCCTCCAAGTTAGGTAAGGTTACTTTCGGTGACAATGTTGCCGTTTTCGGTGCTGGTCCAGTTGGTTTATTGGCTGCTGCCACCGCCAAGACCTTTGGTGCTGCCAGAGTCATTGTCATTGATATCTTTGACAACAAGTTACAAATGGCCAAGGACATTGGTGCTGCCACTCACACCTTCAACTCCAAGACTGGTGGTGATTACAAGGACTTGATTGCTGCCTTTGACGGTGTTGAACCAAATGTTATTTTGGAATGTACCGGTGCTGAACCATGTATTGCCATGGGTGTCCAAATTGCTGCTCCAGGTGGTAGATTTGTCCAAGTTGGTAATGCTGGTGCCGCTGTCAAGTTCCCAATTACTGAATTTGCTACTAAGGAATTGACCTTATTCGGTTCTTTCAGATATGGTTACGGTGACTACCAAACTGCCGTTAACATTTTCGATGCCAACTACAAGAATGGTAAGGACAAGGCTCCAATTGACTTTGAACAATTGATTACCCACAGATTCAAGTTTGACGATGCCATCAAGGCTTACGACTTGGTTAGAGCCGGTTCTGGTGCCGTCAAGTGTTTGATTGATGGTCCATTATAAACAAACTACACACTTTTATGAAACTTTAATACTTTTTTTCTCTAATTAATAGACTGCAATTGCATTGAATGTGATGATAATAAATGGTTGGATGATTTAACTAGAGTGTAGATGGATATCTTTTACGTGTAGATTAAGTTCTTTTTACGACGACTAGTTTTAAGTTGTCAACTCCGTAGGTTTAACGTTGTAGTAGTTGAGGAGGTAATAGGCTTGTTGCAAAAAAAAAAAAGAGTGCACCTGCATATAGCCCACCACACTGACATTTTTAACCACCAAAAAAATTTTCATTTTCAAACAACCAACCAACTATAGAGACTATAGCCAGAAAGGTACGACAACATGAGTTTAACACCACAACAAGCGTTCAAGAAGCTTCCGGCCAAGCTCCATAACTTTTTCCTCAGATACCCACCTCGTCCTTATGCACAATATGCCGCTGGCAAATCCACCATAGACGATCCACAACGTAATCCATTTTTCCCCAACAAGAACACCACCAACGGAAGATGGTACGATGCCACTTATTCCCGAAGAAGATCTGCTGATTTGTTCAAGACCGCATATAAATTTGGTCTCCAAGATTTATTACCTCCTATGCCACGTAAATTCTACCAGGATAAATTTGACAATAAGAACTGGATGAGAGGGGTATTGCATCAAAAGAAACAAAAATGGGAACGTGAGTTGCCAGCCAAGTTGGAAGCTAGAAAAGAAGCTATTGAAAACATGGATGCCATCATTCTTGAAAAGAGACCTAGATACAAGAGACAACTTGAAAAGCAACAACAAAAGAAAAAGACTTGGTTTTAAACCACTTTTATTCTGTACATAGTAACACATACATAGTTAATTAATTATACACCTTTAGAAATGAAATAGGTACGACGCAACCTTTAAAATGCTCTGGGACGTCTTGTCTTGCCTCCTCTCATGGGCCCACCGGCTCGTTTGTTAGTGGTGGCTGGCTTGGCACTTGGACCAGCGCCTTGTTTCTTTATTTTCGTGACTGATTTAGCCAATATCGAATCAATGTTTAATTCATCCGGGAGTAAGATCTGTCTTATTTGATTGCCTCTGATATTTATGAATTGCAACAATGTGGCATCTTGTAATGGTTGTTGTAATTTGACATTTTTAAGTGAGAGGTTCATCAGGGGTGAGCATGACATGAGGGTACCGTTTATTGTGGTTCCATTCTTGAGTTCAACTGTTAACGGTTGGTTTGTTGAATTGGGAATGTTCATAAGGAATCTAACCAACTTCATTGTTGTCTGTCTGTCTGTATGTATGTATCTGGATATGGGTTTTTGTCTGGTTGTACGATGATGGTAATTTTTTTTTGTTTTTACTTTTTTGGGTTAAACAGACAGACAAAATCGGGAATGAAATCGTGAGTTGTCTTTTTGTTTACAGGGTCCAACGTTAGTTTTGCCACCAGTAATAATAATAGTAGCAACAACAACACACCACAATGTCAAACACGATTGTTGAGAACATCAAGAGCATCCCTCCGGTGACACGGTTCTTTACGATCGCATCAATATTTGCATGTTTGATTATGTCTACCTTGGGCACCCAGGCGTCCTTTCATCGGTTATTCATCAACTACTACACAATAATCTACGACTACGACACCATCATCAGACCAGTATTGTCCAATGCCAATGCAAAGTACTACCAGATAGTGTATGCAGTGCTTGAATTTGCTGCTCAAGTTTATAAATTCGGGACATCCTTGTTCATCCCCGCCGGGATCAACGACTCTACAAATCGAATCCAAGCCATATTCGATATCTACTTTTTCTATACGTTTTCCAATCATTTGGAGGGCTATGAAGGTAAGTTCAAGGGCAACTTCCCAGATTATCTTTGGTATATTATCATTTGTGGAACGTTAACCCACATAATCACGATAATTTACACTGTGTTTTACACTGAAATCTTTTTCCCTCATGAGATTCTTCTTGGATGTGTCACCTATACTTGGTCCCGTTGCTTCAAGAATGCCACCATTAATCTTTTAGGTATAGTCCCCATCAAGGCTTATTACTTGCCCTTGGGTAACCTTTTCGTCAAGTTGATTTTAAGTGGGCCCCATGCCATGATCAGTACCCTTATGGGTATAGTTGTGGGATACTTGTACCTTTGCATCCAATCAAACACATTACCAATCTACAATTTATTCCCAGGAGCTTATGGAACACCAGGACCAAACAAAAAAAGGGAGGGAAGTAGATTAGGTGTGACCCATATTGACCAACCAACTCGTGGTTCCACCTATGATTTCATTGGTGATTCGATTTACGACAAGGGCTACTTGAAAGCTCCTGAAGTGTTGTACAAGTGGTTATCGTATCCTGTGGAGAGTTCATTTAGATCTACGGCGTTTACTGATTTTAAGGGGAACACATTGAACGGTAGAGCCACCGATGCTACGGTAAGAAGAGCTAGTGCGGCCCAGGAGGTTGCCAGTGGTTCTTCTAGTGGGTATTCCTGGTTTGGAAACAATGGAACATCTGGTGCCTCATTCAAAGGTAAGGGTCACCGTTTGGGTGGTTAGTTTTTATTTTGTATACAGTGTAAAATGAATAGTTAGAGTTTATTATTTTGAAATTTTCAACCACGTTGGAAATGAGGCATGAGGTGTAAATGCAAATTGATTTGTAGAAGATGATATATGTAATCATTGGCGTCCTTCGCTCATTCTCCCCACCCACCCACTTTACAATGCTGTGACAATGCTGTGACAATGCTGTGACAATGCTGTGACAACGCTGGGACAACGCTGTGACAATGTCTGGTGTTACATCGAGTGCTCGCACTGTCAATGTATTAGTCACCAGCCACTTGTTTAGTGTAGAATAGAGTGTCGTATAATCGTGTAGCTCTGCAACGATCTGCAGCTATGGCGTTACTCTCCCTCCCTCCTCCCCTCAATTTTTTTTTCTGGTCTTCATGTTTTTGTCTTGTTTGTTTATGTCAGCCCTATTTGTAATTTCATGTTAGCCAACCACAATCATCTAATTGCCATATCAACTTAGCATTTGTAATTCAATCACATTACTTCATAGACACCCCCCTCCATACCCCACCTCCCCCCACTACACCTAATAGATCATGCCCGGAACACCAAAACAAGGGCCATCACGTGGCCCACCCCTTCTTGGAGACGAGCTCTCAATGCGGTCATCCAGCGGCACCAACATCCTGACCCCTGGCAGTTTACGCAACCGATCAGCATCAAAGTCCCGTCTTCGCTCATCAAGATCACTAGCCATGCCCACGGCTTCAGCAGCAGGCGCAGGTGCAGGCTCAGGCGCAGGTGCAACAGGACCTTCAGGTACAGCTTCACGTCCGTCGCTTAAACGGATGGGTTCAGTGAGTACCGCACATACCCCTAAGTTGATATATTCCGTCGACGATGATATAAATGATCGTATCGATGAGGATATGTTGGATATTCTTTCCGAAGAACCAATAGTCAAGACCCAGAGCGATCGCGATTACTTAGAGGGTTATAATGATGCCTTGCGGGCATTGCTTCAACGAAAAACCAGAAGCCCTATGATTCAACCCCGACTGACTCCCGATTTGAGAAGAAGCGAAGAGGAAGAACGTAGATCTGGAAGCGTGTCTGGCGTAAAGAGCAGCGACGATGTGCAAAAGATCGAAGAGACAATCGCCCAAGACTTATTGCGGGCCGAAGAAAACATCCGCATTCTTGAAGAAATTGACGATTCCAGAAGAGCAAGCATAGGCGATAGCGTAAATGACACGACTGAAAGTATCCATGATGAAGGTGACTTGCTTGATGTTCCTGCGGACGAAGAAGTCGACGACGGTGCATCGCTTCATAGTGTGGAATCGTTGAATTTACGTGAACGTCAAGATGCGATTAATTCGACCCATCCGTTCGGTATCAAGATTTGGAAACCTTCCTTGTATAAAAAGAAGAGATCAGTTGCTGCCCGAGCCGAAGAGGATATTCACGATTTCGATCCTCGTAAACCCACAGCTAGAATTTATTGGGGTGTTACATTGACAAATTATTTATGGGCCTTGACAGCCGGATTATTTATTTATATCATTTGTTTAATTGGTGCATTTTTCGTGTTTGTATTCTCAGGGTTTGCCTTGCAACAGAAACTGAGACCATACGTCAAGTTGTTTTTAAAGTTGGGAAGATTCTGGTTATATCCATTTGGGAAATTCGTGATGTTGAATAAAGATGAGAATTATATCGATGAAGACCAAATCTTTGGGAGAACAATTAATGAGTTCCATCAATGGAGATTACAAGAAGAAGGGAGATTGTTCTTTGCTCCACCAAGAAGGAATACCAACAGCACTGGAGAATCACGCCCTTTAATTAAAGACCACAAGGGAAGACCATTGCGCGATGCATATTCTACATTAGACGAAGGTAATAGTTCAAGCATTGCTGAACAGGACGAAAACATCGAGGACGACCAAGACAATATCAAGATGAGATTGTTTGGTAGAGGAAGATGGAGTCCCGGAAGACTCGCCTTTTATGTATACTTTTACGGAATCTTGCAACCATTATCCTACCTTATTGGCCTTTTGTGTTGGTTGATTGTATTTACCATCCCCATGTCTAATATCACTGGAACCATCAATGACCATTTACGTCGTCATCCATTGGCGCTTGATTTTGAATTGGAGAAAGAATATTACCAGCGTATGGAGGACCCAGTGCAAAAGAAGAAAAAGAAACAACAAAGAATTTTATTATGTACTTACCGTTGTTGTGGGTTCCACTACTACAAATACACTATTGATGGTACCAACATTTTCTTTATTAATTTACTTGCCGTGGTTATATTTGTTATTTTTGATTTCCTTGTTCTTAAAGAAGTGTTGGATATCGATGCCTGGTTTACCAACTCAACTGTGATTTTCTGTGCTTCATTATTCTCCATTATCCCATTAGCTTATTTCATTGGTCAAGCTGTCGCTTCGATTTCAGCGCAATCATCCATGGGTGTTGGTGCTGCCATCAACGCTTTCTTCTCGACAGTTGTGGAAATCTTCCTTTATTGTGTCGCCTTGAAACAGTACAAGGGTAAGTTAGTCGAGGGATCCATGATTGGTTCTATTCTCGGTGGTGTTCTCCTCCTTCCTGGATTATCAATGTGTGGAGGTGCTGTAAGAAGAAAAACTCAGAGGTACAATCCCAGATCCGCCGGAGTGTCTTCGACCATGTTACTATTTGCTATGGTTATCATGTTTGCCCCTTCTTTGTTTTATCAGATTTATGGAGCATACGAAATCAAGTGCCACACCTGTGATATCACACTTGGTGGCGATGACTGTACCAAGTGTCGATTCATTCAACCTTCATTCACATTAGACGCATTATATTACAATGTCTTGAAACCATTTTCGTTGATTGTGGCCATTGCATTATTTGTGGCTTATATATGTGGATTGTTGTTTACGTTGCGAACTCACGCATCCTTGATCTGGGCCACTCATGAAAACAAGAGACACGATGACAGTTTTATGAGATCTCCAAGCATGATTAGTTTGAATGCCACTCCAAGACAAACACCCCGTCAAGAACCTGTTCCTCCTAAAATGAGTGCATTGCCCCCATCGGCGGTACTTGGCCAGCCTCCAGCGGTGAAACCCAAGGATATTAAAGTTGAAGAGGAACACCTCGATGATGAAGGTACGGGTGGCCATGATGCACCTAATTGGTCGAGAACCAAGTCTACAGTTATTCTTCTTGGTGCTACATTATTATACGCCATCATTGCTGAGATTTTAGTTGATACTGTTGATGCCATCCTTGTTGATTTCCCCATAAACCCTAAATTCCTTGGTCTTACTGTGTTTGCATTAGTTCCCAACACTACAGAATTCCTTAATGCTATTTCCTTTGCCATTGGTGGTAATGTGGCATTATCGATGGAAATTGGTTCTGCATACGCATTACAAGTTGTCCTTATTCAAATCCCCTGTTTGGTGTTGTATTCCATGGTGCAGAACTTCACCAACGTCGACCAAGTATTCCCCTTGGTATTCCCCCGTTGGGACATTATCGCGACATTAATTTCCATATATTTATTTACGTACATTTATGCCGAAGGCAAGCTGAACTACTTCAAAGGGGTGATTCTTATCCTTATTTATTGTGTGGTTTTGATTGGATTCTGGTTTAATGATATCATGGAGGACTTGAATGATGAGTATTCCGGATTGGCTCAGATGATCAAGTTCTCATTGGGCGGCGGGATGTAAGTTTTATTTTTATTATTATTTTTTTCTTTCTATATAATCTAATTGTTGAATATATATATTCTACCTTCGTATGGTGTGAGCTTATCACTGGAAGTCTCCTTATTGGAAATTAACAAGCGGTTGTCCTTGTTGGGGAGTGTGAATGGCGCATTGTCGGTACTAAAGTTGATCACGACATATGCCGATTGTGTTTCACCGGTTTTTATAAATGTAAACACCTTTGGGTTCTCCCAATCGACAATTTCAAAATGTCCATAGATGAAGATATCTTTGTACTTCTTTCTCAATTTGAGCATCTCCCTCCAGAACAAAAGCAAGGAGTTCTTATCTTTCAATTGCAGTTTCACGTTGACTTCAGGATAGTTGTCATTAACTCTCATCCATGGCTTAACCTGGGAGAACCCAGCATAGGGGGAATCATCCCATTGAACCGGAGTCCTTGCATTATCACGAGCAAGATAGTTAATCTTGGTCATGAGATCATTAACTTGGTCTTCACAGGCGTTTGGGTTCTTGGACTTGAATTGTTTGTAGTAGTTAAGTGTGTTTATATCCAAATAATCATCGATTTTCCAATCACGAGGAACATTGACCATCCCGATTTCCTGACCTTGGAATATGAATTCTGTTCCAGTAAGACAACATTGGAGTAATGCCAATGCCTTACCAGAGATCTCACGATATTCAGGAGAATCGTTTCCAAATCGGGTAATTGATCTGGGGAAGTCGTGGTTCTCAATAAACACAGTACTCCATGCGTCTGTACCTTCAATAAACTCACCCTGTGACTTGATAGCTTTCTTGAAATCAAGCAAATTGAATCCTTTGTATCTGAATCTATCGGCAGGATCAGATCCTACTTCGACAACATCAAACAAAAACATCATATTCATTTCTTTTTGTTGTTCACTAACATATTTCAAACTTTCTTCACGAGTAGAATGCCCCACTTCACCCACGGTCATTACATCATAGGGCGACATTAATTCAGCAAGTTTCTTGTGGAATTCATGGATCCTTGGTCCATGTTGATGATATATTTTACAAGGTTGGAATTCAGATTCTGGATATGTGATTGGGGCATCTTTGAAATGTTGATGTTTGGAGTACATACCAGCAGTATCGATTCTAAATCCATCAACTCCACGTTTTAACCAGAATTCCACAGCTGATGCATGGATTGACCTTCTAGTATCATCATTTTCCCAATTGAGGTCAGGTTGTGATTCTGCAAACAAGTGAAGGTAATATTCATCAGTTGTCTCATCGTACTTCCATGCAGATCCTGAAAAGTAAGACAGCCAATTGTTAGGAGGATGACGATTACCGTGTTCGTCGTACCTTGGTGGTTTCCAAATATACCAGTCCCGTTTAGGATTAGTCTTGGACGATCTCGATTCCTTAAACCAAGGGTGATCAACACTAGTATGATTAATCACTAAATCCAAAATCAATTTCATCCCACGAGAATGACACTGGCTTATCAATTCGTCCATGTCTTTCAAAGTTCCATATTTAGGATATACATTCTCATAATTGGAAATATCATACCCCATGTCATCCTGAGGAGAGTCGTACATTGGACTTAACCAAATTACATCAATCCCCAAGTCCGAGAGGTAGTCCAAGGTAGAGATAATTCCAGGGATGTCTCCAATCCCATCATTATTCGAGTCTTTGTATGATGCTGGCCAGATTTGATATACGGTGGCTTCTTTCCACCATTTAGTAGTTGGTTTGGTCATGTTTGTTAGCTGCACAGAATGGAAACAGTCAGATCAAGGGTATGCTGTGCGAGTTATATAGTTTAGGATGGAGGGGAAAAGGGCCCGCAAAATTTAGCGAGAAACAGTGCGAGATTCGTGGGAACAATAGAGTGGGACAAACTCCTATTTGATGGATGTTAGCACGTTGATTTAACCGTATTCGGGGTTGATTAGTAAGTCACCCCTCTATTTGGATGAGGCTATGTAGAAGAAGATGGAATCTGTGGAGGGAGGAGGAGGAGGAGGGGGGAACTAAACATAAAAAGTGAGATATTCTTTAAGTTCCTCCTGGAAAGAAAGTGTTGCCAAATCGGATTGACCCAACCTGCGAGATTGATAAAGGGACAATGTAACAAAAGCAATTGATTGCTCTGCACAAGTGGCAAAGTTCAATTGACTGTTTGATCTGCATTAATAATCAATTGAATGTAGTACAAGGCTGTAGTGTGGCTTTGCAACAGTGTGTTGTTTGGAATTCAAAAGCTACAATTCGCGCGTAGTTGTAATTTGTCAGCCAAGCTCTCGCCACCCCAGATTGTTTTACCCACCACACAGTACCATGCCAGGACTTCGCTACGACAAATTCATTCTCTTTGGAGACTCAATCACCCAATTCAGCAATAGCCAACAAGATGGATTCGCATTCCAACCGGCAATTCAGGATCTTTATCAACGTAAGCTTGATGTGATCAATCGTGGTTATTCCGGATACAATTCGAACCATGCTCGTGAAATTCTTCCTGAAATCCTCAAAGCCGAACTTAATCTGGCCAAAGATAATGTCAAACTCTTGACTATTTTCTTTGGTACTAACGATGCATTCCAAATTGAGGACGAAACCAACAAGGTTCAATCAGTCGAGGTTGAAAAATATAAAGAAAATTTGAATGCGATGGTTGAACTAGCATTGGCTAACAATATCAAACCGGTGATTGTTGGACCTGGTATTCATGATTGTAAACGAGTTCGTCTTTTTTTCACAGACAGACCTACGGAAAAAGCCCCAGTTACAAACAAGAGATTGTTAGATTATTCAAATGCTGCCAAGGAAGTAGCCGCCAAACATAAAGTTGCATTTGTTGATACTTGGAACGCATTCAGAGAATATGGAGGATGGACTGAACAGCAATTATTTGATGCTACAGGATTGGGTGAATGGGAAGTGGGTACTTTAGAACATTTAGTTCCTGACGGGGTGCATTTCAGTCCATTGGCTTATAAGATTTTGTATGAGAAACTAATTGAGGCAATTGATAAGAACTATCCTGAATTAAACGCTGATAAGTTACCTGAAAAGTTATCTTACTGGAGAGATCTTGATCCAAGCAATTACAAAAACCTCATATTTAACAAAGGAGATTTAGACAATTAGAATAGAACTGTATTTACCTTCTAATAGAACATGCCTGTTTTTTTTTATTGTTTTTGTATTCCCCCGAGAACGAGGGGGGGAGAAATTGTCCCGCATTTTTCACCTTTCCCAAATAGGAACCAATCCCGAACCACAAATTCTATATAAACCTGGAGTTTTTACCCCAGCAAATTCTTCTTCTTGTTGTTTCTACACCGAGATAATGCACACTTCAACCTTAACCAATTGGCAATATCGCCAATCAGGCAAATCTGAATGGAAGAACTCCCGCCCGGGTGCAACCACCGAAATCCACCCCGATTTATTATACAATAATGAAATCTCTGATCCGTTTATTGACATGAATGAAAAGCAAGTTCAATGGATTGGTGAAACCAACTGGGAGTATCGTACAACATTCAAAGCATCTTCTGCTAGTTTCAAAAACAATGTATTGGTATTTGAAGGATTGGACACTTTTGCCAAGGTTTACCTTAACAACACCCCCATTTTAACCACCGAGAACATGTTTCGAGAATATCGTGTTGACATAACCCAATACCTCAAGCCAGACAACGAATTATTGATTGAATTTGAAAGTGGAATTGTCAAAGCCAGACAATTGGAAAAGGAAGCAGGATTAGGTAAGCTTGCTAGTTTCAATGGTGGTTCTGAAAGACTCCATGCTCGTAAAGCTCAATACCATTATGGTTGGGATTGGGGGCCAGTTTTGATTACGTGTGGGCCATACAAGCCAGTTAAGTTTATTAGCTATGACACTTTGATTAAAGATGTGTATGTCAAGGTTGATGTTGATAACCTTACTGTTGCCAAGATAGATATTCAGACTGAGCTTGAAACCGATGCCCCTACAAAACTTGATTATATAATTTTGGATCCGGAAGGGGCTGTAATTGAAGAGTTTACTCAAGACGTTTCTGAATCAGCCACTGTTTCCAAGAAAGTCACGATCAACAATCCCCAGTTGTGGTATCCATTTAGCCATGGTGAGCAACCACTTTACACCGTACAAGTGTCAACCACTTCCCAAACAATAACTAAACGTATTGGTATCCGAAAAGTTGAACTTATTCAAGAACTGTTGATTGATCAGTCTGGTAGTAGTTTCTACTTCAAAATCAACAATGTTCCAGTCTACTCTACTGGTTCCAATTGGATTCCTGCCCATTCCTTCCAAACGTCATTAACTGCAAAGGACTATAGTGAATGGTTACAACTCGCAGTCAATGGTCATCAAAACATGATTAGAATCTGGGGTGGTGGATACTACGAACAAGACATTTTCTACGAGGAATGTGATAGATTGGGTATCATGGTCTGGCAAGATTTCATGTTTGCCTGTGGTCAATACCCTGGTGATGCCAAGTTCATAGCCAACGTTGCTGCAGAAGCAGAGCATCAATTGAAGAGATTAAGAAACCATTGTTGTTTGACTATTTATGCTGGTAATAATGAAGATTATCAAGTTGCCGAGCAATGTGGATTGGAATGGGATCCACTGGACTTGTCAGGGGATTATTCACACACTACATTCCCTGCAAGAACAATTTATGAAAATACTTTGCCCAAATTGGTACAAAAGCTACAATCTGATGTTCCTTATCATCCAGGTTCCCCCTGGGGTGGTGATGGGACTGCTGATCCTACAATTGGGGATATGCATCAATGGAATGTGTGGCATGGTAGTCAAGAAAAGTACCAGAATTGGTATAAACTTGGAGGTAGGTTTGTTTCAGAATTTGGAATGGAAGCATTGCCCAACAGAAAGACCTACGAGCAATGCATTACCGATTCTACTGAGCTTTATCCACAAAGTGAAACCGTAGACCATCATAACAAGGCCGATGGATTTGAACGTCGTCTTGCTTTGTACGTCATTGAAAATATCAAGGTTCAAGGTCTTGATTTCGATTCTTGGATTTATGCTACTCAATTAATGCAAGCAGAATGCTTGGGGTATGCTTATAGATGTTGGAGACGTGAATGGAGGGGTGATGGCAAGAGATACAATGGTGGTACTATTGTGTGGCAGATTAATGATTGTTGGCCTGTGGCTTCTTGGTCTCTTGTCGATTTCTATAGACGCCCTAAATTAGCTTACTATTCCGTTAAACGTGAAAGTAAACCTGTCGGTGTGGGGATTTATAGATACGAGAAACGAGATGGAGAGATTGTCGAAGATGCCAAGTTTGGTGCAGCTTTTGATTATAGACCAAAGACATTTTCTGTGGACATTTGGGGTGTTAATGCTAATACTGAAGACCTCCCAGCTACTCTCAAAGTTGACATTTATGAAGTTGCAACTGGAGAAAAGTTGAAATCGTTACCTGACCAGGAAGTAGTTCTTACTGGTAATCTGACTACTGAAGTTATCAAGGATTTAGATATTCCAAGTGATAAACATGTTGTTGTTCATGGATATTTTGTGTCGAAAGGAGAAGTCATCGCCAGTGCTGGTGATTGGCCGCAACCATTAAAGTATTTGAAATTCAATGATAGAAAAGTTGATTTTAAAGTTGAGGATGGGTCTGTCAGTTTGAGTTCAGACAAACCAATTAAAGGTGTTGAAATTCTTGTTGATCGAGATGTGTTTTTGCAAGATAATGGGTTTGATTTGTTTCCAGGACAAGTACATAAAGTTGAAGCTCCACAGCTTAAGAAGAGTGATAAGGTTGGCGTTAGATACTATAAATAGTGAGATATACACCCTCCGCAGTAAAATAATTTAAAATTTGCAACAAATTTGCAGCTAATTCAACTAGTCATAAATTTATTATTCAAATCAACTTACAATTTTATAGTCTTCAGTTCCAGAACAATATTATATCACAAATCCATAAACTAGTACATTCCTAGTGCACATTTGTACTTCACATCCAATTTAAACGGCTATACTTCTGATTACCTGCACCGGAGAGTACTGCGCGATCCCGGACATATAGATTTTTTTTTTTAATTTTTCACTAAAGAAATGACTCAACGCTTCCTTATAATCATCCGTACTCAACAGATCCACCATGAATAAAACACCATTCACAATAGTGGTTAAACTCGGTACCTCATCTCTAGTAGATGAAGAGTCTCGCGAACCACGTATTGCCAATATGTCACTTATAGTAGAAACAATTGTCAAATTGCGACGTCAAGGTCATCGAATCATCATCGTGTCCTCAGGAGCCATTGCCTTTGGGATGAAACGAGTGGGGATGGATGCGAAGCCAAGCAAGCTTGCTGCAGTACAGGCACTTGCATCCATTGGACAAGGTAGGTTGATTGGGTTGTTTGATAATTTGTTCAGGCTGTTGGCTCAACCAATTGCCCAGATCTTAATTACCAGAAACGACATTATGGATTTCACTCAGTATAAGAATGCCAAAAACACTATAAATGAATTATTGGATATGGGAGTTATTCCAATTGTCAATGAAAATGATACTTTGTCAGTTTCGGAAATTAAGTTTGGTGATAACGATACGTTGTCCGCTATAACTGCTGCCATGATTCATGCTGATTACTTATTTCTTATGACCGATGTGGAGTGTTTGTATACTGACAATCCAAGGGCTAATCCTGATGCCAAACCTATCTTGATTGTGGATAAAATAGAAGACCTTAATGTGAATACAGATACCGAAAATGGACAAGCTGGTTCAAAAGTGGGAACTGGGGGTATGACTACAAAGTTAATTGCTGCAGAATTAGCTACTAATGTGGGCGTCACTACTATTATCACATTGTCTAGCCAGCCTCATTATATTCTTGATATTGTTAATCATATCCAATCACAAAATAACTCTAATTTGTCAATTGATGAACAGCGAGTCATGCTTGCCAATGATGTCACCCAGGGAAAGATTCCATTACATACCCAATTCTTGGGATTACCACAAGATACACAAATCAAATCTGACAGAAGATTCTGGTTATTGCATGGATTAAAGACTAAAGGTGCGTTGATTATTGACCTGGGATGTTTTGAAGCATTAACTAGAAGAAACAGAGCTGGGTTATTACCAGCTGGGATCATTGAAGTTCTTGGAAACTTCCATGAAAGTGAATGTGTGTCGATAAAAGTCATTGCAGACAAGAGCTTACCCTTGTCAGAGGCAGTTGAAGTTGGTCATTGCCGTGTAAATTATCTGGCCACTGAAATCAGAATGATTAAAGGACACAAGAGTAGAGATATTGAAAAGATATTGGGGTTTGCTGATAGTGAATATGTTGCACATAGAGACAATTTGGCATTCCCGCCAGTTATGCCCCCATCGGCTACTCCCACTCCAAGGAATTATTGAAAGACTTTTTATAGTTAGTACTATGCGAGTATAGTGTAAATGGATGTTATATAGCGCCGCCACGTTGTACTGCGTCAAGAATTATTCCAGTAATAGAACAAATTTCAATAGTATTGAATTTTAGTTACCAATTTGATCCTAAAGTTTGCTCCTTTGTGACGATATTCTTCTGCAGCTAGATCTAAACTATGTAAGCTGTGTGACTTGAAAATAATCCAGTACAATTACCATACCTACATCTATAAAGACCCCAATCCATTCACATGATCCAAGAATGAATATACCAAATCTTGTAGGAGAATTGCATTCTAGGGTCATATCAATAATGATACCAAACTACAAACCTAACATGATTGTTAATATGGTGCTTATTAAACCTATTGAATGAACCTAAACCTTGTCAATTGTATACAAGTGTAAGTTAAATGTAGGAAAGTTCTCACCCTTGTTATACACCAACACTGGCCCTGTGGTTGTCCCACACAATTTGCCCGAAAATTCCCACTAACATAAAATTTGACTCCTGCACACAAACATTGAGTAGTAGAATGCAAACACAAATGGATTTACAACAATTTACCCAAAAGGCAACACTTTTGGAACTAACTAATTACTATGAACATCAATGATACTAACGCATTGAACTACCAAATCAGTCCGTTCATAACCAATCTATCACTATCCGAGGATGAACTCATCTCCACAACAACCACATACGAATCTAATGTTTATATCGGCACCACCAAGGGAATCATACTACATTATCACCACTTTGATGATGTACCTGAATACATACTAATATCACAACTACAAATCTCAGAAATGCCAATAACTCGAATTCTAATACTACCTGTATCGAAACGAGTAGTAGTGTTGGCTGGCCGAATAGCACAAGTTTATTCACTCCCTGAACTTTCCCCATGTCATATCAAACGCATGAAAGATATAAACGATATAGCACTTTTACGTATAGAAAACCAACCAGACTCGATTCTTGTACTATCACCTACCAAAGTTCGAATAATCCAGTTACATGGGGAGCAAATCAAAATTGTTCGTGAGATCCATTATACCAACGCTATAGCTGGAGATTCATTCAATCCCGCAAATTTGATCGTGATTGCCGACGGAAGTAATTATGATATTATTGATATAGAACATAATCGGAAAATTCCCTTATTTGAATATAGAACTGATCAAGAAGTGAGTCCGATATTGACTTCATTCTATGCTAACGACACCAATCAAAGTGAATTACTCTTGACTATCCTGTCAGATGTATCGACGGCCATAGCTATGTTTATAAATGGTACCGGAGATGTCACAAGAGGAACTTTGACTTGGGTTGGTGAAGGATATCCTAACGGAGGTGTTGTCATCGAATGGCCGTATGCACTTGCAATATTCAACTCGGAAGAGAAATCTAAATTAGTTGTGTCTTCGTTAGAAAGTCTTGATATTACAATTGCAATGAATTTATCTGATTTTAAGCAGCTGGAAAGGATAGAAAAGAATGAGGCCATAGAAACAGACAAACACTATTCAATTAATAAGTTGGATAAGTTTCTTTCTATTGAGGATGTATCAGTGAAGCACCTTCTCTCGACCAAAGATAGAAATGGTGAATTAACCCAACCATTGTCAAGAATAACAACAGATATACTCATACACAACCAAAAAGAAATATGGTCAATTCATAAAACCAACCCAATAATAGAAATACATAATCTGTTCATGCATGCCCTTGAAACTGAAAATTTCGAGGAGTTTCTTAAAAAAGACATTTCCCATTTAGCTGAGGAATCCAAGAATTATGCTATACATTTACAATTTCTTGCAGTATTACATTCGAAAATGGATAATATATTAACCTTTGCATTGAAACAATATCTAAATGGACCTATAATATCGCCTAAATTAGTATTACACCTCCTTGGTGGCTCAGAATATAAATATGATAAAGTGTTTGTCGGATTAGAAAAAATAATTGAGGATTGGAAAGATGAACCTGATTTAGAGCTCTTGAAACGATACATTACGGCATTGCCATCTCAATATTGGACTCCCGAGCTTAGACGAGCATATTACAGAAACGCAACCGAATCAGAAGTCTTGGAGTTTTTCAAGAAGGATTCATTTTGGAATTCATATGATGACTTAAATAAGGAGCTTATAGAATTGTTTATTACTAAGTCCTTGAGCGGTGCAATACTAGAGGCATACGAGACATTATTTGAACATGATAATGATAATCGTTTGCAGATAGCCAGCTTATATGCAAACATACTATCGGAAGATCTATCACGCAAGCACATTCACACGGCAATTAAATTACTTGGCAGTAATACTCTCACCGATAAAGATTATGGAAAGTTACTTCTTGAAGTGATCAGAGTAGACAAGGACAAAGGTGTTGAATTTATGAGATCAAAAGCTGCAAAACGCTACAATGATATAAACAGAGCTGTAACCAAAGAACTTTCAGATTCATCCAAGGGATTTGCTATATTGCTGATTGAACTATTGGAATCTTCCTTCTTGGAAGATACAGAAAATCAGGAAATATTTGATGAATTGCTAGAGACAATAAGTACCACCATGATTTCCTCCACTGTATGTTCTGAAGAAGCAGAAGCATCATATGATCTTTTATTGAGGGAGTATGAAGCAATTAATTCTCTAGAGAAAGACAAATGGCCCAAGATATCTTGGTTGGATTTTGTTAGTATTAGTGGGAAATCCAAGGACTCAGAAACTTTATTTGTATTATACTTGAAATCATTTGAACTCTGTTGGGTAAAATACCACAAATATGGCAAGGTATATACTACGCCAGACCATAAGCTCTTTCAATATCATCAGTTCATTGCTCAACCAAATATTGAGAAGTTACTTGCATTCCATGATTACAGCAATGCAGAAACAGTGGCTATTATAAACCAATTAGCATTACCCAAGCAAACATTCTATTTTCCAAAGTTTACCCCAGAACAAAAAAAGATAGAGGAACAACAAGTTCAACAATCTTTGCTTGGAATATTCAAATTCTATTTGAAATTATATGAAGAAGAAAGAAAGGTTGAGCCAGCAATTGAGCATTTCGTGGAAACCTACAGTAAAAGTCACATATCACCTGTTGACTTACTAGAGATCATCCCCAATTCGTTCCCTTTAATATACCTTCTCAAGTTCCTCGAACATGCCATTGTCGATCTCAAACTGAGTTCCCGTGAAACTAACATTCGTAAAGTGGTAACCAAGTCAGAATCATCACGTATTAAAAAGTTATATCAAGATTTTCTTACTGTATAGATATAGATCTAATTCTATTTACAAGAAGCCAAGCAATAACAAGATGTAATCAGCAGCAATACCAAACAAGAAAATAAACCCAGTATTAATGTTGGAGGTGAATGCGCTCCAACAACTTTTTTGGTCATCTAAATCAACCTTGGAGATTCTGTTGTATAACCTACCAATAGCATAAGCGCCAGCAATGTAGAAACATGGACCCATGGAATTCATGACTCCGGCTAAAGTGTAGAATCCAGCTTGGGCAACAGTTAATCCCTTCATGATTGGTTTGGACTTGTCGCCCCAAGCCAAGGCCGTGGATTTAATACCAGCATGAATATCAAACTTTTTGTCTTGATGAGCGTAAATGGTATCATAAGTCAAACACCAGATCCAATTGGATATAAATAAAGGAATAGCTACCCATAAGTTAAGAGGAGCACCCACGGCTGGGAAACCCAAGAGACAACCCCAACTATAACAGATCGAAAGCATGGCCTGGGGATAGTATGTGAATCTCTTGAATAATGGGTATGCTGCCACGAACGGTAATGCTAAAGCACCCAAGGCAAAACATTGACTAGGCAAACTTAATAGGATACCCAACCCGGCAAAACATTGTACACCCATCCACCCAACTGCTTGAGGAACCGAGACTCGGCCACTGGTGATTGGACGTTCCATAGTTCTAGCCACTTGGTTATCTAGGTTTCTATCCCAGATATCGTTAATTGTACATCCTGCTCCTCTCATAATCACAGCACCAACAGAGAATAACCCAATGGCGGTGAGCGTGGTAGATAATGGTGCGTGAATGGAGTAGGAGGCCATGGTGATCCCCCACATTGATGGAATTAATAATAGCCAGGTACCCACTGGTTTCTCCAACCTCATTAGTTCAAAGTACGGGATCCATTTCTCGGGTAATTTAGATAACCATCCTAAACCTGCCAATCTGGCTAATCTTGCAGCTTCAAGTTCTTCTGGTTTGAATTTTGATCTTGCGATTTCAAGTTGAGTCAAGGGTTTGGCAGGGGTGGTGGCAGTGGCGGTAGTTGGAGGAACCGAGTTCAAGACAATTCTTGTCAGAGCAAGGTTTCTTGTTATTATGTGTCTTAACCCAAGAGGTTTTTGACGTATCAATGATCTCCAGAGTGTTGTGGTGTTCATTGGTGATCTCTTTGTGGTACAAGCAACTAAAAATCACTAGACGAGAAATTTTTCGCGCTTTTCAATTCACCCGACAAGATCGGTGATTGGAAGATGGTCAAGGTAAACAGAGGTTATGCCATTTGTAAATCCTGGTCAGCACCAAACGCTTCAAACTCTTGCTCATTGCCCTGTTGAAATCTTTCTCTCATAACTCTATGCCCATCAATCAACGTCTTTAAATTGATCAACACGTCACTGGTTTGTTCTGGTTCTTTGAAAGTGAAGATTTGACGACACATAGGACATAATCCTTTAGAGCTCTCTTGTTCTAGCCATTTTAATATACAATGCAAGTGGAAATTATGGGTGCACCCTGATCCAAGGACAATGGGACAATCATCACCGGGGTATTTACAATTAGGACAAGTTCCATCAAACGATACACGACAAATCCCGCATAATTCTTCAACGTATCCTGAATCATCGGCCGATGTAGCCAAATCCCAATGCCAGGTGGCGAATGACTTCCATTCTAGAATCTTAACCTTCATGGTGAGGGTGTGGGGATGTGAGTAGAATGGCGTGTTGCTAACGTTGGTTGTCAAAACAAAACAAAACAGTGACATTTTTATCTGCCAATTTGCGCGGCAGGAAATTCTGTCTGCAAAATTGCAAAAAAAAAAAAGATCTATCACTTTTGTATATTACATTTCTATCTACGACTTTTTATAAACTAATCCTTTAAAAATGTCAAATGAGTTTCCATCAGGTTGCAAATGTAAAACTTCATGATTGTTAACATCTTCAGCAATAAGCAATCCATAATCTGGAGTTATGCCCTTGATTACACAAGTTCTTGGTTTTCCATCGGCACCATTGACAGCCACTTTCTGTTCAGAATGGAACCAACGCTTATAATAAAGTGGAAGGAATGGACTCAACCCTGCCTTCTCAAACACAGGGAAGAACAGGTTTACTGTATGCATAAGTTTAGCCAACAACTTTTCCGGCTCATAGTGGGGTAATAAAGGCAAACCTTGCTTCTCTCTAATCAAGTTTAATTTCTGCAATACCAAGTTCAACGACGTGGTTGGTGCTGGATTAGACACATTTACACCACCACCCCATACTAAATAGAATTGACCATTCAAGTACTGCGAATTAATTAAGGCTCCTGAGACTTTAGAATATTTTTCATCGTCTCCTTCGACAGTACTACTGACATCATTCTTATCAGCTAATGAGTTGAAATATTCCGGTTTCAAAATGTAGATATCATTAGGCCATTTCAAACGCAATGGCATGTCTTCATATCCTACTCCCTTGCCGGATTCGGTACTTCCATATCCCAAAATTGCTTCAATCAAAGCTAACCCACACAAATACTGCATGGTTACCACCGAGGAAGAAGATTTGGCTGATTGAGAAATCTTGAACAAGATAGAAGTTGCCAATACTCCCTTTGGGTTGATCCAAACATTACCACCACGGCCTCTACCGGCAATTTGCGTAGTTGCAGTCAAGGTGAATCCAGCAGGAAGATGTTCTAGCCAATGAGGATTCTTTTCAAGAATTGTGTTTGTGGACGTTGTAACCTCAGCATATCCGAGTATATTTCCATACTGCCCGATGTTCCCTTTAGATAATTCTTTCAAATGTTCAAAATATTTGTTCATGTTGAAATAAGGTGTCATTTTGTTTGTTGGGATAGTTCCTGAAGTCATGAATTTCACATGCTTGGTAGCTTTAGTTGGATCTTCAACGTCAATACGTTCATTTTCAACATGGTATTCTTCGTGTGACTCATCTTGGAATACAAATACATCATTATTGTCTTGGAAGAAACCGTTCTTGATGTCCAAATTAGTTTTCAAATCTTGGTATATTTGTCCAATGTTGGCTACGGGTGAAGCAACTATCAATGGAGTCACATTAGGTATTGACGCATCGACATTTTCACTAACTCTCAATCCCAATTTCTTCAAGCACGCTTTAGTGAATAACTTTCTATCATGATCGTTTTCCTTTAATTTTTCAATCACAGTGGTGAATTTATCATCATGTTCATGTTGGAAGGGTTTCAATAAGTTGTAGGAAAATTCAGGATGAGTTCCTGTAAGTAGCACTCTACCCTTTCCAACTTTCCTAAACACAACTGCTGCTTTGTCTATGTCATCCACGTCGATTCGCTCATCATATCGTGCTAAAACTTCCACATCTTTGTATTTACTTGCATTAATAAACACACCACCACCGTTGTAATAATGATACACACTGGAAGGACAGTCAGGTAAGATACTAGTATTCACGGAAACTTGGACTGCCCGTGCACCGGCATGAGATTCATATTGGAACCCCTTAAATGCACATCCTCTCTTTGCATCTGGGTAAAATGCCAATTCTCGAGGACCGGAAACTTCCATAACTGGATTGCCAATCTCAAATTCACACCTAGCTGCTGCGAAATAGGCACCGGCACAGAAACCCAAGTATGCCCCACCTTGTTTGACATAACTTGCTATTTTTCTATTCCCGTTCCCGTTCAACACGTTACAGTAGGGTAAATCGGCTCCTCCAGGCATGACCAAGAGTGATGTCTTGCGCATCCATGGTTCGTTTAGAATGACTGATTCAGACACAGGAAGAACAGCATAGTATGAGGATAAGTGGAATCTGAGTGATTCTACACAGTGTTTGACACTTTCAGTGGTAGTTCCAGGACCGGAATATACCAACACGTTCATGGCTTGTCTGACTCGCTGAATGGTGAATGGTGAATGGTGAATGGTTGTAAAAGTGATCTTTATTGAAATTTAGTAAATGTCGCCGCACAAACGAAACAGACAGACAGACAGACAGGCAAAAAAAAAAAATTCTTGATCTGACTAACAGAGTTGAGTCAAAGGAAAATTCACAATAATCATCACTAGTCATCACAATGTCCTTGATTGAAGAACAGGAGAAAGTGACACTCCATCCAAAGCCTGGATTTGTAGTCAAGACTAAAATCCTAGAATCAAAAAACTTGGCGAGAATCTCCACCAAGGTATTTATAAATATCTGCCATGATGAGCAGGTGCCTAAACCACCACAAGATTTCGAACCAGAAATCGTGTTCCCATTAATCATAGAAAATCAATGGGAAATACCGATAATTGTATCGAGTGAGAAGGAAACTAAGGATAAGAAGGGATTTCCTAGTTTGGTATATGACTGCTGTATAAACAGTCGATGTTTCCAATGGTGTCAAATAAGTAAAGATTTACGATTGATTTTAATTGAGTGGTGCATTGAATCTATCGAGTTGTTGAATGAATTGACATTGGAAAGAGAGTACACGATACCGAAAATGTTAGCCAAGGGTGAACTTACGCAAACTATGGTCACGAAAAGTGAATTGGAGAATTCTCTTCAAAAGAAGTTGCAAGAATTGAAACAGAATGAGACATTGGGACTAATTGAAGAAATGGCAATTGATGAAGAAGACGAAGAAGACAATGGACAATTACCCGACCTTATGAACATCAATAACAAACCAAACAAGAATTTAATTGAGGAAATTGAACCAAGCACTACCAAGACTCCAGCCGCTAAGCCGGTGCCATCACTGCCACCACTGAAAACTGTGGCAGAAACTCTTCTTAGTTATGACATCAACGTGACAAAGATAGAATCACATCCAGATTACAAACTTGCAATTGCATTTTCCTGCCCTCAAATATCCAGCAGCAAAGACATTGACATACAATATTCACCATCTTCATCCACCCTCGTTATAACAAACAAGCTTCCTGGCTTCGTATTCAGTAAAACCTCGTCCGATACTAATCGGTTGGTAATTCCGCTCGCACGTGACGTCATTTTTAACAAACGGAATTTAAAAAGTTTCTTTTGCGCCGATAACAAAATTTTCATCTTTCTTTGAGAAATTAGCGCGAGTGCAATTACCGGAACAGGCAATAGGCGCGGAAATTACATATATTAGTAATTTTACACAATCAATTGATTGTTCAAATATATAAAGCCCCCAGCAATTGCAATAATTTCATGCTACAGAGGTATATTTTTCCTTTTGCTGCATCGTATGCTAGGTCACCATGAATCTCAATACCGAAGAGACTCTTTTAACTCAAAACGCTGAGTATCAGCACTATGACGCTATACTTCCTGATGAAGAAGCTGAAAAGGTCACTATCACATCCGTACTGGAATTGAAAAGAATATCCATATCCTCCATACCCTTGGTCCTCACATTCACATTACAATATTTCCTTTCCATAACGTCCATGTATGCTGCCGGTAGATTAGGTGCTAAGGAATTAGCTGCTTGTTCATTGGCATTATGTACATTTAACATAACTGGGTTAGCAGTATACCAAGGGATGGCTAGCAGTTTGGATACATTTTGTTCCCAAGCTTTTGGGTCAGGCAATATCAAAATGGTGGGTGTATACTTCCAAAGATGTTCAGTTATCATATTAACCATTTCCGTTCCATTGGTGATACTTTGGTTCAATTCCGGTGCCATTTTGAAAACTATGGTTCCTGATGCAGAATTGGCAGAAATGGCAGAAACCTTCTTGAAGATACATGCAATTGGTGCACCAGGATTAATCTTGTTTGAAACCGGCAAAAGATTCTTGACGGCTCAAAACATCTTCAATGCTGGAAGTTATATCTTAGTTATGATAATCCCTATAAATTTAATTTTGAATTGGTTGTTGGTGTGGCACCCAACTTATGGACTTGGTTATAACGGTATCGCCTTGGCCATTGTGATAACATACTGGTTAATTGATTTTTTCATGTTGGCATATGTGGTATTCATTGACGGTAAACAGTGCTGGGGAGGGTTTGATTTAAGAAAGGCATTTACTAATTGGAAGCCAATGTTATCATTAGCTATTCCTGGGGTCATTATGGTCATTGCCGAGTTCTTGGCTTTTGAAGTGTTGACTATTCTTGCAGCAAGATTCGGAACCGAATCACTTGCAGCCCAATCCATTGCTTCCAATGTTGCATCCTTAGCATTTCAATTGCCATTTGCCATTGCCGTGGCGTTAAGTACCAATATTGGTAATTATGTGGGACAAAAGAATGTTGCTGCTGCCAAATGTAATTCGAATCTTTTTGCAATTTTAGCTTCATGTACGGGGACAATCAATTTTGCCATTATGTTCTTTGGTAGGCACACTATTGGGAAATTGTTTACCAATGACGAAAAGGTTCTTACTATAACCACTACTTTGCTTATCCTTACTGCCATAAACCAATTTGGAGATTCATTGGTGGTTATTGGATCGGGTGTTCTTCGTGGCCAAGGACGTCAAAGAATAGGATCAATCTTGAATATGATTTCTTATTACTTGGTTGCATTACCGGTTGGGTTTTACTTGGCATTTAACTGTCATTTGGATTTGAATGGATTATGGTTGGGGTTGATTACTGGGGTGGCATTTTTATCAATAAGTACATTTATTGCCGTTTATTTAAGTAACTGGCCTCAAATTATTGAAAAGTCACATGGAATGCATGATAGCATATAGTCGTACATAGTTTAATTTGCATATTTTAATTGTTTTTAAACCTTTAGTGTTTATAGTGTATGGTTTTTTTTGCAGTCATCGCAGAAAATGCAACATCGGAAAAAGAAAGAAAAAAAAAAAAATCTTACTCCCTTTATCTCTAAGCAAGAACCTGTACCAGCACACCAATCATGGCTCCGCGAAGAAAGTTTGATAAGAAGAATGCAACTACATTCAACATAGTCCATCGTGCGCACGATGATGCCAAGTTTTACGATGAAGAAGCATCAGAACACGTGTTAGTACCAGCTGCATCCAAACAACCACAACAGACCAAGAAGAAAATCTACACTCCTAATGAACTCAAGGAGAAGCTCGCCAGTGATGAAATCAGAGAGAATGAAGGTATGGCTGCACAGTATGGGATTTTCTACGACGATTCCAAGTACGATTACATGCAGCATCTTAAACCCATGGGACAACAGGATAGTGTTTTCATTGGGGTCGATGAAAAACCTAAAAAGGAGACCAAGATCGAGGATTTGTTCAAAGATCAGCTTCCTTCAGAACAGACGAGAAAGATTGGCCACGATTTGAATGAAAGTATACCTAAAGAACTTCAAGGGTTTAATCCAAACTTGGATCCTAGGTTGAGAGAAGTGTTGGAAGCATTGGAAGACGAGGCATATATTGAGGGAGAAGAAGAGGAAGGCGAAGGTGATATCTTTAATGATTTGTTGCAATCTGGTGAAGTGGAAGATGAGCAAGAGTTTTATTATGGGTCTGATGCTGAAGCTTACGATGAAGACTATGATGAATGGGATTTAGATAATTATGAAGAGGAGTACAACAAAAAGTACGAGCAAGGTGAGCCAAAGGAGTATAATCATGACGAAATTACTGATGAAGTACCGGAAATCCACCAAAACTGGCAAGGTGTCATGCAGTTCAAGAAGGAAAACAAGAATAAAGTCAATGACTGGGATTCAGATGACGATTTCGAAGACGAAGACGAACAAGACGAAGAAGAAGAAGAATATGATGCTCTTGGAGATTTACCTAAAATTGACAACAAAAAGAAATCAAAGACTAAGTTGAGAAAGAAGAAAGGTGCCATGACTGATACTTCTTCCTTTTCCATGTCATCATCAGCATTATTCAGAACCGAAGGGTTAACTTTACTAGATGACAGATACGAACAGTTGAATAAGAAGTTTGAAGAAGATCCACAAGAGGAAGAAGAGTATTCCCCATTCAATATGGAGGAGGAAAGAGGTGATTTCGAAAGTATGTTGGATGATTTCTTGGACAATTACGAATTAGAAAGTGGTGGAAGAAAGCTTGCAAAGAAAGACGAAGAAAAGAAGAAATTACAAAATGCAGCTGATTCAGTCTCGAGAGGTAAAGTAGCCAAAGCGAGAATGAAGGGACTTTCCCTGTCATTTGACAATATGAAGATATAGACGCTTAATAGAGTATATAGAAAATCAAGGGTAGTGTACTTTGACCATCCCGAACGCTCCAGAATTCTTTGGCCTTTTTTTTCATAGGGAAAAAAAAAAAAAATTTTGTAAACCAAACAAAGTTAACCGCTAAGTGTAACATAGTCAAACTTCAAAGGGGGGTATCCAAACCATAATAATCAAACTGACCAGCCCCTTTTATAAGATCAAAAACTTAAAGTTTTATTTATTCTCGCCACCCCCAACAAACAACAACAACTCCCATCAAGATTCGGTTCTACAGTCGTATTATCTTTGTACTTGTATCTTTACTATTTGTATTCACTTTGCTAATTTTTCCTAATTCAATACTACCTACTATGTCATTGCAACCACAACAACAGCGTCACCATCAATCAGTAACATCGATTTCTAAAGTCTATGCAGATGTGCTCGCTTCTAAACCCCAAGCTTATTACGATTACGACGATTTGAACATCAAATGGAACTCACAAGAGAATTATGAGATTATAAAGAAGTTGGGCAGAGGGAAATATTCTGAAGTCTTTTTGGGGATTGACTTGATCAAGAGAAACAAAGTTGTTATTAAGGTGTTGAAGCCCGTCAAGAGAAAGAAGATCAAGCGTGAAATCTCCATATTGTCGAATTTGGTTGATGGACCAAACATTATAAAATTGTTGGATGTGGTTAGAGAGCCTCAACTGAAAACTCCCGGATTGATATTCGAATACGTCAATAATATTGATTTCAGAAGTTTGTATCCTACGTTTACCGATTATGATATTAGATTTTACATGTATGAATTGTTACGAGCATTAGATTACTCGCATTCCATGGGGATAATGCACCGAGACGTCAAACCTCATAATGTTATGATTGATCATGAAAAGAAGATTTTGAGATTGATTGATTGGGGGTTAGCCGAGTACTACCACCCAGGAACGGAGTACAATGTTAGAGTTGCTTCACGGTACTTTAAAGGACCGGAATTATTAGTTGATTTCAGATTGTATGACTATTCCCTTGATCTTTGGTCTTTTGGATGTATGTTGGCATCCATGGTTTTCATAAAAGAGCCATTCTTCCATGGTAAATCCAACACTGATCAATTGGTACAAATTGTGCGAGTATTGGGATCGAATAGCTTAAACAAATACCTTACAAAGTACAATTTGACCTTGAGTGACGAATACGAAGATATAGGATACTACAACAGACGACCATGGGAAAGATTTGTCAATGATAATAATCAACATTTGGTGCTGAATGAGTTTTTGGATTTCATTGATAAGTTGTTGAGATATGACCATCAAGAGAGATTGACTGCAAAAGAAGCTATGAACCATCCCTACTTTGATCCGGTAAGACCAAAGAATTAGATTTTAGACTGTGCTATGATTAGTTGAAGATATAATTAATGTAATTCTGTCAAAATATAGTAAATTAAGTTTAAGCATTCATCCAAATTAGGTAATAAAAGTTATCGACTAAATTATGACTTTGTACATACATATCTGTTGGATAACTAAATGTGACGGTAATACATTTTGGCAATTTTTTTCGCAATTTTTTGAGAATATATTGGAGACCTAGAACATCCCCTCTCTAAAGCCAACTCAAGCTTATGTAATAGAGTTCTGCTTGAGACATTGTTGGAATTAGACTTGTAGCTGGTTGTATTTTCATTTTGCAGTTGTTAGTATCGAACCATACCCAGCACCCTCTCCTACGGAAAGTTCTAGAAAATTGGTTTGCGCGCTGAACTGGGCAACAGCGCGGGCATATAAAAAAGAGGAGACAACCAATTTTTCAAACCCTGCCGATTTCCTTAAGGTTACAATCAACTAACCACAATGTCTAGAAGTAAGGTCTTTTTCGATATCACCGCCAATGGTAAACCAAAGGGAAGAATTGCCTTTGAATTATACAATGATATAGTTCCAAAAACCGCCGAAAACTTTAGAGCTTTATGTACTGGGGAAAAAGGTAATTCTGAAGTTTCTGGCAAGCCGCTTTCCTACAAGGGTTCTATTTTCCACAGAGTCATTAAGGACTTTATGTGCCAAGGTGGTGATTTCACCAATGGCAATGGTACTGGTGGTGAATCAATATATGGAGAAAAGTTTGAAGATGAGAATTTCCAATTGAACCATGACAAGCCATTCTTGTTATCTATGGCCAATGCCGGTCAAAACACCAATGGTTCTCAATTCTTTATCACCACTGTACCAACGCCACATTTAAATGGTAAACATGTTGTCTTTGGGGAAGTAATTGAAGGAAAATCCGTGGTTCGTCAATTGGAAAGATCAGAAAAGGGCGCCAATGATAAGCCAGTTGAAGACTGGATAATTGCTGATTGTGGTGAATTACCAGCCGATTACGTTCCTCAAGCAGCTGCCGGCTTCAGCGACGGAACCGGTGACGTATATGAAGAGGTTTTAGGAGATAATGACAATATTGACGTTAACAAGCCGGAATCAGTATTTGAAGCTGTGAACAAGTTGAAGGAAATTGGTACTAAATTGTTAAAGGAAGGTAACTTAGAAAAATCATATGAAAAGTATAACAAGGCAACCAACTTCCTCACCGAATATTTTCCAGATGACTTGTCCGAAGAAGATTTATCTACTTTGAACAAGTTGAAGCTTTCCTGTTATTTGAATGCAGCATTAGTGGCATTGAAATTGAAGGATGGAAAAAAGACGGTCAAGGCTGCCTCCGAAGCTTTGGAAGTGGATGGCATTGATGAAAAATCCGAGGTTAAGGCGTTGTATAGAAGAGGTATGGGCCATCTCTTGCTTAAAGACGAAGATTCAGCACAAAGATTCCTTGAACGAGCATTGACTTTACAACCAAAAGATGCTGCTATTCTTAAAGGTTTGAAAGACATCGAAGCTACTAAGAAGGCACGTAAAGAAAAGGAAAAGAAAGCCATGGCCAAGTTCTTTTCTTAGATGTTAATAGAGAATATGTAATTACCCATAATACAGATAATGATGCACTTGTATACGTGTACTGTAAATTACGCCCAGGATCGGCCAAGCACATAGTTTGTGCGCGTAATTGTGATACTGGAAATTACTAATGTATGGAAAATTTTTCAATCGCCCACAAACGGCGAACTTGACCAGAAAAAAAAAACATCATTCAATATCAACAAGGATACTTATTATTGCCCCCACATTCATCTTAGTTGTCAAATCCAATCCATCGTATAAACATATACATCATCACTATCTATTGACCATCTGCACCCACAACAACCGATAGGATTTACAACTTTTGATTTATTAGGATTTATAGAGTGATAACACCTGACTATTTTTTTTTTTGCATAACATATCCAGACAACCAATTGGATTAACTACAAGGTATATCAATCCTTATATTTAATATCATCAATCACTTTTTGTATTTGTATTCATTTCAGCACCACTATCAGCACTCATTGACTTGATCTGCTATATCCGTTTGTATTATTTGATTTAGAGAGTACTTTTAATCTATTAAAACCCAGAAAATCCCATAAAAAAATTTTTTTAACCCAAAAAAACAATGAGTCGTCAATTTCCGTATTCAAGTGCTCCACTTCGTTCCGTGAAGGAAGTTCAATTTGGATTATTATCCCCAGAAGAAATCAGAGCTATATCCGTGGCGAAGATTGAATATCCTGAAACCATGGACCAAACCACCAAGAAACCAAGAGAAGGGGGGTTAAACGATCCTCGTTTAGGTTCTATTGATAGAAACTTCAGATGTCAAACTTGTGGTGAAGACATGGCTGAATGTCCTGGACATTTTGGTCACATTGATTTAGCCAAACCCGTGTTCCATATTGGGTTCATTGCCAAGATTAAGAAAGTTTGTGAATGTGTTTGTATGCATTGTGGGAAGTTATTATTAGACGAATCTAACCCTGCCATGGCCCAAGCTATTAAGATTAGAGACCCAAAGAGAAGGTTTAATGCCGTGTGGAGTGTATGTAAAACCAAGATGGTTTGTGAAACTGATGTGACTGAAGAAGACATGCAAGTTGATGGTAAACCAAATCAACAAAAGCCAACTACTCGTGGAGGTTGTGGTCACACCCAACCAACTATCCGTAGAGATGGGTTGAAGTTATGGGGTACCTGGAAGCATAATAAGAATTTCGATGAAAACGAACAACCAGAACGTAGATTATTATCACCAAGTGAAATCTTAAATGTTTTTAAACACATTAACTCAGAAGACTGTTATAAGCTTGGTTTTAATGAAGATTATGCCAGACCTGAATGGATGTTGATTACAGTCTTGCCAGTTCCTCCACCACCAGTTAGACCTTCTATTGCATTTAACGATACCGCCAGAGGTGAAGATGATTTAACTTTCAAGTTAGCTGATGTTATCAAGGCAAATATAAATGTTCAAAGATTGGAAACCGATGGTTCCCCTCAACATGTTATCAGTGAATTTGAAGCATTGTTACAATTTCATGTTGCAACATACATGGATAATGATATTGCTGGTCAGCCTCAGGCACTTCAGAAGACTGGTCGTCCAATTAAATCTATTAGAGCTAGATTAAAGGGTAAGGAAGGAAGATTAAGAGGTAACTTGATGGGTAAGCGTGTGGATTTCTCTGCCCGTACGGTTATTTCTGGTGATCCAAATTTAGATTTAGATCAAGTTGGGGTCCCAATTTCTATTGCCAAGACATTATCATATCCTGAAATTGTAACTCCATATAATATCCATCGTTTAACTGAGTACGTTAGAAATGGTCCAAATGAACATCCTGGTGCAAAGTATGTCATTAGAGATACTGGGGATCGTATTGATTTAAGGTATAATAAAAGAGCAGGGGATATTGCATTACAATATGGCTGGAAAGTTGAACGTCACTTGATGGATGATGATCCAGTTTTATTTAATCGTCAACCTTCTTTGCATAAAATGTCTATGATGTGTCACCGTGTTAAGGTTATGCCTTATTCTACATTCAGATTAAACTTGTCAGTCACTTCGCCATATAATGCTGATTTCGATGGAGATGAAATGAATTTACATGTTCCACAATCACCAGAAACCAGAGCTGAATTATCACAAATTTGTGCTGTTCCATTGCAAATTATTTCTCCACAATCTAATAAACCAGTTATGGGTATTGTGCAAGACACTTTATGTGGTATTCGAAAAATGACATTACGTGACACATATATAGAATTTGATCAAGTTATGAATATGTGTTATTGGATTCCTAATTGGGATGGGGTTATTCCTCCACCAGCTATTGTCAAGCCAAAGCCATTATGGACTGGTAAGCAATTGTTATCCATGGCTATTCCAAAGGGTATTCACTTACAAAGATTTGATGGTGGAAGAGACTTGTTGAGTGCCAAAGACACTGGTATGTTGATTGTAGATGGAGAAATTATGTTTGGAGTTGTTGACAAAAAGACCGTTGGTGCTACCGGTGGTGGTTTAATCCATACTGTCATGAGAGAAAAAGGTCCACAAGTTTGTGCCCAACTTTTCAGTTCTATTCAAAAGGTTGTCAATTATTGGCTTTTACATAACGGGTTCTCCATTGGGATTGGTGATACTATTGCTGATGCAAGTACCATGAAGGATATTACCACTACCATTCAAGAAGCCAAGACCAAGGTGCAAGAAATCATTCTTGATGCTCAACAAAATAGGTTAGAACCAGAACCAGGTATGACATTGAGAGAATCTTTTGAACATAATGTGTCTCGTGTGTTGAATCAAGCGCGTGATACTGCCGGTCGTTCTGCCGAAATGAATTTGAAGGATTTGAATAATGTGAAACAAATGGTTACTTCTGGTTCCAAGGGGTCCTTTATTAATATTTCTCAAATGTCTGCATGTGTAGGTCAACAGATTGTTGAAGGTAAGAGAATTCCATTTGGATTTGCCGATAGATCATTGCCTCATTTTACTAAAGACGATTATTCACCTGAATCTAAGGGGTTTGTGGAAAACTCATATTTAAGAGGGTTAACTCCACAAGAATTCTTTTTCCATGCTATGGCTGGTAGAGAAGGTCTTATTGATACTGCGGTCAAGACCGCCGAAACTGGGTATATTCAACGTCGTTTGGTCAAGGCTTTGGAAGATATCATGGTTCATTATGATGGTACTACTAGAAACTCCTTGGGTGATATTATTCAATTCATTTATGGTGAAGATGGTATTGATGGTACACAAGTGGAAAAGCAATCGGTTGATACCATTCCTGGATCTGATGAATCCTTTGATCAAAGATATAGAATTGATGTATTGGATCCAGCTAAATCTATTTCTGAATCATTATTGGAATCAGGTAAAGAAATTAAGGGTGATGTCAAGTTGCAAAGAGTTTTGGATGAAGAATATCACCAATTGTTGGATGACCGTAGATACCTTAGAGATGTTTGTTTCCCTAATGGTGATTTTAGTTGGCCATTGCCAGTTAATTTACGTCGTATTATTCAAAATGCTCAACAAATTTTCCATAATGGACGTTACAAGGCTTCTGATTTAAGATTGGATGAAATTATTTTGGGAGTTAGACAATTGTGTACTAAGTTATTGGTAGTTCGTGGTGATTCCCCATTGAGTAAGGAAGCACAAGCCAACGCTACATTATTGTTCCAATGTTTGTTACGTTCTAGATTAGCTGCCAGACGTGTGATTGAAGAATTCAAGTTAAATAGAGCTTCATTTGAATGGGTTGTTGGAGAAATTGAAACACAATTCCAAAAATCTATTGTCCATCCAGGTGAAATGGTTGGTGTTGTTGCTGCACAATCTATTGGGGAACCAGCTACCCAAATGACTTTGAATACTTTCCATTATGCCGGTGTCTCGTCTAAGAATGTTACTTTGGGTGTTCCTCGTCTTAAGGAAATTCTTAATGTGGCCAAGAATATCAAGACTCCAGCACTTACAGTATATTTAGATCCTGAGATTGCTGCTGATATTGAAAAGGCCAAGGTTGTCCAATCTGCAATTGAACACACCACCTTGAAGAATGTTACTTCATCTACTGAAATCTACTATGATCCAGATCCAAGAACTACTGTGATTGAAGATGATTATGATACTGTTGAAGCATATTTCGCCATTCCTGATCAAAAAGTTGAAGAATCTATTGAAAAGCAATCTCCATGGTTACTTCGTTTGGAGTTGGATCGTGCTAAGATGTTGGATAAACAATTGACTATGGCTCAGGTTGCCGAAAAGATTTCTCAAAACTTTGGAGAAGATTTGTTTGTTATTTGGTCTGATGATACTGCTGATAAATTGATTATTCGTTGTCGTGTGGTTAGAGATCCAAAATCATTGGATGAAGATGCCGATGCTGAAGAAGATCAAATTTTGAAGCGTATTGAAGCTCATATGCTTGAATCTATTTCATTACGTGGTATCAAGGGTATTACCAGAGTGTTTATGATGCAACATAAAGTCAGCAAGCCAGATGAAACTGGTGAATTTAAACAAGGTAAGGAATGGGTTTTGGAAACTGATGGGGTTAATTTAGCTGATGTCATGGCTGTTCCTGGTGTTGATTCTTCTCGTACTTATTCCAACGACTTTATTGAAATTCTTTCAGTGTTGGGTATTGAAGCTACTAGAACAGCATTGTTTAAGGAAATTTTGAATGTTATTGCTTTCGATGGTTCTTATGTCAATTACCGTCATATGGCTTTGTTGGTTGATGTTATGACTTCTCGTGGTCATTTGATGGCTATTACTCGTCATGGTATCAACAGAGCTGATACTGGTGCTTTGATGCGTTGTTCATTCGAAGAAACTGTGGAAATTTTGTTGGAAGCTGCTGCTTCAGCTGAACTTGATGACTGTAGAGGGATTTCTGAAAATGTCATGTTGGGTCAAATGGCACCATTGGGTACTGGTTCATTTGATGTTATGGTTGATGATAAGATGTTGCAATTTGCTTCTTCTAATATTGCTACTGAAGAATATAATGACGAAGGTGGCGCTACTCCTTATAGAGAATATGACATGGAAGATGACAAGATTCAATATGAAGAAGGTGCTGGATTCTCACCAATTCATACTGCTCCTGTTTCGGATGGTGGTGCTGGAGGATTAACTTCATATGGAGGACAACCAACTTCTCCTAGCGCTACTTCGCCATTTACTTATGGTGCTACATCTCCTTCATATGGAGGTAGAGCTTCTCCTGGTTACGGATATTCGCCAACTTCTCCAAGTTATTCACCAACTTCACCAAGTTACTCACCAACCTCGCCAAGTTATTCACCAACATCTCCATCTTATTCACCTACATCACCTGCTTACTCACCAACGTCACCAAGTTACTCACCAACTTCTCCAAGTTATTCACCTACTTCGCCAAGTTACTCACCAACATCGCCAAGTTACTCGCCAACTTCTCCAAGTTACTCACCAACATCTCCATCATACTCACCAACATCTCCAAGTTATTCACCTACGTCACCAAGTTACTCACCAACTTCTCCATCATACTCACCTACTTCACCATCATATTCACCTACTTCGCCAAGTTACTCACCAACCTCACCAAGTTACTCACCAACCTCACCAAGTTACTCACCAACCTCACCATCATATTCCCCAACATCTCCACAATATTCACCAACATCACCATCATATTCACCAACATCTCCATCATACTCACCTACTTCACCACAATACTCGCCAACATCTCCAAGTTATTCACCAACTTCTCCACAATATTCACCTGGATCTCCTGAATATTCTCCAAACTCACCAAAGAAGGAAAAGAACGATGACGAAGTTACCGAATAAGCGTGTAATTAGTAGTTTGTATATGTTAACAATAAACGATTTTGTATTAGTGCGGATATTTCTAAGCAAATGAAAAATAAAAAAAAATTCCTTGTAATCTCATCGTGTGTATGTACTCCACAAAGTAGCAACCATGGCACCAAATAAGCCCAAGAATGCACCTAAGAAAGCACCCAAGGCATCATCATTAAAGGAATTAGAGAAAAAGAAGAAGCAAGTGTTTAAACCAATACTAGATAATCCATATACACAATCTAGCACATGGCCATTTGTAGAACCAGAAATAGCTGCCAGTATTCTTGACTTTTTAGAAGTGTTGTTGTCACCAACAGGCAAATACAAGGCATCAGATGTAAAAGTGAAACAACAAGTTACAGAGCCAGAGATCGTCAAGCATATATATCATGGATTCAATGCTACAGTTCAAGCATTAGAAGATCAAGCAGGGATAAATCGAGGGATACGAAAACAAAAAGAGACAACAGCCCAACCACAAATAACGCATTTATTTATATGTAAATATGATATTACTCCTACATTACTTACAAGTATGTTCCCCGTCCTTAGTTATACTGCGTCAAAAAGTTCAGAATCTAGAGTGAAATTGGTTCAATTACCACGAGGAAGTATGGAAAGGATATCTAAAGCATTGGGGGTTGACAATACAGGGATAGTTGGATTCAAAGAAGGTTGTCCCGGAGCTGAAGCGCTCTTTGAGTTAGTCAATTCCAATATCAAAGATGTCGAAGTTCCTTGGCTTGAAGGGTTGTTAACTGGGGAAAGTCATATGAAGTTTGTACCACCAGCGTTGAGAAATATAGCCACCACTGCTCCAGTACATAATCCCAAGAACAACAGAGGAAAACAAGAGCAGTTAAACAAGAGCAAATCAAAAGTAGAAAGTAAGAGTGACGATGTATAGTTTATAGAGTTGTGTACATAAAACGCGTCTTGTACGAAAAAAAAAAAATAAATCAAACTGACTCTTCATTTCTTTTACAATCACTTTGACAACCAGAGTTAGCAATGTCCACAGGAACAAAAGTAACACTTGAATTGCCATGGGTAGAGAAATATAGACCATACAAATTACAAGACATTGTTGGAAATGAAGAAACAGTGGAAAGATTAAAGATTATAGCCAAGGACGGTAATATGCCCAACATGATCATATCGGGATTGCCAGGTATAGGTAAGACCACGTCAGTACACTGTCTTGCTCATGAATTATTAGGTGAATATTATCACCAAGCTACTCTTGAATTGAATGCATCTGATGATCGTGGTATTGATGTTGTTCGTAACAAGATTAAGCAATTTGCCCAGACCAAGATTGTTCTTCCCCCAGGAAGACACAAGATTATTATTTTGGATGAAGCTGATTCTATGACTCCTGGTGCTCAACAAGCATTGAGAAGAACTATGGAAATCTATTCAAATAGTACAAGATTTGCATTCGCTTGTAATCAATCCCTGAAAATTATTGAGCCATTGCAATCACGTTGTGCTATATTGAGATATAATAAATTAGCCGACGAAGAAGTGTTGGCCAGGTTATTAGAAATTGCCAAGATGGAAGAAGTTAAATATAATAGTGAAGGGTTACAAGCCTTAATATTTACAGCAGAAGGTGATATGAGACAGGCAATTAACAACCTTCAAAGTACAGTGGCAGGGTTTGGGTTTGTTAATGATGTTAATGTTTTCAAAATTGTTGATCAACCTCATCCACTTGTTATCCAAAATATCTTATTAAGTTGTGTAAAGGATAAAGATTTGGACAAGGCAATGGAATTGCTTGATTCACTTTGGTCCAAGGGTTATTCTGCTATAGATATCGTTACACTGACATTTAAAGTTGCGAAAACTATTCCTGATATCAACGAACAAACAAGATTAGATGTAATTAAAGAAATTGGATTTGTTCATATGAGAATTTTGGAAGGGGTTTCTACATATCTTCAATTATGTGGAATGTATGCTAAAATATGTGATATTTAATGTTTCTTATATGCATCTGTAAGTAATTGGAAATGCAGTATCTGTTCTTCTATAAATTCATTGGATTCAACATTCTCATTAGTCAAGATATTAACAATTAAAAAGTAATTATTGTACAAGAATATTTCCTTTTCTGTAGTTTTGTTACCCAAAGCATGGTTACTACATTTTGTAAGACAGCTTTCAAAGTCATTACATAAACGGCCAACCGATGTGTACAACGGCTCACCGTGGTAGTCTTTGTTGGGAATTGTAAGTCGAAGTAATGCCAGTAAGAATTGGGCAAATTGTTGGGTAATGTTCAATGGAGCCAATCCAGTAATTTTCTTGGTTCTTAATATTGCCTTCTTCATGGATTCACAATTTGCATCAATAGCTCTCGTAAACTGGGGCCATAACGCAAGTAAACACGAGTTAAGATATTCATCAAGAATAGGGATATGATATTCATTGTGTAACCTATTTTGTGATTCTTGAATTAGTTTGATGATAAGTATAATTCCAAACGAATCATAGTTGACAGGATCCAACACCAGGGTGTTTACAGCCATTATCCAATTCAAAAACTCTTTACCTAATACGAATACGCTTTCAAACATAATTTCAGCCCACTCCTTATCACCTTCCTTTTCAAATTTTTCGTTTCCTTGGTAGAAGAATTCAACCATGAAAAGATATTCCACAACAACATTATCCATAATTGCCATCAAGAATTGATTATACACAAACTCAGTCCAGTAAGGAAATGGCGATGTTTCAGCAATTTGGGAAGGTACTGCTGTTTTGCCTTTGACAGTTAGAACTTCAATTCTTTTCTCAAATGAAAGTAAATATTCACCAATGGAAAGCTGGGTATGATGTGGTTGTCCTGGTCCTGTCAGCGGTTGAAGCGTACTGCTTGTAGAGGGCATCCAACCTTTCCACGAGCTAGTGCTGAACATGCTGTGATTTTCATCTTTGGAAGAATAACCAAGAACAATACTTATATCAACAGGGCGTAAATGCAATTTCTGAAGAGCATATAAATATTTAGCAAACTTACTTTGATAATACCATTTCATGGTATAGATATATGCTAATCGTAGTTGCTGAGCGAGTTCTTTGTGTTGAGCTGTAAGGAAATAGTACGCCTCCTTAACCTCTAAAAGTCTTTGTTGTATGTGTTGTGACGATGCTTTGGAAGATAATCGCAACATTCTAATTTGGGTGATTATGAAATCTCGTATACGTTCTACTGCTTTACTTTCAAGGAGAGTCACACCTGCTTCAAGTTGGGACAAGGCGGTTGAGTCCTGATAAAGTTCCGCAATTGAAGCTTCAGTATTGCCACTCCTGATATTAACAATAAGCTGTCTCTTTTCCAATATGAATTTCAAATTATCAAGAAATTTAGAATCAACCGGTTCTTTGATTATACTGTTGACAATATCTGGTGGAATCATTAAATCTAACACGACAGGATTGAGTTTTTCTGTTATTATAGTTTGTAATTTAGAATCTTTGGAGAGTTTAGTTGATTGTTGTTCCAATGATACTAAACTCGAAGATAACATAGCCAATTCATTGTTGAATTCATTCAAAATTACACCCACGGGTTCAAGCTTAGTCTTGTAATGTTTGATTTGTGCGTCGTATGATTCGAACTTGGAGATGTATTCTATTAATTTATCCACATTGGTGTCGGGTTGCTCCTGCAACGCCAACCGTAAATGTTCAAGTGATTGTGGGTGGTGGTCAATTGAATTGTCATTTAATAATTGGACAATATTATCATGGGAGAATACTTCAGGACTATCCTGTTGCTGGATGGTCCCTTCTAAAGGAATTATTCGTTTAAGGGACTGTAATGCTGACATCTGCTGTGTGTTTACTTGTTTGACGGTTACAGCCTTTTAGGTTACAGTCTTTTTTTTTGTTGTTTTACCACCGCGAATCTTTAAAATATGGCAACCACTTTCCCACGCGCATAGTATTCTCCAGGTAACAACACAGCATGACAATCACGTCAGTGGAATCAGATGATGTCAATCTCACTGAAACTCAATTGGAAGCAGTGAGGTTTGATCATGATCCAAAGACTTTGTTATCTATTCAGGCTGGTCCTGGTAGTGGCAAAACCCTCACATTGATCCATCGTATTAAATATTTAATTGACGAAAAGGGGGTTCTTCCTGAAGGTATAATCGTGCTTTCAATGACCAATAGAACAGTCAATTCATTACGTGCTAATCTTTCCAGATTAATTGGACAAACCAGGGCAGAAAAAGTCAAGATAAGAACATTTCATTCCTTTGCTGCTAATTTGGTGGATAGTTATATTGCAGAGTATTTCCCAGGTAAAGCTATAAAGGTGTTACTTGACGATGTTAGCTGGAGAAGTTTTGCTGCTTTCTTCTTGAATCCTTCACACATGCGTGGTGAAAAGGTAAAGAAATATAAGGATAAAGTGTTGAATATTGCCGAATTAGAACGCTGGATTAATCAACTTAAATGCGGAGAATCAACTTTAGAACATGTGGCTAAACAATTAAAGGTTCCAGAAACCGAACTTAAAGAAAGTATACAATATTTGGAAGATAATGGAATGATTAGATACCTGGACTTTATTTCTGATGCAATCGAACTAATGGAGAAATCTTTATCAATAGAAAATCCAATCGGTGAACTAGCTAATGTTGAAGTGGTAATAGTGGATGAATTTCAAGATATGCAACCAAATTTGCTACAATTGATTCAAAATATTACAAGATATCCATCAAATTCGGGGGAAAACAAACATTTAACCATTGCAGGGGATATCAATCAATGTATCTACGAATTTTTGAAATCAAGTCCTAATATCACCAATGAGTTTATTGAAAAGTTTAACTCATGGAAAATTGATCAAATTGTATTGAAAGAAACGTTCAGGTTAAGTCCAGAAGTACTTGAGGCAGCTGTGGATGTTGCATTAAAACCAGCTGGTTTAGGAGAATCTATGCAATTGTTTGAATCCACCAAGGAATCGTCTTTTAAACCAGTTTTGTACTCTTTAAGTAATGAACTTGAAGAATATGATTTCATAGCCGAGGAGATTTGGAGATTAATTTGCCAACTGGGAGGACTTTTACAATTTTCAGATTTTATTATACTCGTAAGAAGCAATAGAGAAGTTGATCTCATAAGTAAGAAACTTTCTCAACAGCACGGGTTTGATGTCAACAAATTTACATCTGTTCCAGATTGGATCCAAGGAAATACCCACATTTTCTTGGATGTATTGAATATGTTGAAGAATGGATTTGGATCGGATTTTGCTTTGCTTTGTATCATGATGAAACTAGGAGCTAATAAACCCTTTTTAAAGAAATTGCTACTAAGTTATAATAAGTGGAAACTAGAATTACCTGATCGTAAAAGAAATCTACTCGAGGAATATGTGTATACTTTGCCATCGGAAAAAGATCCAATATTTAACACCGACGTCAAGAAACATTTGAAATTGAAAATCCTCAAATTTCTAACTGTTGTTAGACAAGAACGCGACAGCTCACCACTTATCAGACCTAAACAAGTTATTCAATCGATAGTAAACATAGTCCATGGTACCGAACTTATGGACTATATTAATAAAGTACCAGCGACAGAACAACAACGCGGGGAGATAGTTCTAAAAAACCTTAATTCGTTTTCTAAATCAGTCAAGTTTGCATATGGACGGTACATTATGGCCAAACCAGATTGTACATTTATTGAATTTTTCTTGCATACATTTTCCGAAGATGAACCAGTGATTGACAAGAAATCCATTAATATTTCAACTGTGCATAAAGCCAAGGGTTTAGAATTTCCTGTTGTGTTTATTCCTGGGTGCAAATCACACTATGCAAAGTTTCCATCTTCACCATGGAGAAATATGAATGGTGTGCACGCGCCTTCCGCAGAAGAAGCAAGGTTATTGTTTGTGGCCATGACAAGAGCAAAACATTTACTTTATATTGGAAGTATAAACTCGTCGAAATGGTCAAAGTTATTCCATAAAGAACCTGAAAAAATCAATACGGAGTATGTTTCAGCTATGGCCAGTTCATTAAACCGAAAAATGCCCAGTGCGGATGCGATTATTACAGGCAATCAAGTTTATAAATCGCTCGGAATTGCACTGAGATTTATTAAGCGGATCTAACAGACCGAGTCAAAATTGGGCGTGCAACCGATTTGATAATTGCGAAAAAAATAAAATTTTGGACTTGAGTCAGATTTTAATCACCGATCAAGATTAATAGCATATCTACTGATACATGTGTCAGGAAACATTGACGTATAGTGGTATGAATAAATACTTGCACGAATTCCAATTACAAGTGAATACGAAGCTACTGCCGACAAAAGCTCAAACTCCCATACTTAATGTATTCAAAAAGAAAAACTTTACTAAAGTTGACCCCGATCAATCAGAGCCAGAACCAGAATTTGAATTTGATAATCCTACAAAATCAAAGATAAGTTGTATAAGATGTCGAAAGTTTAAGAAAAGATGTTCTCGAGACTTTCCTGAATGCACCAATTGCGAATCTTCTGATGAGTTGTGTAAATATATACCCAGGAAAGTAAGATCTCCTACTGTACTTCCCATAGACTCAAAGACATACACTATGAAGAGAAATTCACCAGAACCAACAGGTTCTCCTAGAAAGAGACACTCACTACCGAATCTTTCCAGTGTCTCAATTGACAAGAAAATAATGCCTAACGACCTTAATGCTATATTAAATTAATTCATACATATATAATCTAATCATGCCAACTTTGATAACAAACTCATAACATCTTCATTACTGAGACTATCTCCATTTGAACTCTTTACCGTCTCTTGTTCGTGTTTTAATTCCAACAGATCTTTATGGTGATGGATCATTTCTGCAATTTCTGGACTTTCTGGTGGTTTATTGTTATCTGCTTCATTTGAATCATCGCGATCATATTCCTTAACTTCAATGTCCTCAGAAAATGCTACTCGTTTGGAGGACGGAGTCGAACCACCTGAAGGAGTTTGAGAATAGCGTCTCTTGTTGCTTTCTTCTGGTTTTTCATCATCATCTTCATATGTTGGGAGTAAATCATCATCATCATCATCGTCGTCATCAGCAATAGCTTCAAATGTTGGTGATTCTTCTTCATCTTCAGATAGCTGCTGAGGAGGTTGCTGATTACCATCACCCAGTTCAAGCATGGACTTTAATTCATCTCTAGTAGTATGTAATCTGGTTAATTTTTCATTTATAATACCGATCTTACTATCTTCAGTTTTTATACCTTCCAGTAATAACCTAGATAAGTTATCTAAATGTGTCTTTATTTTAAGTTTGGTATTTTTAATTTCTGTAATATTGTTAATTGAAACTTTACTTAATTCTTCCAACATATTTAATTTTGAAATATATTGACGTGGTGCCGGCAAGTTTTCTGATAATGTAGGATCATGAGGCAAGTAAGTCTTTGATTGTATACCAAATTGAGTTAAATTGGCCTGAGATAAGTCTGTTAACTGGTTCAAATGAATGTATAAATCGTTAATATGTTTTAAATCGGGCACAATCAGATCACCTTGAACAGAATTGGTCAATTTCGATTCTGTAGGTTGTTCTTGAATAGTCAATGAACCTTTTATTCTTGCAATATCACTACTGTCAAATATTTGTCGTTGTTCCCAAACACTAATAAGTCGGTCAATTTTTGCCTTTATACTCGAGTCGACAGTGGGGTATATCTTTTGTAATACTCCTGGTAATACCTTGGCAAACTCGGTTATAAATTCTTGTTTTCTCTTTCTTCTAGCTTGCTGAACAATATCATTACAAACGTAAAGCAATGATAACTTTTTGTTTGATGGATGGGACTTGCTTATGGTATAGTCTGCCCATGTCCTTGCACTGTCCTTGCAATGCTTTTGATAGAACAATACCCATTGGGAAATGGATACAATTGATTCTTGAGTTTCTTGTAATATATCCAACTTTTTGCAGAAACTAGATGAAGAGAATGACATGGTTCTGGTACTGTGTTGGATTGACTGTTGTTCCACCGCTAGTTATTAGTGCTGACTGAAAACCCATCACACTTTTTTCCACCAGCACTTTGAAGGCTGGAGGAAACGAAAAAAAAAAAAAAAAAAGAAAACGCGTACAAGAAAACATCAACACATTGCAAGAAGCACCCACAACAAACACCACCAGGATGCCTCCAAAACCAAGGACAAAATCAGTTACAAAGTCTAACCAGAAGTCTCCTGAAAACAGTCGAAGAGTATCTTCAAGGATATCCGAACGTGTATCTGCAGTTGAACCTGATGATGATACACCTAGTGCTACTCCAAATAAAAAGAAACCTGCTAGTAACACACCAAGCCGTCCTTCTTCCAAACGTGCCAAAGGTCCGATATCAATAATAACAGAACAAGATATTCTAACCACCACAGATTCTGAAGATTTAATAGAATTGATAAACGACTTGACTAATACTAAGCAAGATGAGATATTTACTAAATATCAAACCAAAATGCAATCACAATTGGAGAATGACCACATGTTAATACAGGAACTACAATTAGAGTTACGGAGAAAGAACGACACTATAGATAAACTCTTGGACGAAATATCCCAGCTTAAACAATCCCAATCGGGCGAGGCTGAACTTACATTTGAATCACCAATTCGAAAGCGACAACCTATGAATGACATAACTTTAACAAAGGAATTAGAAAACATTTCCATCACTTTAGATATGATAGAATTACTTGCTGGGGTTAGAGTTGTTAACTTCCAAGAAGATGATCTGATGTTGTATTTCGATGTTAAACAATCAAGTCCTCCTTTGTTTATAACATATCAGTTAATTATATCAAAAGAGTTTGAGGCAACAGCGCAAGTGAATTATGTTCCTACCTTTTTGGATGCTTTAGAAAATGAATTTGACCATGGGGATGATGAAGTTGATATAGTTGAGAATGCCAGATTTCTTAAACGAATATTACCAGATTACTTGTGTGAAAAATTATTATTTCCTATTGATACATTAGCCCAGTTCTATAGTAAAGTTGGTAGGGCACTTCATAAAAAGAAATAAATATATAGTCTATTGTATTATAATTTTACCATCAGATTTAACCACCTTGATTGATTTCAAGATTTCCTTGAGTTTTTTTGAATCATCTTTAGAAGCTTTCTTTAAAATTTTGTATAAATTTTCATTCTTGTTTTCCTTGAGGCCGGTGAATGGTGATTCTTCCTTTGGTGACTTTTCCTTCTTTGGTTGTTCCTTTGGTTGTTCCTTTGGTTGTTTCTTTGGTTGTTCCTTTGGTTGTTCCTTTATTTGTTGGTTCTTCTTCTTAGGACCTCTATATAATGCCTTTTCATACTTTTCAGCTTCACTAATACAACTAGTGTGGTTTCTATAACTAGTACCTTCAAAAGTAGTGGAACAATCAATACAGGTGAAATAGGCACCGTAACATCTTTGAGCGTGTTGATCTAACTTCTTCTTGGTAATGGTATCATTACAAACTTCACATGAAAACGAAACCATGGTTGCTTACTTGGTGATAACAAAAGAGAAATAAATTTTCAAAATTTCTTTTTACGATGAGTTTTTACCCCAAATATCGCTCGAGACTGCCCTCCCCTTGTACACCGACTTAATTCATACACTTTAAGAAATTGAATTTGGTATTTACAATGGTACACACTGAAGTGATATTATCCTATGTAAATGCTATATACAGCTACTATGTACAAATCGTGAATCATTATAAAAGTTCCTTCAAAATACTATTGAACTTACTTCAGTTTTGGCCAAACAGGCTCATCCTCTTCTCTTCTCTTTACTCGCACAATCTCATAATCATGATTCAGTACTTCTTCTTGATGTTCACTTAACAACCCTTGTAATCTATAAAAGTCATCCTTTTTATCAAACACACGTTTATTTTCAACCATACTCAACATTTCCTCTTCACTCAATTGTCTATACTTTTCATCATATTTCTCCCATTTAATAGCAGTAAACTTCTGTAAATATATTGATCCAGCAACAATTGAAAGCATAAATGGCAATCCAAAATATAAAAATGAATTTTTTTTGATTAATTTCTGATATTTTCCAGCAAATGTCCGATCATAAGCTTCTTGTTCTTTCTTGCCTCGGAAGACATTGTTACCGAAAACAGCCATGGTTGATTTGGTTTAGGGGTTTGATGTGAGTCTAACTTGGAATGAATTAGAATGGCGTTGATTTGATTTTAGCTTTTTTTTTTCTTTTCTATTGGTGAAGATGCGGCTTTTCCTAAAAAGGTTGGTCGATTGTTGGTGGGGCTTTGCTGTCGTTGATATAACGTTTGAATTTACACACAAAGGAGATTAAGTTGGATGTGTATCCAATTAACTTGGTGAATGTGCATTATTTTGGTTTGTAAAGTGAAATATTCTTTTTTTGGAATCGTCGTTATTTATTATCCAATTTTTACAAAAAAATTCTACAAATATAACTTAGTGGTTTGCTATTAGGTAATCTCTAAAGCAACTTTCAAACTTGCTTGATACTCTCTCGTAATAACAAAACTTGAAATGATGGTGTTACAAATTCAATTAAACAGAAGAGGGTGTATTAAAACTATAAAGCTACACCACATTTAAATAAGAGGTATCAGAATTTGATTTGATCAAACATGGTCACAATTAAACAAAAATAATACAGATAAAAAATAAGCAAGCAACAAAGGTGTTAGCTCTAAGACCAGTAGCAGAATCTTTATAGCCTTCTTGCAATTCTGGCAAAGTGGAGTTTGCATCATCAGGATTAGTAGCACCACCACCCACACTACTAGATCCTTGGTTTTGTTCATTTCCTGAGTTGATATTGTTTGGAACAACAGAGTCGGGACCAGCAGAAGGGGTTTTGAAATCTTGACTTCCAGAGTTGTCATTGTTTGAATAACCAGATGAATTAGAAGCACCATTTGAATTTCCACTTTCAGGTGTAGAATTCAGATCAACAGCAAGATAGTCGGGATCCGAAGGTCCTTTGGAATCTGCTGAGCTGTTAGAAACTTGTTGATTGTTTCCTGGTTGGGTATTGCTAGTTGATTGAGGATAACCATTGGAATAAGTCACTGTAGAAACTAAGGTAATGTCAGTCTTGGTTACTGTGGTAACTACAATTGTAACACTACTAGGAGTAGTATCTTGTGGTGGTGATGTTGGCAAGGCATTACTGGAAACACCAGTTATAATATTCGAAGCAACACGAGTAGAGCTCTGTTTATCCGGTGTATTTGATGATCCAGACAGACCTTCAGATGAAGCAGCGGGTCTGTCTTGAGGGTCACTTGATGCAACCTTTTGGGTAGGGATAGTTGGACTGGAAACAACCAAAGTAACACTAGTACTAGAGTTGGATAAGTTACCAGGTCTAGAACTAGTAACAAAAGCATGGTGTTGATGAAGAAACACATTGTTAAAAGCTACATGACCAAGTCATATGATGATTTATACTTGGAGTACTCCCAAATTAGAGGACCAAAAGAAGGGAAACTTCAATTTAAACAATTTTATGATACTGTCTCTGCCCGTTTGGAGATTCTTAATAACAGACTCTTTCAAATCTTAGACAGGGATAACTTTTATATCTTTGCTAGTGAGTTGGTTGGGATTCCAGAAACAATAATAGAAGAAGATCCAGGTGTATGTGGCGAACCCTTCTGGAGACTACTCATGGATATAACAGAACGGGAAGTTAAAGAAACAGTTATCTATATTGATTGTGCCACTACCAAATATAAGCCTTTCAGAGACACCAAAATACCTTTCGGAGAGTCCACCAATGCGGTCTATATGCTCACCATTGGTAGAAAAAATGGTATTACCAACCGGGAAGAACCTCTTGCCACCTTGTTGACAAATGACATTAGCGCCAAGTCATTGAAAGAGTTCTTTATAGCCGTCAAGGAAAAAATTGTTTTTCGCGATAAACAGTTGTTGGTGGTTACTAATGGAATGGCTGCTATCCTGACGAATATCAAATACTTGCTGGCTGATGCACAGGAAGTTTATTCCACTACACATATGAAGCAACTTTTGGAGCATACAGCAAATAAAAGTTCCAAGTCCAACCAGAGAGCATTAGACCAAATTGTGAAACAAATAATTGAAGTTGCAGAAGCGGACACCAAACACGATGCTGATACCAGATGGGCACAATTACTTGAACAACAACATGAGAAAGCTTACTTGAAAAACCTTTGGAATCTCCGGTCTCGCTGGTGTCGTTCTTACATTGGTAATCATTCAAAACAGTTGGACTTGAGCAATGCTATTGTTACATGTATCCATAGAAAAATAGAAGCACGTAGGTGGTTTGAATGGGAACATGTATACTATTTACTCAAGCATATGCTGCAGACATACGAAGAATACGCAAAGACGAAATCTGATATAATCAACAAGATTGTTCCACGATTTGTAACTATTACTGAGTATCAACAAATTCAAGATATTAACCAGAACATAATCGGTTTAATGCAAGATCCCGATATTAACGGTGACACTTATACTGTTGAAGACAAGGAGAATTTGTATTTTGTTAAGTTTGATCTGGATGATATCACTTGTACATGTCAGAAATTCCATGATACACAAAGCTGGTGCAATCATATTGTACGTGTGATCTATCCTGAAAATGACAACGCTAAATTATCTATAAGAGCTTTGGACAGTGATTTGGCCGAACCCGAATACTACTCATGTGTAGAGTACGATTCAATATTTCATTACCTCAATCCTTATATTGATCGCCTTAACAAGTATAAGAATGAGATTAAATTGCTTAAAGAATACTATCGAGAAAAGTCTGAGTACTTGGATCGTATCCAAGAAACAAGGCATCTCAAGAGAATATTTTCTGAAGAAACCCAATTTCTCATGAAGGAAATTGCACAAAAGAAGAAAGAACAAAACAATATCTCAGATCCCAGGTCATTGATCAAGAGAAGTCGATATTATGAGGACCCACATTTCAGTGAAGAATACCCTTTTTTTTAATAGTACTTATTTAATATGTTGAATGTAAAGTTTGGTTTGGACACTGTTGTAGATTTATCGAATTATTTTATAGTTGCATTGTAGTACAACCCATAATAGTAGTTTCTGTGTATATATTACAGCTCATAGTAAGGGGCTGTCTAATCAATGTCACGTATATGAGCGGAGAAGTCTTGATATTGGTTTGTTCTACCATTAGATCTCGAATAAATAACGCAAGGATTGACACTTGTTAGGTAACTCCCATACAACCACCCACCAAATAAATGTATCTTTTTATTTCTAGTTGTGAACTATAATGAGAATCGTTTATATATGCACATACATAGCACTTTAGGAAATATCAGGATACTGCAAGTCTTTTGCTGCTGTATTCTTTTGATGACAGTACTACTAAGACCGATCACCCCATATCTCCATTTTCAGCCATTACAATACGAAAGCTATTATTCTCCCCTTTGCAACTTTTTTCGATCTCCCCATATCTAGAATTTGCCATGCTCCCATTAGCATTTTTTCCCATCTTCGAAAATCTTCAATTCATGATCTCTCGAAATCATATTTTGTCAGACTCACATTACCAATATTTTTTGATCTCCCCAGATTTGAAATCGCGATCTCCCAAAATCTTTTTTTCTCTAGACTCACATTACCAAATTTTTTCGATCTGCTAAGATCTCGAATTCGCAATCTACCGAAATCTATTTTTGTCAGACTCACATTACCAAGATTTTGTGATCTCCCCAAATCTAGAATTTGCAATCTGTCCCGATCTTGTTTTTCCAGACTCCCGTCACTAACTTTTTTCGATCCCCCCAGATCTCGAATTACCGATCTCCCAAAATCTTTTTTGCTCTAGACTCACATTAGCATTTTTTTCCCATCTTCGAAAATCTTCAATTCGCAATCTCCCCAACGTTATTTTTTTCAGGCTCCCATTTTCAGTTTTTTTTCCCATTGCCCCAAATCTTAAATTCGCGATCTCCGCAAAACTATTTGCGCCAGACTACCATGACCAAATTGTTTCGATCTCACAATATCTAGAATTTGAGATCTGCCGAGATCTTTTCTTACCAGAATCCCATTGTCAACTTTCTTTGATCTCCCCAGGTCTCAAATTACTGATCCGTAAAAATGTATTTTGACCGGACTTCCATCACCAACTTTTGTTCCATCTCCCAATATCTAGAATTTGCAATCTACCAAAATCTTTTTGTTTTTTCAAACTCACATTACCAATATTTTCGATCTCACCATGTCTCGAATTCGCGATCTGCCGAAATCTATTTGTACCAGATTCCCATCACCAAGTTTTGTTCAATCTCTGAAAATTTACAAATTGCGATCTCCCAATGGTACATTTTAAGTTAGTCCCATCACCATGTACAGTGCTGGGGTATTTACAAAATTAATAATAAGAATTGTTACCAACAAGATGAGGGTGGTATATGTAGTCAAATCAAGGGAACTTTGTTTCGTGAAAATAAGTAACTTGATTCTGTTGGGTGGTAGAAAACACTCTTACATAAGTATTAATCAAGTAGTTCCGTGGAAAGTGAGCAAAGTTTTACCGTGGTATTGATTGACAATATCTCGCTCAAGATACTAGTACAAAGGTGGGAACATAAATTGCTCTATTTCAGTACATTTGTGTGCGTATTAGAATAGAAATTAGTCACGAAAATATTAGTAGATATTCAGTAGTAAATTGTCTAAATAGTGAGGAAATATAGTTAAGATTGTGTATTTTTTATACAGAATTTGTAAGAAAGTGAGAATAAACAGAGGAGAGATTGTGTGCAGGACAGTGTTGGTAGCGCGGGGTGATATTATATGCAGGACACGAAGGTCAGTCATGGACACAGTTGTAAATTAGTTCAAGATGGAGAGAAAGTAGCAGTTTGTATTGCTCATGGCTATGAATGAATAGATACAATATATTAACAATACTAATCTAGGTTGTTTGAGCAAAGTAAGTTAGTGAAAGTCGACACACTACTATGGTAGAACTTAGCTTCTTATGGCTAACCGAGCACCGGAAGTTGATGTTGTTAATGGACACATTAGCACTTTGGGTTACAGATAAGTGGTAGTAGTGTGTCTTGTGCCAGTAGTGGACAATGAGTAGTGGAAGCCAAGCAGTGGAAGTGGATCTTGTTATAGAATACATTCAAGTCTTGCGCTGCAGGCAGATAGGATAGTATAGAGTAAGACAAGGAGAGGATAGATCGCATAGGTGAAGGAGTTTACATTTCTGCAATGGAGAGAATAAGAATGAGACATTGTAACAAGGACTAGACCAGTACACTCACCAATGCGGATACAGTTATTATGTCACAAGCATTAAGAGAGAGACAGATTGTCAAGGAGAGCAGAGATGATAGTAGCAATATCAACTCAGCCAGATCAGAGTAGAAACAAGTGCGTACGACAAGTAATAGATACAGATAGGATGTGGATAGAATAGGTCACGGAAGGAGATTAATATGTAGAGCAACAAGCAAGCAGGAAAGTAGAGAATAAGATAACGGGAGGATATTAGAACGTGTAATGGAAGGAAACATTGATATAGTAGAGCAGGTAGATTCGAGTGGCAACATGAGAATAAATCGAACTGAGTACGACAGCCGTTAAATACAGATCGGATGTTGTTAGATTGAATGAAGTGGGATAATTAAAATGGTAAGACAGCAGCAAGGAGAAAGACAGCAGTTGACACAAGCACAGGATAAATTGATTGGAGGAAGTTATTTGGAATAGAACATAGTAAGAACGACATGATCAGAACCAAGTATATGGAACCGAGCAGGCACATTAGCGTAGGAAGGATACAGTAACAACATTAGCGTAGGTATATTCGAGTTGTGAAATGAGAGTATGTACAAGAGCGCGGCAACATTAGCATAGCAAGACTAGAGTAACAACAACAGTGCAGGGAGATTAGAGTAGTAAGATCAGAGTAGTCAGAGAAGCAAGAATAGAATAGCAAGATCAGAGTAGGTAGATGAGAGTAGGCGGAACATAGTGGCGCCGTAGGCGCATTCAAAAAAACTGGACATAGGAGTGGCCAGATGAGAGTAGGCCCGAATTAGTTACGGACCGGATGTTGATGGATATTTTGGCGGAAGGCAAATACATTGTTGGGCCGAAGGCGAGAGGCATAGAGATTAGATTGTAGAGCCGCAGGCGAGAGGCATCGGCAAATACAATCTGTAGCCGCAGGCTAGAAGCATAGGAAACATCAGTGGACACCCCCATACAGGATGGGGAACAGGGGGTACTCTCTTATGTTGCGGGTAGGATGTTCTGGGGTACTCTCTTATGTTGCGGGTAGGATGTTCTGGGGTACTCTCTTATGTTGCGGGTAGGATGTTCTGGGGTACTCTCTTATGTTGCGGGTAGGATGTTCTGGGGTACTCTCTTATGTTGCGGGTAGGATGTTCTGGGGTACTCTCTTATGTTGCGGGTAGGATGTTCTGGGGTACTCTCTTATGTTGCGGGTAGGATGTTCTGGGGTACTCTCTTATGTTGCGGGTAGGATGTTCTGGGGTACTCTCTTATGTTGCGGGTAGGATGTTCTGGGGTACTCTCTTATGTTGCGGGTAGGATGTTGCGGGTAGGATGTTCTGGGGTACTCTCTTATGTTGCGGGTAGGATGTTCTGGGGTACTCTCTTATGTTGCGGGTAGGATGTTCTGGGGTACTCTCTTATGTTGCGGGTAGGATGTTCTGGGGTACTCTCTTATGTTGCGGGTAGGATGTTCTGGGGTACTCTCTTATGTTGCGGGTAGGATGTTCTGGGGTACTCTCTTATGTTGCGGGTAGGATGTTCTGGGGTACTCTCTTATGTTGCGGGTAGGATGTTCTGGGGTACTCTCTTATGTTGCGGGTAGGATGTTCTGGGGTACTCTCTTATGTTGCGGGTAGGATGTTCTGGGGTACTCTCTTATGTTGCGGGTAGGATGTTCTGGGGTACTCTCTTATGTTGCGGGTAGGATGTTCTGGGGTACTCTCTTATGTTGCGGGTAGGATGTTCTGGGGTACTCTCTTATGTTGCGGGTAGGATGTTCTGGGGTTACTCTCTTATGTTGCGGGTTAGGATGTTCTGGGGTTACTCTCTTATGTTGCGGTTAGGATGTTCTGGGGTACTCTCTTAT